CTAAGATAGCATAAGGTAACTAAATTATTTCGTCTCTTTTGCTCTTGCTGCACTAACAACTACCCGATCAGGGCCGCATCACTCAGCCTTCTGCCCCATCCAGAAATAGTAATTCTCATAAGCATGATAATTCACGTTGTGCAAATCCTTTCGCGCAGCAGCTAAAAAGACTTCAATTTCCTCTGGACCCATGACTTTGCGCAACGGCTTGGCTGCCATGGCACCGAACATGTCACTCACGGCAGTCTTGAGATAAAGCCCGATGAGTCGGAGTTTCTTGTCCTGGAGTAGTTATTAGTATAGGGTGAATAAATATTGGGGAGGGTGTCTACCTTTGCCCATGTGCCGATGGGGACTTTGAGGACTTTGCAGGTGACATTGACAAATCCTGCCTTCTCAAGCGGTTCACGCAAATTCTCACCAGCGCGGAATTTCATGCCGAAGGAAGCCACTGCTTCGGTAGCCGTATCGAAGAATTTGGCTAGTGGTGCGTCTTTGGGAAGGGATCCATCGTCGCAGTTGGCGCGGGCGTCTAGTTCTTGGATTTCGATCCAAGCGCCAGGCTTCATATGTCTGCGCTCTGTCAGTATGTTGGTGAGAGGGAAGTTTTGGGAGATATACTCGTAGGCTTGACGGAGAACCTTGACTTCGTCCTTCAACCAAGGACTGATGCAGCGCATGTGCACAAAGTCAAAGTCGTCGCCGTGCATCCATTCGTCTTCGATGTCGTCGACTAGGAATTTTAGGTTTGGGGGGACCCAGGAGGGCTGGATTGGGCTGAGGTCTACACCTACTACTGAAGCGCTGGGGAACTTGTCGGCGACTGGATGGTTTAGAGAAGCATTGATGAGTGAGATCTGGAGATGGCTTACCGTCGATGGCCCAGATTCCTGTTCCGGTGGCCAGGTCGATGATCTTCTGGGGATTTTTGACGATGGGCGAGAAGAACAATTTGCCACTGGAGATGTAAGAAAATGGCCATTCCAGGTTGACGTTGAAATCTTACTCTGTAAGCTCCAGCATCATGGCATGTTTCATGTCATCGCGATTCTGCTCAGCATCATCATTGGGAATGGGATAACTACCAAATCAGCACCCATCCACTACTCTCACAGTCTACTCACGTTCCATGACGATACTGATGATACTTTCACCCAATTAGCCCACCATCACCACCTTTCAATGTAATCATCTACTCACCCGTCGTCCATTCTCAAAAGCATGTTGATAAATACTCGTGTTCAAACTCGTCGAACTAGAAGACAAAGTCGCCGAGTCAAAATCTGACGACTCAAGCTCATGTTCCTCTTCAGCATGCTGCTCCGCCGTAATCGGCTCGATAGGATCCTGCGTCGTGGTCGCCATCGTCAGTAGCGTTGTTGTTGAAGATCAGTGTGCGCTATCTTCTCCACTTCGGAAAAAAATGACTCAAGTTTCGGTAGCATCGGAAATAAACATTCACAATTGGAGGGAGGTGTCGGTCCGAGGCATGTGATTATTCATAATTGTTAAGGAATGGAATGTAATATTTATTAATGAACGTGCCGCGTTAACCTCGTCACCCATATTATCTATCCTCTACTCTAGATATTCTAGGTATCTCAACAAAGGAAATGACAAAAAGAAATACATTATGCATATCCAATCTTGAATTCCATGCTTTGACCGGGTACACATTTTGTTCCAGGCGCGACAGCCATGCTAACTGACCACATACCAGATGCGCAGCGCTGGAATGCTGTACCGGTTTTGACGCAGTTCCAGTACCCTTCAGGTGTGCAGGGTGTTCCAGGCGTAATTAGACCCCGGGCAGGCTTGGTGGGTGCAGGAGGAATGACATTTGTTGAAGTTGAACGAGTGGTTGATTTGAGGGTTGTCTTCTTGGTGGTTGTGGGAGTAGGGACTGTGATGAAGACGCCGCCAGGTCTAGAGATTGTTAGTATAGATCATCCAATTGAGGACAATGCACTTACGGTTTGGTGGCTGTGGCCTTGGTGGGAGGCTTGGTAGTGCTCTTCTGCGTAGGAACAGCAGCTCCAGAACCAGCTGGACACTGACCGACCGGCGGACCAGTATTGCGCGAATTCAAAGAAACATCAGGACCGGGGTTGGGAAACATAAGATCAACAGTCTCCCTGGTACCACATCCATTACCTACGTTGGCGACAAACATAGCAGGGCGCTTGCTCATTGGTGTCTTGGGAGTACCAGTTCTAGCCTTGACCTTGATAGCAGCGCAGTTCATGTACATCTCGCGATTGCCAATCTTGTTAAACCAAGACCAAGCGAAGATGGCAGTACCGCCAGGCGTATCAATAGGAAGAGTGAACTTGAACTTGGAAGTCGGAGCGATGGGACAGTTGCCGATCCAAGACTGAATAGCGATCCAGGAACTACCTCCGTCAAAAGAGAGTGAGGCCTGGCAACTTCCACCGGAGTGATCTGCGCCGCCTTGAATTTCGATGTTGTACGATTTACCAGCTGTCCAGGAAACCGTTGGTGCACCTGCTGCGGTGCCGAAAAGAGAGTGATAGCCCTTGCAGGGAAAGTTGCTTCCACTGCCGGAGAGGGGAGATGTCATGCTGTAGTCGATGTCGCCGTTGGCGTAGGGGTTCTTCTTGCTCTTGAAGGGTGCTGGGTATATCATTTCCATGTGAGCTTGGGCTAGACCTGCTAGACCTATGACTGTAGCGAGAGCGGTAAAGAGCTTCATGGTGAAAGAAAGTGTTGCGTGTTTGTAAAGAGATAAGAAGGAGATGAAACAAAGAGAGCCTAGTAGGCTATGTGAGATGAGGAACAGAAGTGAGTGATGAGAATTAATGGTTGGTGTTGAGGCTTTCAATATGTTTTATACATTTTTGAGACCCTGATGTTCAGTCTGACGTGCCAAGGGAATAGGGTGATTCTCGACTTAGACAGGATTGTGGATGTGGTCTAGTGTCCGGGCTAGACCGGGCACTTGGGAGGGACAGAGTTCAGAAACGTCCAGCCTCAACGACGGCCGGAAAAGATGTCAGAGCATGATCCTTCGATAGTCATTCGTCACAAAGTGTCTACTGAAACTTGATAAAAACTTGTTACAGAGTGGTCATGAGTTTTGGTCGTGAGACATCTCGTTCACGATAGTGGCTGGCGTCTACGATGAGAGCGGGAACTTGAGATGTTGATGCACGGGAAGATGAAATATTGACGCGCGGGATGATATCAGCGAGGCTGGAATAGGGGTCGAGCTCGGTAGTTGAGTTCTCACAAGGTCTTTGTCGGCCTTGTCAAACTTGTTTCTTGGTGTCTTGTGAGCTGACACTCCATTCACCTAGCTGGCTGGGTTTGAGACATTCGTCAGCGACAGTGTCTGTCAAGGCTGGGACATTTGGGATGGCCGAGGACCCTGTCATGATTCTAAAAATGGCCAAGAAACATGTCACTGTCAATTGGAAGTCATGTCATGTCATGTTCTAGGGTAAGGCATCATTTTTAATTATCATCATACTCATCGAGCTGGGTGATCGTGTTGATGCTAGTGATAGCCACAAAGGAGAAGTTCAACTCAATAGCAATAATAACAATATTAATTGGAACAATTTACGCCTGTTACGCATGTTACAGCGACCTGTTGAAGGCTTGATGATAATTACCCATATGATGAACAATTGTTTGACCCCATCACCGTTAACCGTTAAGCCACGCAATCTCTCCTCTGCACGAACCAGCGCCACACGTTACAGAAAGAAACCTCGATGCAAGGGCATCTGTCCCTGACAATCGCATTCCTCAGTTCCCGGTTTTAGCAAAGATCGGAATTTTATTGTGGCTGGGCAGGGGCCTTTGCGCGTATGGCTGGAATGCTCCAGGGTAAAACGTGTCTGATCACCGCTGCTTTCGGTCTTGCCACGGCGGGAATGGTTCTAGACGTGAGGCATCATCATTGACGTTGTTACTTTCCATTTCAAGCCGAAGTCCAATTGAGTCGAGAATATCTGAGACGGGGATTAGAACATGTGAAGTTGAGTTCTTTTAATAGAAGTTTCGCTGGTTTCGGTGGTGATCGACGGGGCCCGCTTTCGGGAATACCACAAGCTTCACCAGCACCTTGAGCTCTAGGCATTCACCTGTCAGCGATTGAACTTTATTCTCTTATCAGCAGCAATTGAAGTGAGTATCGGATCATATCATCGCCAGTCAGCAGATGTCACAGCGATATCCAATATCTCACGCTTTCTCAGCGTCTCTGTAAGCATGCATCTCTATTATATAAGATCCCCGACCCACGGCATCTTCGGCAAAATGGAAGACGTCACTGTAGGTCCAATCCATGGATCCTCTCCGAAGCACTCAATTGGTAAGCTGCAATATTGCTTGTAAACAAGTTACTAACAGTTACATCGCTTGAACAAAACCCGTTTGTCCACCATTAAAACAGCCATATCGGCGTAGATGTGGGTTCCTCGGTAGTTGGTGACGACTTTATCGCGATTTCTTGGCGTCATCTTGATCAGCATGGGGTTGTACTGTACTGTACCTACAGCACTGGGGGTTCGTCATGGTAGCGACATTTCAGCGAAAGATAAAATACATAGAGGAATTGCAAAGCAATTGTGATTTTGATTTCACTTTTGAGATTTGGAACTTGAATTGACTTTTGAGCCAATCGACAAAATGCAGCCCGATATCCCTTACCGTCGTGAGTCTGTACCTCACAAGCAGGTAACCATTATCCAATCACTCTCAAGATTAACTCATTAGTAACAAAAGCTTTAGCGCCCAGATGAGTGGGTACTCGAGCAAGGTCTCGAAGCAGCCCGTCTCGGCATCCGCAACCAAAGCAGTATCCAAGTCAACACGGAAGCACACAGTCTCAAGCCCTCCGACACTTCACAGCTTGTCAGTTCGGGCGACAATGATCTTGACGTCCAAGATGAGCGTGAAGGTTGGAGAGGATACGTAGAATGGGAAGATTACCCTGAGAAGAAAGTCAAAGCTGCACAGCGCTTTAAGCGGTACAAGTTTCCCCCGCCGCCGGAGTTTCAGCTTGAGCCTCTTCCTGCTACGAATCCTGTCCTGGAAGGAAATAGGTGGAAGTTATGGCACAAGGCTATCGGAGGGGCTTTGACGAAGCTCCCTGAGATTAGTTGGGAGACTGTTCTCAAGGTAAGATGCGCCCAGTTGGAGGGAGTATGTCGAGCTAACCTTTGTAGGAAAAACACCCGGATATGCTTCACCTTCTCGAATTCCCTTACAATGGCGAAGGGCCAAAGAGTCTTCTTACAAAAGACTACATCATGCCCAACAACCTCCACTTCGTCCGCAACCACGGCGGTATCCCAGATATTGACCCATCAGCCTGGGATCTCCGTCTTGACGGTCTTGTTAACAATCCCCAGACTCTTACCTTCGCCGATCTTCAAGACGAATCCAAATTCCCACGCATCACCAAACTCGTCACCTTACAATGCAGTGGCACACGTCGCTTGGAGCAGATCATCGAATACCCCGGCGAAGGCGACGAAATGATCAACGCGCCCTGGGCCGAAGGCGCCATCGGCACAGCGAAATGGACAGGCGTGTCCCTCAAAAAGGTAATCAAGTACTGCGGCGGTCTTAAAGATGGCGCGAAGCATCTTGAGCTTTATGGTGCGGATACATACTTCAAGGGTGGGCAGTGTATGAATTATGTTGTTTCGGTGCCGTGGTCAAAAGTCAGGGCTAATGAGGTTATTCTTGCTTGGGAGATGAACGGGGAGCCTTTGCCCAAGATCCATGGAGCGCCTGTTCGGGCGGTTGTTATGGGGTATATTGGCGCGAGGAGCTGTAAGTGGCTTTATAGAGTCAAGGCGATTGAGACGCCGAGTTTGGCGCCTGTGCAGAGTAGGGAATATTTGTACTTTCAGCAGCAGACTGGAAAGCATAACCAGCTGCCTACAAGTGAGTACCCTATCACGTACTCAAGGATGAATGCTGACAGCGTGCAGTGGGCATCCAAATTCAGGAGATGCCGGTTAGTAGCGCCATCATGTCACCCTGGAACAAGGAAGTTGTCATACACGATGGAGAAATCGAAGTCACAGGTAAGTCACAGCCTACCTTTCGCTGCCAACATTTCTAACATATCCAGGCTGGGCATATTCCGGCGGAGGTCGCTGGCCCGAACGTGTCGAAATTTCAGCAGACGGCGGCTATGTCTGGTACGCCGTACCCATCGAAAACCTCTCCCCAAAGCACAAATTCGCCTGGCGCACCTTCAAGGGCAAAGTCCCTTGCGACCACGAAGGCTGGATGGAGCTAGTCGTTCGGTGCTGGGACAACAGTCTCAACACGCAGCCTATGGAAGTACGACATAGCTGGAATTGGAGCTTGCATATAACAAGCAGTTGTCACCGTGTCAAGGTTTATAGTGTTAATGCGAAGAGAGAGGCTACGAGGAAGAGGTTGATGGAGTTTAATGAGCATGGGGAAGGGTTTACGCCTATTACTAGACCGAGCAGTTTTGTGCCGATGAGTATTGAGGAGTATCAGAGGGTTACTAAGGATGCGGAGCCTAGGGATGTTGATGAGTAGGGGAATGAGTTTGCCTGCCCATATTTATGATTGCGAGATTATTCTGAGTTTTAACTGCTACTAAATACGATTCTCACAAGCCATAGAATTATTGTCTTTTTTTTTAAATGAGCTTTTGCTGGCAATCCGATTGTTAAATACAATGCATCACGAGTCGAGTCGTAGATGGTGTCGTAGACATTCTTTTGCCGTGTTCTTAGCCGACGGCTGGGTTACCCTCGTCGTCAATTTTCAGTGCGACCGAGTATTACCACCTCGCGGACCATTTTGGCCGTAATGATCGCGTCGAACCCCATAATAAATGCCATCTATGACGCTTTTGATATGTGTCGGCAATCGATAAAAATCACGTCACAATTGTGTGTTAGACAACTTCAAATGCCGGTAGGCCGGATATAAGACCCATCAAGACCACCAATCGACGCGCAATTATTTGCCAATGCTGAGAAACATTATTTAGTGTAAACCTCATATAAATTTATATCATTGACAATGGCTGTGAGTATTTAGACGGTTTCTCGAAATTGCGCATCGGCTAATTCATCATGATAGTCAGAAGAACCTCCCGTGTATACCCTCGCTGAGGGTATGCCAGTCCGAGACCCAACGTCATCCGTCATCCTCAAAGGACCCAGAGGCGGTCTTGGTCTTTTAGCCGATACCCAACTCATCGAGACTCTCGCTCACTTCCCCCGAGAGCGTATCCCCGAGAGGTACCCTGACCTCCTACCATTTTCTTCAACACAGCTAACAAAAACAGAGTCGTCCATGCCAAAGCCGCAGGCGCATGGGGAACATTCGAATGCACCCACGACATAACATCCTGGTGTTCCGCCGCCCCCTTCCGCCGCATCGGCAAACAAACCCCCGTCCTAGCCCGCCTCTCCACCGTCGCCGGCGAAAAGGGATCTTCCGATACCCTCCGTGACATCCGTGGCTTCGCCCTCAAGATGAAAACAGAGGAAGGAAACTGGGATTTTGTAGGGAACGACTTGCCTGTTTTCTTCATCCGTGATCCTGCCAAGTTTCCTTCACTGAACAGATCGCATAAACGTCATCCGCAAACTGCTGTTGCGGACGCGAGTATGTTTTGGGATTTTCATAATCATAACCAAGAAGGCGCGCATTGTCTCATGCAGCTTTTTGGACCGAGGGGTGTCCCTGCTTCATTGAGGAATGTAAATGGTTTTGGAAATCATACGTTCAAATTTGGTAAGCCCGAGGATGGATCGTACAAGTATGTCAAGATCCATTTCAAGCCTGATGACGGTATCAAGAATCTGTCGCAAGAAGATGCTGTTCGTCTTGCTGGAGAAGAGCCAGATTATCACGTCAAGGATATGTACAACGCCATCGAAAAAGGTGACTATCCATCCTGGACAATGATGTTGCAGGTCATGGATCCTAAGGAAGCAGAGACGTACAAGTGGAACATCTTCGACATCACCAAGATCTGGCCGCACAAGGACTATCCTCTCATTCCTGTTGGAAAACTCACATTGAACAAGAATCCGGATAATCACTTTGCAGAAATCGAGCAGGCTGCTTTTTCGCCGTCGACTCTGATTCCTGGAATTGCGCCGTCGGCTGATCTTATGCTTCATGCGAGGATGTTTAGTTATCCCGACGCAGCGAGGTATCGCGTTGGGCCGAATTATCAGCAGTTGCCTTGTAATCGGCCTTTGGATACTTATTCGCCTTATCAGCGTGATGGACCGATGAGATTGGATGGGAACTATGGGTCCGACCCTGATTATGGTAAGTCTCACGCTCTTGATATCTTGTATGGATATTGACATTCGCAGTGCGCTCTTCATTCCGCAAAGTCAAGAGTGGTCCTGCGGACGTCGCCCATAGTGAATGGCTTGGCAAAGTACAAGCCTACTCTTCCGAGGTCACAGATGAGGATTGGGAACAACCGCGTACTCTGTGGAAGATGTTCAAGGATAAGGGCGAAGATGAAGTCTTTTTGAACAACCTTTCTGGCCATGTCAATAAGGCACTTCCTCGAGTTCAGAAGGAGACAGCTGGTAAGTGCTGACCAGGCTATTGTCGAAGTGAAGCTGACAATATTCTAGAAATGTGGAGGAACGTTGACCCAGAGATTGGTGATCGATTGGAGGAGAAATTGAACAAGATGAACGAGAATGTTGATCATTCTAAGGCGCCTCCTAGTCAGAGAGTCTTGGCCGAGCGTATGAAGTGAGAGGAGTTTCGGATTGTGTCATAGCGTTCCATACATGCACTCGATAGCACGGTGCAGAATTTTCTAGAGTAAATCTGGGGAATAGCTTAATCATTATTACTAGTTTACGCCCGAGATTATACAATTTGTGTAAGGAGGATACTAAGTCCGCTCAAGTGCCCAAAAAACAAACCAAAGTCCTGCACCAATGCTTTTCCACTTCTCAAACAATCTCCTTCATATCATTCCACTGATAAATAATATGTCTCTCCCCCAAAGCTTCCTTAAGCACAATCAACAAATCATCCACACTCCCAAGAAACTTCAAATACAAAGTAACAGCCACACAATACCGTCGATGATTCTCATCCTGAACCAAGCTCGCCGTCAAGATAACCTCATCACCCTGACTCTGCACCAAATCCGTCGCCCGCCTAATTAAAGGCGCAGGTAACCTTTCTGGAAGAGGAGACCCTGTTCGTAGAGCTTGTTCAATAATGGCTAGGACGGCCATTATATCGCCTATGGAGCGGTCGTCGAGAATTCCTGCGACGCGGACGAGACGGTCTTGGAGTTCTTTGGGGAGGGTGGATGCGAGGTTTAGTAAACCGCCGAGGGCTTGGTTCATGTATTGGAGTTGTTCTTTTGTTCGTAGAAGGACTTTTTGGTCAAAGGGCCCGAAACTAAGCTCGCCTTTTAGTAAAGCGATGGAGGGACTCAACGCGAGGAGAACTTCTGCGACTTCGATAGAAACGTTCTCGGCGACTGCACCCAAAGCGCCGTTCCTATCAGTACGACCCCAGTGGGAGATCAAGAGCGCGTAGTGATCCGACAAGCTGCGCACGGAATTGGCGAGCGTTTTGCACACATGCGTAGTCCCAGAAGGCGGACTCGGAAACAACTGCACAATAAACGCTGCCAAGAAACCAATCAGGACAGTAACGACTCGTTTCCAAAATGCTTCGTAGCCTTTCCCTGGAATACCATACTGCACGATATGGTCATGGTCCCAACTAAACCCGATAACAAGACAAAACGTCGCAGCTGCCATGATAGTAGCGAATTGGAATGCAGGAGGGAGAAACAGACGCCACCAAAGAAGAGGAATTATAGCGACGCCTGTTGCTGCTGCCATGCCGTAGGGGTTTCCTATTCCGCTTCCTGCGCCGATGTACCACGTTACCATACCGATCACACCGCCGACTATAGTCCCTGCTGTTCGGGCGACGAGGGAAAATGTAAAGTCGGCGAGGTAGACTAAAAGAACTGTCTGAGCGCTGATGACTGCCCAAATTCCTTTTTCTCGGTAGAAGAAGCCTGCGGTGTGGGGAATGACGGCTGGTATGGATGTCGCTACTGTCACGACTACCATTCGCAAAGCGTACATACCGGCTGGATTCGTAAACCAATTGTACGTCGCCATAAGAACGCGACTGAACTTATTTCGTCTTGCGGAGGACCCTTTGTAGCCGCGGCTTACTTCTAATCTTCGTCTTGTCTCCTTAGCTTGTTCGTCAAAGGTTTGGCCGTCCATTAGTTTATCTGGATCTTCTTCTGCGGCGACGTCGTGACCTGGATATGTGATCTGCCCGTGGAAGAGCCAGGATACAGCGTATTGGATGCGGGAAGGTACCCAAAATCGAACTTTTGTGTGCTTCTCGGAGAGATTGAGGATGTATTCTAGGAGATTTTCCACTGCTGTTATCCAACCGAGCATTCGCTCCTCTAGAACCATAGCGATGACCAAACTGGGAAGAAAAGGCCTATCGGTTCCTTCAATCGGTTTCAGTTTCCCATTGGCGTCAAATAATTCTGCGTGTGCTTCGAGAACGCCTTTCGTTGTGTTGACGATGCATGCCTCTCTAGCAATTCGAGATCGAGCAAGAAGATCGTGAAGATTTCGATTAAGTTCTTCGAATCGTGCGGGCGAAGTCTTTCTGACCCAGCGACAGTTATTCACGGCCTTGATATAATCAGCTGCGAGATTGACTGCCTGTGGTCCGATCTCCATGACCTCGGCCAGTGTTTCCAAGAGTGTGTTCTTCGTCTTGCTGCGCAGTTCAGCGCCTTCTGGTCTTTCGAAAGCACTCAGAAGAGTTACAGTTTCTTGTCGCTGACGACGACCAATTTCGTATTTCTCTGTCCCAATGACTGGTCCAAGGTGGCCATCTGCTTCAGCCTTTCTGTGCTCTTCTTCTTTGTGTTGGCTTCGAACGCGACCGATCTGGAAATCGATGAGGTAAAGACTTGTGTACATAACCCTGCGCGCGCGTTCATGTAGACCTTTGATGTCGTCCGCGCCCCAGAGACCGCGGGAGAAGTCCAGTGGGAGGAATGCGATAGGGGGTTGTCCGGCTTTGAAGGCTGAGATCATACCAGCTCTACTAGCCTGAAGTTGTGCAAGTGGGCTACTGTTTCCTTGTAAACCCTTTTTTGTGAAGACGATCGCTTGGTTCGACATGCGAACAAGCCTTTCAAGGCCACTGAGAACAACATGCGAGGTTGAGTGCGGGAACAAGAATAAGCAGCACACCAAACCTAGACCAATTCCAACAGCGCCAGGCAGAACAAGCACTCGAGCAACGTCTCCCGTAAATCTCGGAAGTCCGGGACCAAACAGAATGAAGATATCTGTAACAATCGTCCCAAAGATCTGCATAACCACAGTTTTCGGATTCGCACACCTCAATCTTGCCAACGCATAGATAAACAAACAGCCCAAACACATAAAAACAGTTGTAACCCTCGCATCAAGCATAAACCCATTATGAATCAAAATCTGCGCCTCCCAGGTCGGACTTTGTCCTGTACTCTGTGCATTCCGCACAGCTTGCGTCTGCAACTCCCCCAACAAAGCAGTCGTTTGGGAATCAGGTCTTGCAGCCAGTGCAGCTTTCATAGTCAACAGCCCCCAGCACCATGCTAGACACATACCCAAAAGAAGTGAGAACGCGCCGAGAAGGTAGATGAAAACGATGCTGGCTGGTGGCACTGCAAACAGAAGAATTGCGCCGAGAAAGGTTGCTTGGCCGAGTTCGACGAGGGATGGGTGGATGAAAATTAGGAGCATCATGACCCAGATCGCGATCCAGCAGCGGATAAAGATTTTGAGATCGTGGGTGTTGAAGTGGTCTAGCCATGGTGGAAGTTTGCGTTTCGGAGGTGGTTGAGCCGCCTCTGTCTGGGTATCTGAGGATTGATCCGAAGCCATTGTTGTCGCTCAATTGATGTTTGAAGCAATTGAGAGATTTGCTGACGTCCGAAGAATCCGAGGTAAAGAGGTTGGACTAGCTTGTGGTTACTGGTGGCTATGACGTGTGTATGGGGTTTGTGGAAGTTAATATGACACTAGACTGGCGTTAGCGGATGCGGCATGCTGAGAGGCTGGAAAAGTGTTTCACTCAGAGATGCATGGTGACATTCTCGTTTTCAGCTGGATGAAAACAGCAATTCTGCTTATTTTCTCTGCCCCGGGGACAATTGCGAGTAAAATGTCAGGCGAGACGCTTTCCGGATGACTGAGGTGCTGGCTCTGGACTTTTGGTGGAGAGCTCAGCTCTGGAGGAGATCAAGATCAAGATTTGGCTGTGGGTCGAGAGAGCTTGTACCTGGAGCTAGTGGACCCAATAGCATTGTGCTCACTAACCTTGGCAAAGGAGGAAATCTTCAACAATAGCCATTTTTCGCGGTCACAATCACAATCTCTCGGGATCTGCACAATTCACAATGACTCCTCCAAGCCAGATTAGCGACTTGGCACTCCAAGATAAGGGTCACATCCATACCTACCCCGCCAGATAGGTGTCACAAGAAATGTCCTCCAAGGCTTAGGCTACAGAGATAAAGTAGCCTAAATGCTAGGCTAAGCTGGTACAAGGTGATCAAATTATTTTATCTCTTATGCTCTTGGGGGCTAATTCTTATGACACCCTGGGGCCCGCCTTGGCGATCTCCGTTGCACTGGCGATCCTCTCGCGTAAACAGTGACATCCAATAAGCAAACAAAGTCTCGCAAACAGCAAGAGCTAGCATCCCCGCACTGCACTGCACCTATACTTGCGACTGTGAGTCACTGCTAAGTTGAAGATGAATTGGCAAGAGTGCCCGTGAACCTGCCACCGATAACTTTTCCCTCAACATCGTCACCCTAGGCCAGCGCTTTTAGGCACATCGCCTTCCAAACCTCAAAACACTTCCAAACTACCACATCCACATCCACAACTCTCGTCAAAATGTCACTTCCCCACGAACTCGAGCTGGCCTATAAGGTCGCTGTCATCAGCGGCGCATCCCGAGGCATCGGTCGCGCCATCGCCTACAACCTCGCCTCTCGAGGTTGCTCTATTCTCGGCACATGCACCAGCGAAGACGGGGTCGAGTCGCTATCGACTGGACTCAACAACCAGATCACAAAGGACGTCTACAAGACGTTGTACGATCGACCCTACAATCATATCATCAAAGGCATTATCGCCGACGTTTTCTCGCCTGAGTGCGCCAAGACCATCGCCGACGCGCTACAAGAACACTTCGATGGCCACGTCGACATCTTCGTCAATTCCGCGGGCGACCCTATGCCCGGTGTCATCGGCGAAATGGGCACCGATGAGATCCAACGAAGCCTCCTCGGCAACGTTCAGACACCAGTCCTCATTGTCGAAGAGCTCGTCCGACGAAAGTACTTTCAGCCCAACAGCCGCATCATCTACATTTCCTCCGTCCGCTCCCGCCTTCCCTGGGCCGATCAACTCATGTACGCAGCCACCAAATCCGCCGGTGAATCGCTCTGCCGAACTTGGTCCCAGGCCTTTGGTGGCAAAGACGAGCGGTATGCCTTCATGGCTGGCACCACAGCGAACGCGGTCATGGCCGGGCTGACTGAGACCGACGCTGTCATGGACTGCGGCCCCGAGGCAGTCAAGAAGTTTCAGGATGAATTCTTTCCGTTGCAGAGCAGCCCCAAGTTTGGACAGCCGGAGGATGTGGCGGATGTTGTGGGCATGCTTTGTGGATACGATGGGCGATGGATCACGGGGTCGGTGATTAGTGCAAGTGGAGGATGCATCAAGATTGGGTAACCTCAAGGTATCGGAGAATTGACCGCAAAAGCCTAAGAGACGAAATAAACTTAGACTTGCTTAGGTACTAAGCTTAGGGACTATCCTAATTCTTATCATACCCTTAGCTAAGTCTTGCTTCTTCTTTGACCCACCTGAGCGTTACGTCCCTTGGAAATTCGGCCGAACTTACAGTGGTAGTTAGGCAGTACAGCACTATTGAGAAGAGCATGGGTTTGATGGTTTTATTGAGGTACTAAGGTTATCTGCCAGAGACTCCCTCAATACTGGTAATCGAATGCAAAATATGTAAAAGGATGACAAAAAAGAAAATGTGATCGTACCTCATGTTTAGCCTACCATTCGTCTGGCTTTCCAATTTCGCGATGCTCGGCCCGTGCAAGAACATCATCAACCTGTGAAGGTTGCAAAACCCAAGCCTTGACCAGCGCTTCCAGAACAGCCTTGACATACGTCTCACTATCACCGCGCGCAGCAACTCTCCCAATCAAAGGCAAAGCCTCCTCAAGTAGATACTGCGGAATACAACTCACAATGAAATACTCAGCCTGAACATCAGGTATGCGATTACAAATGAACACAGCAACCCACGGAGGCAGACGACCAGTCGTCCTAGCTTCATAAGTACGCCAAGTATTTTCTCCTTGCTTGTGCAGGACAAACGTTTAGGTGGAGCGGTTGACGGCTACGAAGAGCTCGATTGGAGCTTGGCGGGTGGAGTAGTATGCGCTTGTGGTGCGGAGGGGACCGTAGTTTGGGTCATCTAGGTCGTGTTGGATGCCGTTGATGAAGAGTTTGGGACGTTGGGCTTCAAGGATCTCGGCGTCGGACATCCAGACGTCGGCCGGGGCGTTGGGTGAGATGAAGGACATTTTGAACGAGGTGGGTCTTTGATATCGATTAGTGGATAATGAGTCTGCTGGTTTAAAGCGGAATGATTTGCATTGTTGTAAAGACTTGTGCGTAAGGTGGTATTTGTATCAAGAAGCTGAAGGAGCAGTATCCAACGAACATTTCACAGCTATGTTTCCTCATTGTAGGTTTCTTTGTGATAATGTTTCATTCGAAATTTAAACCTCACAATCACTACAAACAAAGCCCTTTGTCGATACGAACAGTGCTTGTATCTTTGCCAACAGTGTTCGGAGGATTTCCTTTGCGACAAAGCATTATGCAGGGGAATAGTGCCCCATATATTGTTCTGAGCTAGTCCTTCCTTCGAAGGAACACGACAGGCCCCTCATACACCCTGTCATGAGAACTCGGTCCCGAGCTCGCTACCCTATATCCGACATGGCAAGATAGTCGGACCATCAACTCATCCACAAATGATCATTTGATAGGTTTATAAGTCGAAATTAGATTTCCTATGTCCACATCACAGTCTCACTGAAAGAGGAGCCGTTGAAAGCATGAGAAGCAATTTATGTGGTTATTTTGTGTGAGCGGAAATCATCGTTGGGCAATTTGGTCTCAGTACAGCAGTATCCAAAATATTTCATTTTTATGATTTCTCAGCCTAGGGATATAATTCATCAAGACTCATCACCCTAACCCTACAGCTGTTCAGGAACTACCAAATTCACTTCACCCATATTTTCCTCATAGTATAGAGAAGCAATTAGGTACGTGCTCATCTGAGATACCGTGAGCCCACTGAATCCTTTCGGCTTCAACTATCGCAAAAGCCCGCGGGATATAGAATATTCTCAAAGTAAGGCCATATTAATGAAAATAGGATGTTGCTTTGACTTAGCAAGGGACGTGGGTTGGTCATGGCATGATGCTAGAATCCTTCAAAATCCTTCGATCTTGGCTTTTCACAATCTCGGCCTGCCCTGTGGGTACCTGCATCAAATACGGGGGTAGATATGTATTCAAGTGGAATAATGTCTCAAACGGAAAATAATATCCTCCTTGCAGTTCCATAATTCTATGAATAATGTTTTCACGTGCTCTACTTGTGTTCTACAGTAGATTGGCGATGCCAAGAACACTTTTGTACTACCTCGGTTACTGACGATCAAGATCTGCACAAAAACCTCCGAAAGAGCCCACAACTCCGTTAACGTGTCCAAATAGTTCTCGGCACTTGATGTCATAGACTTGGAGTTAAATACATCTTCTGCAAAGGATGCATTATTCGGCTCTTTACCGGCGTTGACAGAAACGCATGAAGCCATCGTGACCTAAGATCAACATCTGCTTAGTCGATATAATTCAACTTCTAATGCAACAATTGTCGTCAGGGGATTATTCCATCAATAAGGACTGATCTTGGCCTACGAGAAGCAAGATAATAGGACCGAAACGTAGTCAAAGTTTGAATGACAGCATGACCATTCCGAGAGTTGAACTAACCCAGATCCCACGTTGACAGCCGTGGATGCATATAAGCGTCCCAAATACTACACAATCCCGCTCACACATTGCGGGGGCGGCCCGAATGGAAGCATAAATAATTACTCGTCCAAACTATACGATAGTGTCAATGACTAGGCTTACTTGCCCGTTCGGTCCCGGGTTATCGGAGCTCCGTCGCTCGAATAAGGAGGTGGATGAACTAGACTCACGGTGAAACGATGCTCAGACCATTCAATCCCATGTTATTTCCTGATTATTTGGTCTGTTCATAGGGTACCACAAAAGTCGCCTGCTCAGAGCACATGGGACAAAATAGCTTGATCATCTTGTTGTGGCTGGACGGTGACACCCAGGTCAAGTTAATTTGCTGACCTGACTCTGCTTCTGTCACCTCCTTGAGAACAAGAAATGAAAGGCAAGCGGAAACTCCGCTGTCAAGTGACACTAGACCAGATGAGATTTCGGGCCGATCTGCTGATCCCTGTCTCACTCATGATCTTCGAAACAGCCAACCGCTCGTGCCCCCCGGATTCCAAAAAAGACCCCGCAGTTATGCAAATCGGGGGCTTTTTCATCCTTCTAGAAACTAGTTTGAATCCTTTCACTATGCTTCGGCACTGCAATTAAATCCTTCAATAGTTGAAACATTAGTATAAAACTCTCTTTGTCCCCTCGTATCTTTGGTCTATCATCACCATCATCTGCTTTCTTCACTCTGTCGCTTACTTCATTTCACCGCCATCTTCTGTTGACCATGAAGCTTCTTCAACTCGCCGCCCTGGTGGCGTCTCTCAGCCCCTTCACCAACGCTGCCGACGCAAACGCCTGGAAGTCGCGAAACATTTACTTTGCGCTTACAGACCGTGTTGCGCGCAGCGGTAGCGATAACGGTGGCAACGCCTGTGGCAATCTTGGAAATTACTGTGGTGGAACTTTTAAGGGTCTTGAGGCTAAGCTTGATTATATCAAGGGCATGGGCTTTGACGCTATCTGGATTACCCCCGTTGTTGAGAGTGAGTACATCGGTTTTGAACAGTATGGGGCGATGACTAACGTTTGGTAGACACTGATGGAGGATACCATGGATACTGGGCCAAGGATCTGTACGCGGTCAACTCCAAGTACGGAACCAAGGATGACTTGAAGAACCTTGTCAAGGCTGCTCACGGCAAGGTAAGATATACCATCAACCTCGGAACAAACCATACTAACTGTTTAGAACATGTACGTCATGGCCGACGTCGTCGCAAACCACATGGGCAAGGGTATCCAAAACCACAAGCCCTCCCCCCTCAACCAACAAAGCTCCTACCACAGCTCCTGCGCCATCGACTACAACAACCAAAACAGCATCGAGCAGTGCGAAATCGCTGGACTCCCCGACCTCAACACCGGCAAGGCAGAGGTCAAGAAGGTTCTCAACGACTGGATCAAGTGGCTCGTCTCCGAGTACAGCTTCGACGGTATCCGCATCGACACCGTTAAGCACGTCGAGAAGAGCTTCTGGCCTGACTTCCAGAAGGCTGCCGGTGTCTTTGCTATCGGTGAGGTTTGGGATGGAAGCCCTGATTACCTTGCTGGGTACTCCAAGGTCATGCCTGGTCTGCTCAACTATGCTATGTACTATCCCATGAACAAGTTCTACCAGCAGAAGGGTGATCCTTCTGCTGTTGTTGATATGTACAACGAGATCAGCCAGAAGTTCGATGACCCTACCCAGCTTGGTACTTTCATTGACAACCACGACAACGCCCGTTGGTTGAGCCAGAAGAACGACAAGGCCCTCCTCAAGAACGCCCTCGCATTCACTATCCTCGCTCGTGGCATTCCCATCGTGTACTACGGCACCGAACAAGGCTACGCAGGAGGCAACGATCCCGCCAACCGCGAGGATCTCTGGCGCAGCAAGTTCAACACCGACGCCGATCTCTACCAAACCATCTCTAAGCTCGGCAAGGCCCGCTCTGCCGTCGGTGGTCTCGCCGGCAACGACCAGAAGTTCCTCAAGTCCAACGACAGCGCCCTCATCTGGAGCCGCGCCGACGGTGATCTGATCGTTGTTACTCTGAACCGTGGAAAGGGATACTCTGGAGAGTACTGTTTCAACACTGGCAAGAACAACAAGACTTGGGACCGTGTTCTGGGACAGGGAAGTGTCAAGTCCGATGGTAGTGGTAAGCTTTGCGTTAGCTACTCCAACGGCGAGCCTGAGGTTCTTGTCGCTGCTTAGGTGAAAATGGATGACTAGTACTGGATACTGTCGGGGGTTTGTTTTTTATTCTTTATATACATAGCTTGAGCTCAGCAATTATTCTGTCGACACTTATCTTGTGTTTCTCATTTTTAGCGTGAAACAGTGACAGCAAGCGCGAAGATTGGATGGATGCCAGATTATCGAAGATAGCGCCGATATCTCAGGAAACGACCCAAATGGTCCTCTAAAAATAACCTTGATCCTTAACAAACAAGAGATTCGTTGGTTCTTTTGTGGCTGCTGTCATGTTTGAACCGACCCAGCCGCTAATTTCATCGTAGCATGCCCCATAAAAGGTCAGCTACAGTGAGTCGCGCCAGCACCAGTAGTGCCAATAGTCCCCTGCCAAGTCCAATAGTCCGCTACGCTAGTGGGTTTATTCCAATATTGAAATTACCCGACCGGACCATGTCCATGATCTGAGGTTGACCAAGGACTTTATAATTTGGTCGCGTCCTTATTCACTCCTGTTCGTGTCGTTGGTATGCTCGTTTCGCCATCATGAAGCTCAACCTCTCTGGTCTGCCACTATTGGCGCTGTGTCAACTTGCCGCTGCGTCACCATGTAAGCCTCCAAGTTCTTCGTTGACGACTGGCTTGACTACCGCCGATGCCATTACAGAGCACTCGACGACAGCCGAATCCATTCCGATCTTCGAAACTAATTTGCCATCCTCGATCGCCACTACGGCTCAGACTGGGACAACTGAGTCGGTGGCCACTCTGGAGACTGATACTGTTTCTGAGTCTGCTACCAGCTTGGAGGCTTCCACCGCTTCTGAATCTGAGACTTTGTTGACAGAATCTATTACCTCCACTTGGGGTGCCAGCTCTTCCCAGGCTGCTCCTACATCTGAGCGTACTGTCAGTTCTCAGGCCACATCAGCTTCTGAGACCGAGGTTGACAGTACGACAACTGAAATGGTAGCCACTCCCGAGTCTACTACAACCTCTGACATGCCCATAATCTCAACTACCTCAGCTGAACCAACAACCACAACATCAAGCATCCCGCAGGAGCCAAACAACGTACTCCAAAATCCCAGCTTTGAAGAAGCCACCATTTCGCCATGGACCAAGGTCGCTAGAGTCGGCACCTGGGGCCTATCGACGTCCGAATCCCGGACTGGCGCGCAGTCTGTTCTCTTCTCCTTCCAAGATCCATCGGCTTTCAACGCCTACATACGGCAACAAATAGACACATCCCTTCTCCAAGCCAACAAGATGTACGAATTCACTGTGTATACATTGGCAACTGTGGAAGCATCATGTGCGACACGAATCATTTCATGTCATACGGGAATCCAAAACATGGTCGGTAGTAAGCTTGGGTCTTCAGCGAATCCAGGTACTTGGCAGCCTCTGAAGGTCGAGTGTACGTGGTCGCAAGCTGAGTTGGATGCTGGGGCGTATATTAGGATTTTCTTGTATGGTTCTTGCGTGAAAATGGACTGGTTTATCGATGATGCGACTTTTGTTGAGGCTGTTTAGACGTAGTCCTTTTCTCTAATCGTATAATCTGAGCTTTATTTCATTCCAATAATTTTTATTTCAAGTGTTTTGTTCACTCCCTAACAAGGAGATTCACAAGGAACATCTGCCGTGGCAGTGCCTGATCACGTTGTACAAAGAAATTCTAGACGCGGCTGGCTGCTAGGCTACCACCACTGCCTGGTATCAGTACATTTGTCTAGGCCCCACTCCAGTGCGTTGAACAGTACCTCTACTTGGCACTGTTGTCACCATAACAAACAGCAGAACAAGAACAAACGGCGGGCTGTTCATCTCCTGCTATGTTCTTTTCTCTACAATCTTTTCGTCGCAATTCATTCTTTCTACCTTCAAACATCCCAAGAGACAAAACAAGTTGAACACTTTATGCCACCTTTACAGTAGCTCTTAGGCTACCTTCGCCAAGATGCCGTCACTCACGGCGCTCCCGACCGAGATAGTCCTCGCCATCGCCGAACTCTTGGGTCCTGCAGATATCAAAGGTGCGTTGTGTTCGCTTCCATCGCGCGACTTGAAAGCTAATCTTCAAAAAACAACTTAGGTCTCAGCTGCATGAACCGCCGTCTTCGAAATGCCGTTACCCACATCCTCTTCCGAACGCTCAGCATCGCGATGCCCCTAGTCTCACACCTGTTGCTTGAGCACATGCTCGAGAAATACAACAAGTTCATCTCTCGCATTCACCTCCACGTGTTTCTCCGACCAAACCTGGAGGAAGATAACGACAATACCGTTATGCCAAGTATCGGGGGCACAATGAAAAGCGGCACATTGCTTGACCTCGTCAACGGAAAGATCTTCTCCCACATCGACTCGTTCAGCATCCACTTCGATCCTTGTCAGTTTGACATCGCCGTCCGTTGGTACGGAAATGACGGCGACTGGGGCGGCGGATACGGCAGCGGCAGCATCACTGTGTTTGAAGATGAAGAAGACGAGGACGCATGTTTTGAACTTGAGGAGGAACATGTCTGGCGCGCGCAGTACTTCCAATTACTCGCGGAAGTTATGCAAAACCCAAATATCAAGAAACTCCGGTTCATCAACCTGCTTCCTCGGCGAACCAAAGTCTTCGACACGTTGCAGTGGGAGAAGTTCCTTGGACAACTTACCCACTTTGATCTTGGTATCTTCGGAGCCGAATCTGATGGCGGGAGCGGTAATGCTATGCCTGGCTTTACGCAGTTCGTGGGAGAGTTCTTACCCCAGGACATCATGAAGTATTTGATCAACGTCAAGCATCTGAAACTTGAGGCGAACGAGTTGAGTGTCTTCGGAGCGGGCCTCTACGGTGAACACTACTATGCCCACGATGTCTTTCCCCTCGCCAGTGAGATCCCAACCCTCCAGTCCCTCGAGCTCAAGAACATCACTCTCGGCGACTCCTTTCTGGGGTACCTTCGAAAGCAAGCTGACCTCCGTGAGCTAACACTTCACAACTGCATGTGCGTGTGCCCCGATGAGCCTGAGGAGGAAAATGATGATATTTGGTCAGATCCAGCAAATGCAGACGCATTGGCTGTAAGAGTTGGCTGGTCAGACATTTGGCATACCATCATACTGTGGAACAAAGCCATACAACAGGTCACCTACCTGCAGGATGAACAGCCTCCTCTTCTTGATGAAGATCCTCCTCTGCCCAAGGGTTCGATCGTGTGGAGGCATGTCAAGATTGACAAGTACTGGGGGAATGTGGTAGAGGATGAGGAGGCCAATACTGAAGAGTATCGCTGCGGCTGTTCCTCCGACATGAACAGCAATTTGATGAAAGTGCTGATTTCGCGGCGGCACAAGGAAGCACTGCCCACTTAGGCTCAGACTACAGAAACAAAGTAGCCTAAGTTCTGGTCTACGCTATCATAAGATGATGAAAGTATTTCATCTCTTGTGCTCATGGAGGCCATTTTTCTGACAACCTGTGGGAGTGGTAGAGGGCTGGGGTATATGCTACTGGATAGCAAGAGAATTGTTGGTGCTTAGGGATGTCAGAATAGATGGACCAGATACCAGCCTGATATAATTGAAAGCGTGTGAACGTTCTTGTGCTTATAGTCTTTGTCTTGACTCATCTGATACTGAGTCTTGTCTCATGCCATGGTCAATCGTCTATTGTTGTTGATCCTGCAATAGAGGGATCTCATTTTGGAATGTCACCTCTTACAGAAAGATACTAGATAATGCCACTGCGACTGCCACTACTACTGCTGAGAGCGTTTCCATTTACTCCAAGCAATTCGAGCAGGTGAACCTAGGTCAGGCGGTGAGGCTAGGAAGAATTACCCTTTACCTAAGGCTTAGGCCACAGAAATGAAGTACCAGAAATACTAGCCTAAGCTACTACAAGTTAACCAAATCCTTTCGTCTCTTATGATTTCAGCGGTCATCTTCTAATGCCCTGCCAGCCAGGCATCATCAGTACAATGACCCAGGCCCCACTTAAGCACGTCGCGCAGTGCCTCCCTCTCCCTTCCTCCACTGCCTGTGTGCAAACAGGCAGCTCCACGATTATTCACAGCAACCTACTTTTCTTCTCTTCAACACCACCACAAAATGCGGTCGATGGTGACCCTTCCGACTGAGCTGATCGTGGAGATCGCCGAAAACTTGAGTGGTGACCTCAAGAACTTCAGCTTGACAAGTCATCGACTTCGTCATGCTATCAGTCACATCCTTTTTCGCACACTCAACATTGCCTGCCCCCTGGTATCGGGCATGCTGCTAGAGCACGTGCTCGTCAAATACAGGTGCGTCACTTTAGTATTACGCATGCCTCTTACCGGCTGTTGTGATGTGTTGGTTTTGGTGGAGGGAAGAGGAAAAAACCCCGGATGGAAGCAAACAGTGCATTTCGTGCCAGGCCGAAGATATTATCAGGACGCATGCCTCTTAAGCATATACTAATCAATTACAGGCACGCCATTTCGAGGATTCACCTGCACATCCGCCTCCGACCGAATTTACCCGAAGACGACATCGATGAATACGACATCAACGGAATGCCCTCTATCTGGGGCACAGAACGAAGCTACACCCTACTCCAGCTGGTCCGCGGGGAGATCTTCTCTCACATCGATTCCTTCAGCGTACATTTCGATCCATCACAATTTGACCTCGAAGGTTGTTGGTTCGGAGATGGCGGTACCTGGGGCGGCGGCGGCGGCGAAAGCATCTCTGTCTTTCAAGATTACGAAGATGATGAAGCCTGGGAAGGCGATGAAGGCACGAACGGCGACGGAATGATGCTCAACTTTGAAAGGTTGTACATCTGGCGTGCGCAGTACAACCAGGTGTTCGAAGCCCTCGTCATGAACCTCAATATCACGAAACTCCGCTTCGTTAACCTGCTTCCAAAGCGCGCCTCAATCTGGTATTCTGATGACTGGGTCAACATGTTGCAAAGACTTACACATTTCGACGTCGGTATTTTCGGAGCCGAAAGTGCTGGATGGCACGGCAATACGACAGATGGCTTCATAGACTTTATCAACGAGTTTCTTAACTTCATCGCGTTCTACCTGACAAACGTCAAGCATTTGAGACTTGAAGCAAGCCCTCTGAGTGTTTTCGGGACGGATACCTACATCACCGGCTGGCATGACCCGTTTCCTCTTCACGGTCCTGCTTCAGCCCTTCACTCCCTCGAACTGAAGAACATCGTCCTCGGTAACGACGTCATGGACTACCTTCGGGACCAGGGTGGCACCCTTCGCGAGCTGACGCTTCACAATTGCATGTGCTACAGTTGCAAACTGGGTCCAGAACCTCGGTGGTCACATATTTGGGACACCGTCTCAAAGTACTGCAAAGTACTGCGAAGACTTAACTTCCTTCAGGATGAGGAACCTCCTCTCGGCAGTTTCAGGATCGCGAACAGAATGGCGAGGAAGAAGAAGGATCTGATTGTGTGGAGATATGCCGACATTGACCCAGAGCGGGGAACTGTCCTTGAGGATGGGGATGCTAATGTTGGAGAAGTCATAACGGGTTGTGCTTTTGAGGAGTACTGTGACTTGCAGGAGACGTTGGCGAGACGCAGAAAGAACTCTATCGACGAGTAGGTGGATGACAGAACATTGTCCTCCAAGGCTCAGGACCAGCGTCGAGGATATGCGCTTCTAGGTTGAGAAGTTGAGAAGAATGTTCTTGGCTGCTCAAAATGCCATGCCAAGATCAGATAGCCTATCTAGGTACGAAGATAGTTGATACCCGAAGCAATCGCGATTCTCTGAGACTTAGGCTACTTTATTTACGTAGTCTAAGACACAGTCTAATCTATCATAAGGTGATCAAATTTTTTCTCTTATGCTGGGGTGACCAATTGTTTTGATATGCAGATACCAGTCCATGGGACCAAAAGCGTCTGAATTATGTTTACCCTGAAGGCTTGGCGGTGATCTTTTCATGGCCCTGACGCTATCGTCAGGCAAGGGTCCATAACCTGTCAGCTCAGCACGTGCCAAACCAACGGCTCGACATTGGCTACCAAACCCAAGAACAACAACCCTCAATACCAGCCCTACCGTTCAAGCGCAAATGAAAGGTCAATCTCTCTTCTCATAATTGTTCCTGGTACCTGGCACTCCCTCATCGCCATTGGCCAACAACCAACGAGCCATGGGTCCGAAACAGGTCTAGACCAAATGACGTGCGCATTTAAAACTGAAGCTTAAAAATAAGGTCTGGAGATCAATTGACTTTCCTTCTTCACCTCCTCATTTGCGACCGCAAAATACTTATGCAATATGGCTATTGGAGGACTGGAACACTCTCTGCGCAGAGTCGCGGATAACAGTCTGCAGACTCTCAAAGTCAATTGGCATCTCGGCTTCACGTCTTTTGGTGGACCGCCCGTTCACTTCAAAATTGTGAGAACAAACCACCGCCTTCATTCTTTGACATGAGCTAACAGAGACCGAGTTCCACGACAAATTTGTGAATAAGCTGAAATGGATCGACGAACAAATTGTAAGTCCAAGGCTTGAATGTCGGGAAGGCAAAGATTGACCGTGTTCAGTACCAAGAGCTATTCAGCGTCGCGCAAGCTCTGTCCGGCCCTGGAAGCACGAAGATGCTGTATTGTATTAATCTCATCCACGGCGGTTTCCTGCAAGCTGTCCTTTCATTCTTGATCTGGAGGTAAACCGACCCAAAACCGTGTTCCCTCGTAGCAAATCTAACTTGAACAGCATACCAGGATGCTTTGGCATGTTAGGCCTCTCAGTCGGTGTCTCCAACATAGGCGATACCCTCCCACGCGCAGTCTACGCCCTCCTCTCCGGTCTCAACGCTGCGACCGTTGGAATTATCGCGCTTGCAGCCGTTGAACTTTCCGATAAAGCCATCACGGATCAAACGACGCGTCTACTTCTTTCGTTTACGGCTATGGCTGGAATGATGTACAATGCGCTTTGGTACTTTCCTGCTCTTATCGTCGTGACGGGTATTGGTACTGTGGTTTATGATTATAAGTGGCTTCATCGTCCGGCACGCGCTGTCAAGAATGCTTATCTGAGGGTTCGACGGGGAAGGGTTACTGAGACGCAGAATGCGCGCGGTGCTGAGAATGGAACGGGTAGCGATGACGGTATCCAGCTTCGTGAGCAAGAGACTACCGAAACTCGAGACGCTGAACCGCGAGTCGTTCCTCAAGAGTATCGTCTCGGCTTCTCATGGAAATCCGGCGCCGCAATCATCGTCACATTCCTTATCACATTCATCATCGTCGTCACCCTCCGAGGAAGTCTTCCCAACGCACCACTCCTCTACAAGCTCTTCGCCAATCTTTACCTAGCAGGAACCATCATCTTCGGTGGTGGACCAGTGGTAATTCCTCTTTTGAGAGAATACGTCGTCGCAGAAGGCTGGGTTAGCCCACGCGACTTTCTAATCGGTCTCGCCATTGCGCAAGCATTCCCTGGTCCAAACTTCAATTTCGCGGTTTTTCTAGGCGGTCTGACAGCCGTTCACGGAGGCTATCCCGCTATTGCAGGGTCGTTGATAGCGTACCTTGGTATTTTCGTTCCGGGCATGGTTTTGGTGCATGGAACGATGGGTATCTGGGAAGTTTTGCGAGGAAGACGCTGGGTGAAATCTGCGCTGCGAGGCGTGAATGCTGGGGCTGTGGGATTGATATACAGCGCTGTATACAGGATTTGGCAGGTTGGGTTCATTGATGAGGGGTTCCAGGCGGGGAAGAGTTTGGCGGATGATCCGTGGTGGGTTGTTGTTACGGCGACGGCTTTTGTGGGAGCGAGGTACTTTAAAGTGCCTATTCCTTTGGCGATTCTTTTGGGTGCTTGTATGGGGTTGGTGAGATATGGGATTGTGTCTGCTTAGTGGACACTGCAAGAGTTATCTTATCGTCGCCTTTGATGATAGCATCATGATCCGGATACTATGGGGCCGAGTCTCGGGATGGCATCCGTGGCCCCCAAAACTCGGCATGTCCGGCATCGGCACCGGAAACATTATCAAAGGTATCATCTATTGTCTCACACCGTCAAGCCATCCTTCACCGTGCTTCTGAAACCGCAAGATAACATTGCTATCCTGTGAATCGATTGGGTCGAGCTATGCCGTGTATCCCTAGCAATGTCCACATGATCATGCCATAATCCGGGGTAGACCCCGATGAAGCGGGGATGGAAAGCCTTCGTCGGCTACGCTAACTCATTTTGTGGCCCTCGTGCAAACCTTACGCGATGTCGGATGGCGTTCCGACGGTGGCTACTTATCTCCATGAGTCCATGAATATAATCTGACGTTTGTTCTTTTGTTCTTTCGTGCTTTTTATCTCTTTTCATCATTAATCGTAATACCTGCTTCCATTCAGCTTCAGTAGTCTCCCCAGACACATCTCTACAATGGCGACAGACGAATCCATCCTCATCCTCGGAGGCGGCTGCTTCGGCCTCGCAACAGCATTTGAGCTCGCACAAAAGGGCTACAAGAACATCACCATCCTGGAGAAAGATGTCGATGTTCCAAGTCGTTTCTCTGCAGCATATGATCTGAACAAGGTCATTCGCGCCGAGTACGCTGATGAGTTTTACACTCAACTAGCCCTCGTACGTGATCCCCTCTCACGCCTCAGATTCTCATATTAACATTCTTCACAGGACGCAATTCGAAAGTGGCAGTCTGATCCCCTCTACACACCGCACTACCACCAAACAGGTTTCCTCAACGTAACATCCGGCAAAGCCGCCCAAAACACCAAAGGCGCAGTAGAAAGCTACTTCCAATCCCTCCAAAACAACCCAGCATTCAACGGCCAAACAACCCGCGTCGCCAACAGTCAAGAAATCAAGAAGCTTGTTCCCAAGTTCACGGGTCCTCTCAACGGTTTCAAAGGTTATCACAACAAACTTGCCGGCTATGGCCATTCTGCCAATGCTTTAAGAGCTGTGTACGAGGAATGTGTCAAGATTGGTGTCAAGTTCCATCTTGGTGAGAAGGAGGGTGAAGTTGATTCTTTGCTGTACGCTTCTAGTCGTGAGGGCAGTAAATGTGTCGGCGCTAGAACAAGAGGTGGAAAGATTCATGCTGCTGATAAGACCATTGTTGCGCTTGGTGCTGATGCAGCTAATCTTCTTCCGAGAATTGGCAAACAAATGACCGGAAGAGCGTGGGGTGTCGCACATATTCAACTCACAGACGAAGAGGCAGCTGATCTTAAGGGTATTCCCGTTACCAACGTGCGTGATCTGGCATTCTTCTTCGAACCAGACATGAAGACCAAGAAGTTGAAATTCTGCCACATGGGCGGTGCATTCACGAATTACTCCTACACCAAAGACGGTCTCTCCCTTCCCTTCCGCGACTTAGCATCCTCTCAATTCATGCCTCTCGAAGACGAAACACACATCCGCCAACTCCTCCGGGAAGTCTTCCCCCAATTGGCAGAACGACCTTTAATTGATCAACACCTTTGCTGGTTTGCCGACACGGATGATTCGGATTTTATCATTGACTATGTCCCTGACACGAATGGTACTTTGGCGGTGCTGAGTGGTGATTCTGGACATGGGTTTAAAATGTTGCCTATTTTCGGAACGTTTGTGCATAAGTTGCTTGCGGAGGGAAGACAGGATGAGAGGAAGTGGCAGTGGAAGGATGGGAAGAGTAAGATTGCTGCTGTGTGGAGGAGTAGTGAGAGTCAGGAACTTGCTGGTGTTCCCAGGGCTAAGCTGTAATCAAAAGCTTAAGATGATCAACTTCTTTCAGCTTGTTTTACTGTCTATAGATTGTCCTCCCAATGCATACACATTCATATCTACCCGACAGTCGACACCGTGTCTTGGCGCGGATGGCTCGGGTCCTTTTGTTTCCCCCCATTCCTTCGTCCTAATCTGATCGCCCAATTCGTGACTCATTACCGTTAATCCTACGCTATGTTTCACTCAAGCTAGCATTCATTCGTCCACCACTGCTTACGGCGCAGATTCACGCACCGCCTTGATTGCCGATCTGATAAAAAAGATCTGATAAGCTTTCATCGTGACCGATAACTCCGCTCTCCATCCGTGAAGTTTTAATTGCAACCAGCTTCGGTCTCCGGGCGCTGCCTATCAACAATCTGGGTATATATACTCTATCGATCTGCCGGTAGATCTGATAATCATCTGCCAAATTATCTTATCAATCAATCATCCATTATGGCTACCGACATCAAAGCAACTCCAGCCGACACTGAACTCGCGTTCATCACTGCCACCAATCCAGACCCGTACCTGATCGCCTTCAATGACCTCGACACCGATAACCCAAAGAATTGGCCCACCCGCCGCAAGTGGGCTGTAACAAATGTTCTCTCGGTGACAGGCTTCAACCGCATCCTCGTCTCAACAGTAATGGCCCCCGCACTCTCCATAATCGCAAAGGATCTATCCATGACACCTACTCAATCCGTTATGGCGTTGAGTATTTATCTCCTCGCGACAGCGTTTGGACCGCTTGTCATTGGTCCTTTGTCTGAGGTCTATGGCAGGAAGACGATTTTGCATGTTTCGAATATTTGGTTTCTTGTTTGGAATGTTGCTTGTGGTTTTGCAAATACGAAGGAACTACTTATAGGGGCGAGATTCTTGGCTGGGTTTGGAGCGAGTGCGGTTTATGCGCTTGGGGGAGGCGTTTTAGGTGATATTTGGAGGCCCGATCAGAGAGGGAAGTCGCTTGGTTGGTATATGGTTATCCCTCTGATCGGTGCTGCCGTCGGTAAATCGCAGTCTCAGCATTTTTAGAAAGACGATTTGCTGATCCTTCCAGGACCTGTCATTGGAGGATTCATGACAGATCGCGTCTCGTGGAGATGGATGTTCTGGTCAACCTCAATCTTCCAAGTTGCCATGGCCGCTCTCTCGTTCACCACCTTCAAGGAAACATATGCTCCAGCCATCCTGAAGCAGCGAGCCAAGAAGCTCCGAGATGAAACCGGCGAGCCATACTACACATATGAAGAACGTGCACAAGAAGGAATGAGCGTCAGAAAGATCCTCAACCAAGCCATGACCCGTCCCCTTCGTCTTTTGATTTTCCACCCCATTATCCAACTCACAGCCATAATCTCCGCAATCGGCTACGGCCTTCTCTACATCGTCCTCACAAGTTTCGCAGAGCTCTGGACCAAACAATACAACCAATCCGTCGAAATCAGTGGTCTGCACTATATATCCTGCGCACTAGGCGAATTGATCGGTTCTCAAGTCGGCGCACCACTAATGGACTACTTATTCCGCAGAATGGAACGTCGCTCAGGCCAGCATCACCCCGAACACAGAGTGCCTCTAATGCTGATCTTCGCCCTCGTCGCACCCATCGGTTTTGTTACCTACGGGTGGTGCGCACAGTTCAAAGTCCACTGGATCTGGGTCGATGTCGCAATGTGCATCACCATGTTCGGCATGCAAATCTCAGGGATGCCGTTACAAGCTTACATGATGGACTCGTACCCTGATCATACGTCCAGTGCGATTGCGGCCCAGCAGTTTCCAAGGAGCTTGGCTGCGTTTTTGTTTCCGTTGTTTACGCCTAAGATGTATGCTGTGCTTGGGTATGGGTGGGGGAATAGTGCTATGGCCTTGGCAGAGTTGGGGTTGGGTGTTGCTGCGCCGGTTTTGCTTTGGAGATTTGGGGCTCGGTTGAGAGCGAGGGCAACGTCGAGTTTGTAAGACAAATTTGTTAATGCGTTGTTAAGATATGGGGGCGGAGGATTGTGGCGTAAGATTATGGTATTATAGGCAGGAATGCGTGGTTGGCCAAGAACAAGCTTAGCCTCGGCTAGGAGAAATACAGTCAGACTTCAGTAGTGCGTGGTCCTATCACATCCTTGACAACGTTTCTTATCTCACGAACATCAAAGTCCAAGAATCTTATGCCTTGTCCACGGGTTACACTCATTTCGGAGCCCGGGTGAAAGCTCCGATATAGTGCTTATGTCACACTGCAGATGTAGATAAATAGTCCAGTTCACACCCGAATATTCTTATCTCCCTCAGTATCTCCACTCTCAACTACAATGGCATCAAAGCAAGAACCACTCGTCTCAACCGGTAGCAAGAAAGGCGATGGCCTCAAAATCATTCACGCAGGCCTCTACCGTACAGGCACCATGTCCATGACCGAAGCCTATCGGATTCTAGGCTACAATCCACACCACGCTCGGGACAACGTCTATACCATTCCCTGGAAGCTTGTCGAAAATGCCGCTGAGGCAACATGGCCTCACATCGCCTCACTTTCTAATTATTCGTACAAAGGCCCTGATGGAAAGCCAATCGCCCGCCCACCGTTTACTAGAGACGATTGGCAGTCCTTATGGGGCGAGTACGACGTCGTCACAGATATCGCATCTACTTTCTCTCTGGAGCTCATGGAGGCGTATCCCGAAGCAAAGGTCGTCATCGTTCAACGACAGTTCGAATCTTGGTGGCCTTCATTCAAATCAGAGCTGTTACAAAGCGTTTTCGATTGCAACTTCATCCAAGCTTTTATCATCCGATATATTGTACGTTTGCGCGCACTGGACGCGATGATCAAGATCCACACTGGCTTCTTCGGTGTGAACGAATTCTCCATGGCGGCCATTGAACCCCGCGCGAGGGATGTCTATGAGAACTACTATAGCAAGGTTCGCGAAGCTGCAGGCGGACGATATCTGGAATATCACCTTGGGGATGGATGGGAGCCGTTGTGTGAGTTTCTAGGAAAGGATATTCCGGACGTGCCCTTTCCGAGATTGAACGATCGTGCGGATCATTCTGCGCATACTAAGAAGAATGTTCGGGATATGACTCTTGCTGGGGCCAAGGTTGCTGGACCTCTTCTTGCGGTTGTTGTTGGTGTTGCTTTGTATTATTCGAGATAATGGTCTGTGGTGGTGAGTTGCTCCGCCGCGAGAAGTGCATTGCTTTTTTGGCACGCTGGAAGCGTTGAGGGTGTGTGTAAGACAGTGGCGTTTATTGGCACTAGATGTGCATACATTGGGAAGCACACATCGGACTAATAGTTTATGCGGTCGGTACTGCCGTAAAGTGGACTTGAGTCAGGCTGCAGTTGGGTATTTGTTCCTTAATATCATTATGTCATTGCAGTCTGAGATGTCTACGCTTACCGAGAACCCCCTTGACTTATATCACGATGGACTCGGACTAGAGATCCACACTGCCCATGACAGTTCATTCATTGCTCGCCCAGGGACAAACTCATATCCACAAGAACGATTAGATGCCTTCATCGCCGAGATTCAAGCGTCTCCGTCGGGCGTACCCCGTGCCCCCAGTCAAGGGCTATACAAACCAATAACCAACCCGTACGAGATCCGTGTCCTTGAGATTAAATCAGGCATAGGCGCAGAAACGCTCCGAGGAAGTCTTCATTATTGTACGGTCGAATTCGACCCTCCAGATTTAAAGTACAAAGCAAAATGGGCAATATCCAGTGCAGATTATTCCGAGCCTGTTTTCTTCACCGCCTTGAGCTATACATGGGGTCCCAACGTTTTTGACTCTATCATAGAATGCGACGGGTTTGTCAAAAAGATCACGAAGTCGCTAGACTCTGCAATCAGACAGTTTCGCCATCCTGACGACTCTATCATGATGTGGATTGATCAAATATGCATCAACCAGGACGACAATATTGAAAAGGCACAGCAGATCCCACTTATGAGCAAAATATACAAGCTCGCGACAAACACCGTTATCTGGCTTGGGGAGGCCAGCGAAGGGTCTGATTCTGCCTTGAAACTACTCGAACGGATTGTTTCATGCCTACAGCTCACCCTTTCCAACCCTGACTTTCCCGACTTGGAAAGGCTCGGCCTTCCAGAAGCCGACTCCAAGGTATGGGAACATCTGTGTGAGCTGCTGACTCGAAAGTGGTTTACACGGGTCTGGGTTATTCAAGAAGCGGTACTTTCATGGGATCCGGATACGTGGTTTGCTTGCGGTGACTTCTTCCTCCCGTGGAAGATTCTCGCAGACGCGTGCACATATCTGATCACATGTGGTATTTCTCAGAAGCTGGGGGAGAGGTTTTCTGCAATTGTTTCTGTACATGCGCCGCTGGGTGAAATAATATCGAACATCGAGTGGATGAAGCGTACTAGTCACCCAGACTTGTTCACGTTCTTGGCTGATACTCGGAACGCTGAATGTTGGGACCCTAAAGACAGGGTCTATGGGCTTCTTGGGCTCATTGGCGACAAGGCTAAGGCAGCAGTTAGAGTCAGCTATGCATCTGACTACACTGTGGCCAGTCTTTACAAAGATGTGACCGTGGGTTTCATACAGGGTGATGACCTAAACTCTTTGATAAGATTATCCTTGGTCTTAGGTGCAGTGGATCACGAGTCACCCGATCTGCCATCATGGGTTCCTGACTGGCGTGTACCCCCTTCAATGATTGGACTCAATACACCATTTGCATTTAGTGGTATATACCACGCATGTGGACCATTCAGCCGTATGAACAACAAGGGAAAGCCCACGGCTAAGATCCATGGCGATGATCTCACCACCCCAGGCGTGCTTTTTGACACTATTATCAAGGTTACAGATACGTTCGATAATCCGGATCTCAGCTACCAAAGCCCAATGACTGGAAATACGGCCCTAATCACCGCTGTGGTCTTTGTCTCACAGATGCGGAAGAATGGGCCATATGGAGGAGATATTTTTGAAGCTCTCTGGAACACTCTTGTTGCTGGTAGGTACAAAAAAGAGAGCTCAGAGCCATGGAGAATTGAAACCGCTTCAATGTCACAGGGGCCGCTTTTCGCGGAAATATTCAGCTTTCTCATTGATGAGACGATCGGAAGGTCGCACTCACTTCAAGGGCAGACATATTCGGATCGTCAAAAACGCCCCAAAGGGAAAGGCGGACTGGACCTCTCTAACCTGAGTCAACGCACCCTGGGCGAGACGTTTCAAGATGCGCGCTTGGCCTTGAGACGCGCATTGAGAGGTCGAACGATGGGTATCACAAGTAAGGGATACTTAGGTCTTTTTCCTGGACGTGTTGCAGTAGGGGACTTTGTGTATGTGTTTGATAGGTGTCCGGTGCCATATGTTTTGAGATCAGTGGGAAGTGAGGGCAAGTTCAGGTTTATTGGCGAGTGCTATGTCTATGGTATTATGGATGGAGAGGCTGTTGAGCCGGAAGATATATGCTTAGGGGGTGTGACTCTCGTCTAGAGTTTGCAACAGTGGCCCCAGGTATACATTCCTTGCACAGTCTGCCGACCAGCCTCTTTCCCAACACTCAGCCTCGTTGTTTATCTCGATCTCAATCCGCGACACCATTCATTCATCTCTGTATTCTGTAACAAGAAATTTGCACTACATCAGTCATTTCTAGATGTTAGGGTCTGGAAAATGATATCAATTCTCTGTTTCCCCTTTGGATCATATCCCTCAACATATCTTTCTCCAAAAGGCTGCATCCAAGTGTCTGTTACAGAACCAGTAACAACATCACAGGCTGGAGTTTGAAACCTAACTTACCATAAGTTGTTTGAGGCTTTGTTACACGAGGCCAGAGAAAACTTGAATTAACCAAGTCCTTCAAGTCGAACTTTGGATATACCTTCTCCACAGCAGCATACTTCCCAGCCGAGACGCCCCAAGCAGGCCCAGAAAAGTCAAGCGAGATTCCTTTCGACACAACTTGCACATCAAGTTTTTTGAAATAGGACAAAGATCGTTCGGTATGAAGTGCGATTGCGTCCCAAACAAGCTGGACCCTTCGATCATCCCAGTCTTTTCCATCCTTGTGGGTGTGAATGAACTCGCGCGCCGCAATCGCTACGTCGACTTCTAATCGTTTATCAGTCCTTACGATGGCTTAGTTCTCTGTCTTGTCCCAACCGAGGTCATGCAAAAGAGTTGCGACGGCGTGAATCTCTCTGTCGACGCTGCGGCTTAGGGTTTTGTTTGCATCTAGCATCAGGACACCGTACAGCCAAGATCGCATGACGTGTTTGTAAACGGCATTTGAGCTGTGATCCAAGGCGAATCCTTCGGCGGCCTGGACGATTGTGGTGTTGACGACTGATATACCTGCGATGTTACGGGTAGGAAGATCATGGTCCATGCTGCTGCGTGCCTGAGCGGAACCGAACAGTAAAACTGATACCCAAAGAAGGCCACTAATCTTTTGAACAAACATGGTTGGAGTGCGAGTACTTCGATGCTCGATTTGAGCATGTTTTTCTCTTCTTCTTATATCCCATTATCGCCCTCTTGGTTATTAAGACATCATTATGACAAATCCAACTGCCTTGAGCAAATTAAGAAGCTGACATGGTTATATGTAAAGTCTGACGTACGCGAAACTACACCACGAGCATGTTAAAGTTGTTATAGAATGAAGAGATTCCGAAGGGTGGCTCGAGCACCGTAGGAATTTCTGAGAATCAGTTTCGCAGCTCTGCCAATCAAATCATTTCAAATGGTTACAAAGAATCCACTAGCACCGACTTCCTACGGACAGACAAATCACTATAAGCCTGTATCTTATATACGGACAGGATTTAGCATATAGAAGTGTCTTAAATAACCAATAAACCTTGTCCTTCTGAAGATATTAATTACAAGTACTTTCTTTTGTTCATCAATCCAATGTTGATTTGCATCAGGGTGCAGGGTAGACTTAAAGTACAATATTGTTATGAGAGGCTCAGTATCTGTTACATCTGGGAGTGCCAGAGCCAATCAATCACCAGGAAGAGCGGGGTGGCTAGGCACAGCAGCAGCTGGAAAGAGAAACCTGATTATAATCCATGTGATTGCAGCACTCGTGAATCATTATTGGAGCGCCAAGGGGAAGGTGAGGAGCTAAAAGGTAATAAGCAGCCACTTGATGTAACACCACGATCAATGAGCGTCTTTGGGCTCAACCGCCCCAGTCCGCTGCAGGCCGCTTTGTAAAGTGCGCTTTTGACGTTTTGATGCTGGGAGGAACAATAAAACATTCATTCTCAACGGACGATCTTTGATCTCGGATTGTGAACTTTGTAGAAAAACGCTATTCACGCTACTCTCTATACCACAAACAGTGATTCATGAGGAGCATTCTGTGTCAAACTTCATCACGATGGTCGTTCCCCAAGCGCTTCGGTGCGGGGGTCTCTCTGGCCAATGCACGCTGCAATGCGTGAGAACGAGGCTCGGGATCAGGAATAGAGGTAACTAGATAACCCTCTTTCTTAGTATGCCCCTCACAGCCAAACACTGCTATTTCTCTCATCTTTCATCTTTCACTCAACTTCGAATTCTTTACATCTGTGCGATAGAAAGTGTGAATTTGCCAAGTAAACATTTGCGTCTGTTCTCGCAAACGCCTGCATAGTTCATCTTCAACCAGACGGGCATGGCTCAGTCAGAAGACCTCGATGCTACAACTGACAGCGAGAGCAATGGCCAGATGTCCGACAATGACGATCTCGAGCAAGTTGTAGCCATTGAGTTGGCGGCACCGCGACTTTCCACAGGATCAGAGGACTCAGCAAGTGTCAAATTCAGTGATGAAACGGACGACGAGGAGCACGTCGACTCGTCCCGATCTACGCAAGCGTCACTGCACGACCTGATAGAGGCAGCGAAGGATGACGAAACTGGATTGGCAGATCTCGAGAAAGCCCTTTCGGACTGGAAGGATTATGTCAACACTCGAGCCCCGAACAAGCTCCACGAATCGGGTTTACATATGCTGGCAAAGAAGGGGTTCTACAAGATGGCGAATTGTCTCATCAATCATGGAGCAGACATTCATGCCGAAAACTCTTACAAGGTACAGCCATTACAACTTGCTTTCAAAGGGAAAAGCACCGAGCTTGTGAAGTTGCTGTTAGAGAAAGGGGCTCGAGTTGAGCATTTAGATTCAGACGGCTACCTTCCACTTCACTGGGCAAGCCGTTACGGGGGTCACGCAGTCATATCTCAACTGCTCGGTCCAGAAAACATGTTCCTGAACCAAATGGAGCCTCTACATCAACAGACCCCACTCAACATGGCTTGCTACTATGGCAGGACAGAGGCTGTGGGGGTGCTTCTGGGGCATAATGCGGACCTCTATCCCAGGGACATTTATGGATGGACAGTATTCTTCACAGCAGCCTCGAAGTGCTACTATGAGACCTTGCAGAAGTTAATAGATCATGCCCAGACACTGGATGGAAAGCCCTTTGACATACCCAATAACGAAGGAAGGACACCCCTGACACAACTGTGTGCGAATGCATTCGAAGAGAAGGGAGACTATCAACGCGATAGAAACTGTATTGATGCTCTTCTTAAGCTCAATCCTGATGTCAATGCGAGGGATGACGAGAAAGGAACCGCCCTTCATTTTGCAATCGAATCCGCGATACTAGCGCATGATGCCTCAGTCCCCCTGGAAATTATCCACCATGTTGCAGATAACTTATTGTTGGCAAGGGACAGTGATGGCAGTACCGCGTTCGATATCCTGTTCGACGAAGATGGTATGGATGAGGTGCTTCGCCCAGTTCTCGATACACTCATCAGCCGTTTGCACCCTCCTGGCACAAACATAGAGGACCTCGACAAGGATCTTCTTTACTGGGTGATTGCTGATGTGCAACGTCATAAGTTGGCGCAACAAATACTATCCACAGCCTCGGCTGCTGAGAATGTCCCTGAACATCTTGACTCCTCTTCGTGGCAAGTGATGGAATGGTTAGTGTATTACCGTCTTCAAGGACCTCTTCTTCATTACATATCCACGCGATCTGAGGAGATCGCACTTGACCATCGTGCTCTCAATTCCGAGTATAAACGGTGCAGGGATCTGCTTGACAAATTCAGGAACACTACAAGTACACTGCCATCTAGTGGTGTCGACAAAGGCAAAAAGCCTGATGTTGCAACGCGTCAGTCTGACAAGAAAAATGACGAAGACGGGAAACAAGATATTCGGGACCTGGAGGAGATACTGGAGTTATTTCTTGTCAGAAGACCGTGTAAAAGTATCGAGGTCCTGACCCTACTTGAACCTGATGAGAAGATGTTGGAGGCGCTATCAGACGTCCGAGCGACTGTGTTGCAGAGCTACGACTCGTCCATAAGTTCCCGTGAAATCTACCGGTTTCGCTCAGTGAAAGACATCGTATATGGGCAAGATACCATAGAAGTCTTTACTGAAACGTTAAACAGGATGCTGAAAAAGTTATATCTACCGAAAGACCTACCAGCAGAAGTGGCGGCTGGATTCACCATGAATACAGTGATGGACCAAGTCGAGTTCACATGGGTTCACCTCCCATCAGCTAATGTAAGAAGGTTCTTCTTGAGTCCTGGACGAGTGGAATGAATGAATTGACTGACGAATTCCTAGATAGATTGGATGCAAGTAAGTGGTTTACAGGGGAAAACACCTGGCTGAGCAGCCGTGTATTTTACGTAAGCTGACGATCTGTGGGCTATAGAATGTCGCGAAGAAGATCTTGAAACGCGAGAACTGCGGGGAAACTCAGAATCGAGGAATCATGTCATTCTTCCGGGACAGTTGGGTCCAGATCCCAGATCAGACCTCATCTTCGCGACTAATGCGCCCGCGTTACGTTGAGCGCCAAAGGGCAACTGACAGAAAGGGCGGCGCTGATATTAATGGGTCAGACATTGGTAAGGAGGAAGCAAATAGCGCAGTTTCAACTGCGACACCAAGCACAGCAAGTCTGGGAGACACCGAAGACGAAAGCGCGGACGGTCGAAGCAGCAACAGTAACACGGACCAGGGCTCTACTTCGGAAGGCAGCACTAAAACGACTGAAGAGCCCGATTCTGAATTCCTGGACGCCTCTGCTTTATATGTAAGTAACCAAGAAACGCAGTTCTGTCGAGTATTGATCAAGTGTTCTAGATGCCGTACTTGGAATTTTCCTTCTATCATCGTGATGAAGACAACGTATGTACAGAGGAATATTCTCAGAGCGCGGCTGTCAAATATTTCGATGCTAAAGAGAATGAAATTTTGAGTGACCTGAAAAAGCGCAACACGCTTCTGAATGCATACAAAGCTTCGGCTTTCCACGAACCCTCGACGCTGGACGAGTTTTATTATCACTTCGCAGATGATTCAAATGAAGAGAGAAATATGCGCAACAGGACACAGGTAGTAACCAAATACCTATATCCAAATGGCTTAGAGGGTCGGAACTATTGGCCGTTATTGCGTGTTAGCCAGTTGTGGATCTGGATTATTGATGACAGTAAGTCCCGAAGCGGTTCTAGTAAGCAATCCGCTAACAAGAGTCTCCAAAGGGTGGTTGATATCGTGCACATCATCTACAGCGAATGGCGAAAAGGATGATCTTGTAGCCAATGTCCTCAAATATGTTGACAATGAGGTAGAGAGTGGAAGCTATCGAGCCCCCCCAGCCTCAGCCAACGACATGAGTAGGGTGATTGTCGACTACTGTATCTATGCCTACGAGCAGAAGAGAAACGAAGACTATGTCAGCGGCGAACATACCCGAGAGGATCCAGAGGCAAACGCAGCGAGCGATGGGACGCAAGTAGCAACTATCGATGACGACAAGGGCGTCGTCTCTCAGCAACTAGCACGGCGGAAGCAACGGTCTATTCGCCAGGTTTACTCCGATTACGTCAATGAGATAGTGAGTTAAACCAATTGACATGGTCCTTTCAAGACTGACAAGTAACAGGGAAGAAGAGAATCTAAGCTATTCAGTCTCTTCAGCGACCGAGACCAGCAGTTGAAGGAAACCGGGTACAGATCGTTCACTGTGGAAGAACTAGACCGTGCGCTGGGGGAGGGCGCATCACAGCTGCATCGGATCAAGGACGTTCGAGACGAACTCAATATTCTCAAGACTATCGCCAGATACCAACTAATCGTGAGATCAAAAATGGCTGGCGAGACCAGGAGGAGAGAGGATCTCCTAGCTGCCTATGTGCTAGGTGATATCATCGAACTTGACAACAACGCAAATCAATTGCACGATGCTGTCAGTGCTCTTCTCAGACTCGATGTTGCCTGCTGACGTGGCTTTCTAGTTCATTAGTACAATTTCCCTCCAAGAGAGTGAGCTTGCGAATTTTCAAGCACAACAGGCGGTGAAGCAAGGAAAGACAGTGATGGTTTTCACTGTTGTGACTGTATGGTTTGTAAGTAAAACCTACTCCATCCTCGGTAACAGAGCTCTGACTGAGATTCAAAATAGCTACCTATGTCCTTTCTCACCTCTCTGTTTGCACTCGATGTCTCTTCATTTCTTCAAGCGCCTGTATGGGCTTTAGTCATAGTCTGTATGTTGTTCGTAACACATGGGAGCGTGGACTGCTGAGATGCTAATTACTTATAACTAGTTACGGTGCCGCTACTTTTCCTTGCGGCTGCGGGTGTCTACATGTATCACGCGGACAAAGGTACAAAGCAACAACGACAGTCTTTCGCTGAGAGAACAGCAGCTAGAGAGTCTAGAGTTCCCAGACAAAAGGACAGGTCGGCTACACAGGAGACTCCATTTTATCTGGGATCTTTGAGGAAGAGGCACTCTAGGCAGCCGGAGCAGGACGTAGAGAATGGACTGAATTAGGACTCAGGACTGAACTAGACCCTTAGTTGAATGCATCCTTCTCTTTCAAATAGAATGTATAGTTTAGCTAAGTTTTTTGAGAGCCACTTCTCTCGACGCCCACAAGTTAAAGAGAATGCATATGTAGATCGCTACTGCTTGATGGCATGGAGGTAGGTCGCGATATCCTCGTGCAGAATACCATCCGTGACCAATTGATCGGCAGATTCCACGATCCAAGTCTGGCAGTTCCTTTGAATAACCTTCGTTTTGGGAGCTCCCTATATGTCTCAGCCTTAGTACAGAATCTTGTGGTTTCATAACGCCGTGTTCGATTGTACTTACAGATGTGACAGAGTTGAGCGACTTCCCTGGGGGCCTGACTTTATGAACGCTTCTCTCAAACTCGCAAAGAGGCTTGTCGTCATCGGCACGATGTCCATTGTTAAGCATGCCTGTCTCATCGAGATACTTCCGGTCGATCCACTGTAATGGAATTATATGTAGAGGCATACTGGGCTCATCTCTGAAGTCATGATATCTTTTGATCTCAAATCGAAAGCCGCTGTGTACATCGCCCGGAGCATGGATTATGGTCCCGATGAATGGATCGCGTCTTGATCGGATGTACCAGTTCCAATGGTTGTTGAAGGTGCCTCCGCTGTACATGACGAGGTGAAGTAGAAGAGACCCAGGAGGTCCATCTTCGGGAACAACAGGTGGTGGAATTCGTAGAGAAGGTGCGCCGAAATTGACGGGTGGTGGTAGAGGAGGAGGCGCCGGGGGGTCAGGCATCTTGTGATGGACCCGAAGGAACCAGAATAGTTGACCAAAAGTTGAAGGCAGTTTGGAAAGATATAATTCTATGTAGTTGACATGGACACAGTTGTAAAAACGTGGCAGGTCCTGTTCGTCTGTTTCTGCATGATCGTTGGGTTGTTGATTCCGTTTATGCACTTTCTTTGGCTGATGACTAAAACGAGCGGGTCGAGATGCAGGATGGTATCTCGTGATGCCAACACCCTTGGATTGTGAGTTATCATCAAGGAAGAAATTATGTAGATATTCATAAACCTATAAACAAATAAGAACCATTATGCCAGACATTATCATAACGTAAACCCAATCAACTACCACAAACTGAACACCCCATTAGGTCCATGTCTCTTCGTCGAAGGAAGCGACCTCTTAAAAGGAAGAGCAGTACTGTTCCTCGTGACATTCTGAATCGTGCATCCCTCAGTCTTATACACACTCGCATACTGTCCCGTCAGAACAGTCGCCAACCACTGAATAGCAGGAGCAGCGCTGAGCACAAACTCTTGTGAATGACTACCCACGGAATTGCGTTGGTACAGGATATTTGCTCCCACCTCGCAGTATCTCTCAATCAATTTGTCTGTGTTGACAATCGGGCTGATTTCGTCGTTCACGGCTTGGTAGGCAAAGATAGGCCACTGTGGAACGCCGTGGTAGCCCATTATTCCGTCATTGTTGATGACCTTTTTGACTTGAGGCTCACGTAGCAGACCCTCGCTGTTGGTGAAGAAGTCGTAGATGTCAAGGCCTTCGTAAGCAGCACCAGCTTCAGCGACGGTGAAGTTCTCCGCAGCCAGGAATCCAGTCTTGTTCTGGGGTCCGTCGGTCTTGAGCTTAGAGATGATATACTCCTGTACCTCTGGGTACTGGCTGCTGATGCCGAGGATGGCGCTGGGTCCAAGGCCGGCTGCGTCGTTGCCGGAAATTGCGTCCAGAACAGCGGTGACATTGGGTGTGATTCCGCCAATGGCGGCTCCCTTGACGGATTTCATGAGATCGGGAGCGTATTGGACTGCGAGCTCAGAGGCCCATTCACTTGCCAGTGCGCCGCCGGAGTATCCCCACAACGCGACGCGGGATGAAGAAGAGTTGAGACCAAGACCGAGAGATAGGACGGCACGAATGGAATCGAGGGTTGCATGACCCGAAATGACACCAGCAGTGAATGAAGCCAGGGGACCTTCGTAATCAGGCACGTTCAAAAAGACACCCAGACCCAAAGCCTGGTTGAACAAATCGGTGCCTCCAGAAGAGTAGGCAGTGTAGCTAGGACTAGCGTCCACATCCGCTGAATCATAAGGAACTTGGTACGAGATCATAGCACTCTGGTTGAAAAGGCGAGCAGCAGTGCTATTCGCTCCCAGCTTGGGAACATACAGCGTCGTGACAGCCCATGTCGCATTATACCGACTATCCGTGGTGCGATAAAGAATGTTATACGTAGCAGACGCATTTCCAACAATTGAGGTCAGATTTCCAGGTGCAGGACGTAAACGGAGGACAGTGCCGGGTTCTTCATTTTCGAAGCCCTCAGGTGCGGTATACCAAGGGTCTTGACTCGGTGGAAGCGGTGTAGAAGATACAGCACGCTTATAAATATGGGATGAAGGAATAGCTGCAGCGATGCCCAGCCAAAGGCTCAAAAGAGCCAGTACACGATGAATGGCCATTGTGTAAAGGTACGATGGAATTAAGATAATTACTGTATCTACAAAAACAGGCAAATGTTGCGCTTTTAACTTTGGCATGAGAATGCGGGGACTAAAAATTACCAATTGTCATGACGACAACTCCGAGAGATCCGTCAAGCCTCGACGGAAATAAAAATCCTGAAAGGATTCATGGCGATGACGGTTAGTTTTGGGGCCAAGAGGGTTGCTGACGAATGAGCATTGCGACGCGAGCCTTGTCTTGCGTAGTGGAACCAATCATGGACCCGAGTGTCTGGGCTGAGTTGGCTGAGCTGTGCCCTGTTTAAGTTGTTAATGCAGGCGGAGTATTACTGTACTTTGGTATACAAGGCGGAGTTGGATCGGACTACCGTTGTCCGAGGGCCGTTGGACAAGATCTGGGTACCCGTAAGATCTGACGTTGGATGAATAAAAGTCTAGATGGCTTGCACTAGGACGCGTAGAGGAGGGGCATTGGGTTCATGCGGCACAATGGGATTGCGCAGCTACGACGAGATGGTGATGGGGACCACGATGTACTCATTCACGGGATCCAATATTGGCAAGAGTATTCGCAAGTAAAATGCCACTGTTTTACTGATCACGGGTCTCTTCGTGGGTAGAGCAGTCTCGTCTCGTCTTGTCTCGACTCGTTAGCTCGGGCGCGCGTCGGTTGACAGATCGTAGCCTGGGACGGTTTCAGCTCGGCTCGATTGGCGAACGGACGGACGTTTCGACGGTTTTCGGGAACTAGGGCTAGTTTAACATCAGGTCAGACGATTTTCGGTTTTCGCGTTCGACGACAGACTATGAAAGGTCGTTGCAATTGATGGATGGCTTACCGAATTGTTCAGATTGTTGTTCTGCGATGCTGACTGATGACGTCGTTGAGTCGGCTATCGATAAGTATCGGTTATATCGATAGGCAGATAAGCTGATAGACGATAAGATTGCGATGAGCCGGTACTGGTAAACTCACATCGAACCGCATGCAATCCAATTATCAAAGACAATCATGCATGCCTACAACAGCTAGGGTATCAGTCCCACAACTATTTGGACTGGTGTTTGGGCCTGTTTAATATAGACAAAGTCCATCTTGCTTTTTGTCCAATTTTTTACCAACAATCAATCACCAAACTCACATGTTTATGTTGTCTTAACTAAACAGCAGATTTCAATGTCATCTACCCTACATCCCGAGCCGGGATCTCACAACCCGTAGAACACATCAACAGACAACACGCTGGATTGAGACTTTTTTCACTAACGCTATCATACAGTATGGTACATTGCACCTCTCAATCGCTCCCTTTCTATTTAAACGCAGGCTGTCCCTTCTCAAACTCCATATCGGAACTCGCGGAACTTCTTCTGGTAGTAATAAGTCGCAAGTCCACCAACAACACCGAGAGCGATGGGAACAGGAGCACGTCCACCAGTCTTAATAATTCTAGGAATAGCGGAACCAGTCAGGAGAACACTGTTTGCCAGGGCAAGCTCAGAGCCGTAGTCCTTGTTGTTCTTGAGAAGGTATCCTACAGCACTGTCAGCCACAGAATTCGACTGAAGAAGTAGGAAACTTACCGGCGTAGGCATAGGAAACTCCGAGACCGACACCAGCGACGAGAGACGGTGTAGAGCGAGTGCGCATCCAGCCAGCGGTACCGCCAGCAGACACTATGATGGGTGGTCAATTGGCTGCCATACCACGTTTAGAAGTTCAATGAGTACTTACAAAGGGCAGCGAGAGTGAAAGAAGGGTGTTCGGCCATTTTGCAGGTAGTGATAGGAACGAGTGATGGGGATGAAGTGAGCCTTTTGGTGGTGACGAGATCTCAGTTGACTCTTCGGCCGCTGCGGGTTTCTCCGGTGGGGCTATCGCGCTGACTAATCGGTGATAGGTCGGAACTCGGACAATGCAATGTCCGAGGGACGCGGTCGCGTACCAATCAACACGTCGCTGAGTCTCAGTATGGATTTGTGCGAACGATCTCACGCAACCACTCGAGACCTTCTTCCAGGCTTTTGTCATCAAAGGCGCTTGATGCCATAATGCGCTAGTGGCTGGGGTTAGCAGCAGATTCACCAAGAAATTAGAGAAGGACACGAACGCATCTCCTGCCCTTTGCAAGATCCTCGTCGATCTTCAGGTACTCAATGAGTTCTGGCACACTCATGGCTTTCTACTTTTGAATCAGTTACTCATGTCGCGTTGTCTCATCTGACACACTCACTGGATTGTCTTGTTTATTCGCAAGGATGAGAATCGGCTGAGGCTCAAGCTGCTCTTCGTACAAAACCTCCCAAAGCGCATCTCTCGCATCATCCATGTTCTCTCTATCCGCACTATCGATGACAAAGATAATCGCTTTCATCTGGAACAGAAGTTTGCGCCATACGCCTCTTATTCTTCTATCGCTGGAGTAGTCGAGGACATTGTATTCTTGACCTCTGACGGTGAAGATGGTGTTGTTGACAGCTATTCATGTGTCAGTATATCGAGAGAAGAGATTTGGGAGGGTGATCGAACTCTCGTTGAGTGGCGGTATGGGTTCTTGACCGCCGCTTATTTTGCGGATTATCGATGTTTTGCCTGCTGAGGGGATGCTGACGACCCCGACTGCGATTGTAGGTGGTGTCCATAACTGTGAGATAGTTGCGCCCATTGTGATGTCCTGTGCTAAGGGAAATGTCTGATGTCAGGTGAAAGGATTCTGGGAGGCTGATGTTATATCCCCTTGCATTTGGAGGCTATGCTGGCCTCTGTTTAGGCAGCTTTGGAAACATACAGTATAAGCGCTAGAACAAGAACTCCGCCACGATTGAGATGTCAGCGGGGACTTGAGATGTTAATGGTCCGTGAACTGAAAACAACATGGATTGAGTGTGAAGATCAAATCGAGGTCGTGCATGGGAGCTGACAAGGGCTTTGCTCATTCGCTACAGATTCATCTCCATGAGCCAGCTTACATCAAGTGAGGAGACGTCGAGCTACAACGTGAGTGGATCTGAATTGACTGATGGAACTATTGATGACGACTATACTCATCTAAAACATTGTCGCGTTCATTGTTTGATCTGTGGGAGAAGTCTGTAGTCTTTCCCACACTCATCATACAGCGATCGGTCTCCTTCGAAACCACAGTGAAGCAGGAGGCCGACCAGTCTTCTGTTTGTCGAACCAACAAAGCATTTCAATAGGTCGCCTTCCACCGTCGCACGTCATGCTCAGAAGTAGCTGGACAATGGCTAATGCGGGAGGCCCACCGTAACAAATGCAAATGCACTGCCAACAAGCCGACGAAATGAACGAATAGCATCACTGAGAAGCCGTGAATGGACGACCGTTTGCATTATTGATGCCTGAGAGAAACATCTATTGGCTGTGAGTGGCAGGGACCTACCCCAATCGCAAGAGGTTGAATGTTGTTTGCTGTTCTCCCAACAACAAAACTCTTTCCCCTCTTTTGAGCAGACCTTTGCTTTCTGCACTCCTTCACACGTGAGATGTCCATTCTCCTGACTGTTGAAATTCTCGCAATTTTGTATTTGATATTTAGAAGACTCCGATCTTCATACAACCAAGATGCCCGACAAAGCGTTGAAGGCGACCTCCCCCGAGGAGCTCTCCCTCGACAAACTCTCACTAGGCAATTCCCAGGAGGACCGATCACTCTCGAACCCGTCATCATTGAACCCACCATTCAAGAGCCGGTCATTCGGGAGCCGGTTATCCGAGAACCCTTCATCCAGAAAACCGGCGCCCAAGAAGCGTGCACCGAAGAAGAATTCTGGCGGCTACCCCCCCTCACCAGAGGATGGATTCTCAAAAAGCAGCGCGCCCGGGACCAGTGTCGCTGAAACAAGGCTCTTCGAGAACACTGTCCCTGAGAACAACTCCGCTGAGAATACCGCTCTCGAGAAGAACACGTCCGAGAACGGCTCTACCAAGCAGATCGCCGCCAAGAAGCGCAAAAACAAGAAGCGTAGAAACAAGAAACATGCAACCGAGCAGTCCTCCCCAGAGGAGCGCCCCTCATGGTCCATGCATCCCAACCTTCACGATCAAGTCCAAGAGAAACTAGACGAAGTCGGTCTCATTTACACCTTCGAAGATCAAGATGATGACTGTTGCGCCAACAAAACCTACGACACCAGGATCATGGGTAGCTTCATTTGCGAGAACAAGAAGTGCAGGAAGCAGGGGTGGGACAGCAAGATGATTGCCATCACCATCCGCGAGTATTGGTTGTATCGCTACAACGCACGAGTCTACCATCAGCGATGCATGGGATGCGGAGAACTGGGAAAGCTGGTGATTGATGAGGAGTGCTACGCTGAGAGAGTTTCCTACCGTATCAAGTACTGGTGTGATGTTTCGGTGAAGCCGCCTCCCTTTGAGGGGACTACCAAGCAGCCTCATGAGGAGGATTGGTGTGAGGGGTGCAAGCATGGACGCTGCAAGAGACGCTCTGGAGTGCCTGATCGGGTGTAGATTGGATGAACTGGCATCTGGTTGCTTTGCGATGTAGGTAACTCTCATTGCCGCTAGCCAACTGGAGACATGGAGGAGCATGAAAGTATGAAGGAATATGGAGACGTGGAAGAATATGGAAAATGAAGTTGGCTTCTTGTACTCGATCATCATTTGTTCTTCCCCAGGATTATTGTCGCCCCCTATCATAGTCAAAATGAAAAGCGACTTGATCAACATCTCACTTTACTGAAAAGGCATACCCTCACCAGGCTCATCAACACCTAACGCAATCTTCCCAACAGTTCCACTCCCCTCCACCCGTCGATGTGCCTCCTTCAAACCCTCAAGCGTCAACCTCAATCTCGTTCCAACCGCAGAAACCAACGTCCCATCCTCCATCCACTTTGCAATCTTGCCCAGCATCTCATGATAATCTTCAACACCAGTACCATGATACGCTGCAGAGCCTACCCAGTCCCAAGAAAAGGTAAGTGATTTCGACATGAAGTCTGTGCCGTAGAGACTGACGTCTGCTTGTACGATGGTGCAGACTTTGCCAAATGGTGCGCAGATCTTGGCGACGGCGTTGGTGTATTGTTCTGTTCGGGCAACGATGTAGATGTATCTGTGTTGTGTCAGAGGGGAATATGAGAGAGTGTGACGGGAGCTTACTTAATAGGTACGTCGAGGTTGAGGTCTGCGACTTGCTTTACGAGATCTTCCCTGTGGTTGATGACGTGAGTCGCGCCCATCTTCTTGCACGACTCAATTGTCTCATCGCGAGATGCTGTAGCTACCACGACCGGCAGTTTCAGGACCTTTCTGGCAAGTTGAATGGCAGCACTACCAACACCACCACCTCCGTTGATCTACAAGAAACCACCATGAGTCAATGTCCCCAAACCAACCTTGAATGTGTACTTACAATTAGAATACCGGCCTTCTCCTCCTCCTTGATCTCGAACCTCCGCCAAAACGACTGATACGCCGTCATAAAAGTCAGCCCGTAGCCGGCTGCATCAACAAAGTCAAAGTTCTTTGGTTTAAGAGCACAGCTGAACTCGCTCAGCAGCTGATACTCTGCATAGCTTCCCTGTTCAGTTGATGCGCCAACCCAAGAAACTTCATCGCCTGGTTTGAAGAATTGACAGCCTGGACCTGTCTTCTCGACAATACCTGCACCGTCGAAACCGATGATGTGGAAGTCTTTTGGAACGTGCTCATAATAGTCTGTCGTTCTTTTGTTAGATCGGATGAAAATATGGGGGATAGGGAGTGTACCGGGCGCGTCATCGTAGACTCCTGATCGGACCTTGTGGTCGATGGGGTTGACAGAACAGGCTTTGACTCTGCAAACCATTAGCATTTTAGCCTTGAATGGCACTTATTGATCAACCACTGACTTAACTAAAACTTGTCGTCCAGTAGGATCATTCGGCTTCGGTACATCTCGAGACTCGAGGTTGTCAACGGGCCCATATGTTGAAACTCCGACGGCTTTCATAGTCGACATTGTGCACAAATAATTCAGAAAGAATCCAAATAACTCAAAACCTGGAAAGAAAACAATTTCTTTATTTATTGAAGAGCACGCATAGCCTATGACGAATTTCGCCGCATTATTGATGGGGAAGAACAATGGGTACGATTGTCTAATATTGTCGTCATCCTCCAACAATGACGCTTCTCAAGACCACCAAAACCACAATGCAACTAAAGTTTTCTCCGTCTGATCCGAGCAGCTACCTTACCCTTAGGCGGAATCGTCCCAAACGGAAAGTAATCCATATTCGGTCCAATCTTGGTCGCAGCCTCACGATCAACAAGCTCAATCTCATAAGCCCTCAAAACAACCGCAACACTAGCCATGAGCTCCTCTTTAGCAAAGAACCGACCAGGACACATCTTCATGCCACCGCCATAAGGGAAGAAGTATCCCTGTGTACCTTCCGTCGTAACATGTGCTTTGCGATCGTCGCGTTCGACTTTCTGGGATTGGGTGGTGGTTTTGACAGGACCGCTGGTAGGATCATCGTCGTATTGGAGAAATCGTTCAGCCCAGAACGAATCAGTGGGGTGCTCGTTGTTATGTCCGGTGTTCCAGAAGTCAGGATCGCGGCTGCCGAACCAGGATGTTGAGAGCATGCCTACGCCTTGCTTCATCCGCCATTTGCCGAATTTGAGGTTGGGAACAGTTGATGAGCGGCCGACGGGTGCGGTTACGCGAAGGCGTAGGGTTTCAAGGTAGATAGCGTTGAGAAGGGGTCCAGAGCACAGTTTGTCTTTGTCGAAGGAGAGTGATTTGTCGTTGAAACATGGTTCCATTTCATTGATGAGTCTGTCGGTGAGATTCTTGTCGAGCAGTGTGTCGAGGAGCATCCACATGGCGGCCGGAATGGCATTAGCATTGAAGCTGAAAACTGTTAAATATGCGATACTTATACTTTGGAGGGAAATACCTACCCCCATATCAAGCCCAAGTCAAGAGCAGCAGCACCTCTCGGCGTAACCCCAATATTCATGAACATTTCCTGCCTCTTACTCATAAGCCTAGCACCAAACTCCGGTGTCCAGTCCTTATTGAGAAGTTCCTCATCAGTGAAATCAAGATTCTGCCTTCCCCATTCATGAACGCGGAAGATGCTCTCTTGAATGCGATCTCTGACGCGGTAGCTCTTTGGAATCATCCATCGCGGCAAGCGTCTAAATAGATTCGGAAGATGATAGTCAAATTCCCAAAACTCTTCCAGGAAAGTAGGTGAAATCTCGAGGAACTTGTCACCGCAAAGCGCGACGACCGCAGCGCGAAGAAGACGGCTCTTAAGCCACCCATAAAGATCATCTACCTCAACCCACTCATCCTCCACAAACATACCATCCTCATCAATATGTTTCGAATAAATGTCCACAAACTTAGCAACCATAGCATTAAGTGCACTTCCGGTCATGAGATTATGCATATCACGATGCGACACGAAATGAAACCTCATCAATTGCTCAACATGTTCATAACCAGGCGCAGGCTTGACATCGATGCCCGAGTCATCATTGGCGTAGATAGCGACGTCATGTTCTGGAAGACCGAATGCATCGCGAACGGTCATTATGCCGAAGGTTTTGGTGGTTAAGTAGCGAGAGGATTTGAAGAGGTCGATGATGGCTTGGCCGTGGGGGATAAAGTACATTTGCTCGGCGCCTACGAAGAGACGGAGAGGGACTTTGCCGAATTTGGACCTATAGCGTGTCAATTGGCATGATCTTCGAGTGAATGTAGATCTCTTACAAGACAGAGGATAAGAAGCGCTCAGTATCGTAGGCAAATCCGACCGTGTTGCCCACGAATGGGATCCAATACGGAACCCTCGGGGGCTCCCTCACGGCGGACCCATCGCGATAACCCTTGTTGCCCAGGACAGTGAAGATGTACGTTACGAGAAATGGCAGAGTAAAGAGTACAAGAATCTTTGTGTACGAGGCTGTATCGGCTGATGAGCCTGGATTGGCTGACTCTACTGTCGTGGCGTTCATTGTGCAACGGCTGACGGATGAATGTCGAATGGGGATGAGGCCAATGTCTTGGACGTTGAGATTGACGTAAGCAAACTATGTCATGATTGGATAGTTTTGGGGCTTTCAGGAACAGGTCTGAGAAAGGCTAAGTGTGGGGTCCTTCGACCAGGTTGCTGGTAGTGGCTGGCATGTCAAAATAACACACTCAATTACTGGGCTAAGCTTGACTACTTCTTTCTGTCTTCTATGTCGACTCTTTTGATACCGTGACATCTGGTGCTCACAGCCCTTAACTAAGCGTGACTGAGGTTCTGTTTTCATAATAAAAAAGCTGGTAAGCAGATACGAGATCACTCTATTTTTCGCTTTGCTAATATCTCCACCAGCGACATGACCATTAACAGCAACACACATCCTTCCAGCCCCATGTAACTCAGACCTATGAATTATAGTTGCCTCCGTTCATATAGCTGCCACAAGGCCCATTGCTCCACAACCACCCGGGACCCGCACTAGTTCTTGTAAGATAAGAAGACCACCTGATCTGGCCATTGGGACAGACGTTGTCTCGACTGGTATAGTGAATACAGTTGCCGCTGTTGTTAACAGCGGTAAGAGACGAGAAACACTTGGGATTCTTCATGCATGCCACACAGCACTCGTAAGCGCTGGACATACCAGTGATGGACGATTCATCAGATGATATGCCGTTGATGGGGTTTCTGTAGAAGATGCCTTTACCGCCGTTGGCTATCGATACCATGTTCTCTTCGCTGCACGCAAGGTAGAGCTCAACAGGCAATTGCGTCTCGACGGTAACTATGAATGCGTTAGTAGCCCTATTGGGCTTTGAATCGATGTACGTACCGGACTCGGTCAAGGTGCTGGTCGAAGTGACATCGTTATACTCAGTCACCGTAGGCGAAGATATCTCGGTGACAGTAGTCGTCACATCATCGGGATACTCAGTCTCAGTAACAGTCTCAGTCGTACTGACAATCTTCGTCTTTGTTTGTCTGATGGTTTTTCTGGGCCCTTGGATCGTCGTGGTGGTGTACTTGGTTGAAATGACCGGAACCTTTTTGGTGCAGCGGATGCGTTGAACGTACTGTTCGGGTGCTCCGGCTCTGCCAGCGGGAAGGAGCGGAATCGGGTTGGGAATATCGGCCCTCTTGACATAGTCGGGAGAATCACGGATTTTTGTGAAACCGGGACTAGCTGGGATTGTTTGTGTGCTGTACTTTGTAGTTGTGCTGCTGATTACCTGTGTTGAAAATGCGGTGTGCAAGCGGTCCTCGACCTCGGTCTGTGTTTCTATGCCATGTTAGAAGTTGACTACGACGTGTATCGAAGCAAGAATTTGTACCAGTTACATGGCTGGTGGCTGTCTTGACATTGGGATCGGCTGTCGATATCACGGTCGTCTGGACGGTCGTAGTCTCTGTTGTGGTATAAGGCCTTGCGACAACGACGACATTGGCCTTGCGAATAAATTTTTTTACAATTGTAATTCGATCGGAAACTGTCGTGGTCGCCCTCGGGATCTTGTTAGACTTGATACTCTTGGTACCGAGTTCGCTGGAACAAATAATACTTGATACAGCCTGAGCGGCATGGGCGCTGAGGGCGAGGAGGGCGAGAGTGGATTTGATGGCGACCAGTTTTAGTAGAGACGGAGCTACAGTGATAATCAAACAGCAGGAGAACGAGGCATCGGTAGATCTATTTGAGATACGAGAGCAAGTTGGATGTCAGCCCCTGTTTGCACCAAAGCAATGAACCATTCAATAGTTTCAAAACCCAGACTGGCCGACTTTTTATTACATGGATTGCCGACATGGTCTGCAGAGATGTAGTACGATATTTTTAAATAAACTATTGAAACCTGCATGAATAAATGACCTGATGAACACAACCAATAAGTCAATGGGAAAGCCCGGATTTAAGCGACAGATATTATTGAGTTCGAGACCCTGGAGTCATAGCTGAAAAGAAGCAAATGAAGCTGTTTTGGGTTAGGTGCTTACCTACCACGCTAAAACGACAGCGGTGAGAGCCTAGTCTGGTCAGCCGCTTATTTGACAAGGTACAATCAAATTCGACTTGAGCTGGACTGTATACATCGTCTTCATACCATGCCGTCAAAGCAGAGCCTTTCACCTGTCACAGCACAAAAGCCACCACTCAATAGCATATCTCTATGTAAAGCAATCTAGAATGAATTCCATATTTCTTGCCAAGCATCTTCAACAGAAACATACTCACCAAGAATCACCTTAACTCCACGCTCTCTAGCCATCTCTTTCAATTCTTCAGCCCACTTGATCTCAGGATCATCACGCACCACCGCGGCACAATCGATATACTTCAACTGGCTCAGCCGTCCCTTTTCGCCCGTCTCCGCAACTAACGATGTAACAAGACCCAGAGCTTTACCAATCTCAGTAACAAAAGCACTTTTTCCAAGTTTGCACTCCTTGAGAATTGGACGCAGGGAATCGTAGAACTTGAGATACTCAATAGACTTTGGGAGGCGATCGGGTGTTATCCATTCTCTTTCGTGGTAATTCTCAGCACCGAAGTAATTGATTGACACAGGTATGCTCAGTTTTCTCAATTTGATAAACTTTTGGAAACATTCAACAAGTTCCTCAGGCCCTTCGTTCCAGCTGGCCCGCGACGTTATCCAGATTGAGTCGTGGTGGTGGTACATGGGTAGGTCTAACTCTTCGAGGGAAGACGCATGGTCCATGAGGTACTTTCCAAGCCAGACGCTGCGGGGTGGGGGTGGACTAAGACTCTCATCGGTATCTACAAACTTTGCTCGGAAGACTTTGAGGTTCTTGCAGGCGCCCACGATGTTTCTGAGTCCGGGCATTGTGATGTGTGCTGTTTCAAGAACAATTGACTCAATTGGCGAGGTTCGCTTCGGGTATGGCATAGAGTAATTATCTTCTTCGGAGGAGGCGATGCCGTCTGTGTCGTCGTAATCCCCACCGAGACAAGTAACACTGAGACTCTTGAGGCTTGGAAGGTGTAAGAAAGGAGTCAGTTGTCTCATATTGATGTCATGCTCCGGACTCCAATTTCCTATACCCCAGTATCGATAGTGAAGGTATTGCAGTTTCGCCAATGGTAAAGCCTGAGTTGGCGTCGGGTTCTGAGCGACGAAGCGCAGAGCGAGTTGTTGAGCGAGACGCAGGATAAGTAGTCGATCATAATAGTGCCAATCACCATCGCGCGGGATTTGCGGGATGGTAAGTGTCAAACTCTCAAGACTTGTCGTCCATACCAGCACAAGGACAGCTATACCGTCGTCCCAAACTCGACGAATCTGCTGACACAGGTCTGTCGTGGCAGCTAACTCTGGAAGTGCCTCCTCTGCCGCCTGGGCTAGTAGTTCAAGGTTGGTTGAACGTAACCCGACACGAGCAGCATCATGGTCATGTGGGGTTTGAATCCAAGTGAAGTTCAAGCTTCGGGCTCGCGAGCGGAGCTCGGGATATCGCAGGAGTTCTAGAGCGAATCTATCGAGAGTGACGATTGAATCACTTGTGGGATAGTGTCCATAGTCGCCGTCGTCGGACCAATGTCGGACCCTGAGGGGAGCTGCGATTTCGTTGAAGCGTTTGCTGACGAGGCGGAGCGTGAAGATGTCGGGGTGATTGACGTCGGATACATAAGTAAATATGTGCTCCAGAATCTCATTTGGTATACCCGCGAGGTTAGACATGATAACCTCAAGCGTTAGCTGCGTCTGTTGAGGACTATGCTATTGAATAGTGTCATGAATGAACGCTGCTGCCTGACGAGGGGTCGTCAGCCACAACAGCACAATGGGCGATTAGTCAGCACTTTGCAGCACATTCTATTTTGGGGCATAAGGGTATGAGAATCGAGTACATAAATTACTATTACTCCTACCTGATTGCTCAGAGCATAAGAGACGAAATAAATTGATCATCTTATGCTAGCTTAGGTTATCCAGGCTAGCTTATTAACGTAGTCTAAGCCTTAGGGCAAGTCGTCTAAAACGCTCACTCAAACCATTCGTCTTGGACGTCATCGCCCCAGTCAGTGACCTCTCTCATATCCTCTGAGCAATCACTAACCCCAACCCACTTCACTCCCCGCTCTTCAGCCTTTGCGAAAAGAGGTTCCTTATCATATTCCCAAAGAACGTCGGTGCAGCAAATGCTTTTCAGCTGATTCAGCCGCCCCTTTTCGCCCGCCTCCCCCAGTATGTCCAGCATATCAGCCGCCAGAAACTCACTGAGGTTTACTGGGGTTCTGTTTCTATCCTCGTCTGAATCGGTATTGTAGAGCATGAGATGCTCAATGGACTCGGGGAGGTGACTGGGTATTAGTCGTGTCATGGTGAAGCGGTTGTTCGAAACGGTTCGGAAATACGCAGGCATGCCCAGCTTTCTCACGTTGGTGAGCTCTTTGTAGCAAATTTCCAATTCGTCCGTCTCGATGCGACGCTCGTTTGGGCGAAGATGGCGTTCAAATTCGATCACGTCCTTCGGCTCCTCGCCGATCTTGTTTTTTCCCTGAGTCATCGGGAGGTCCAACTATTCGAGGGATGATGCGTGCTCGATCAGGACTCGAGGTAGATAGCCGTCGTTGAATGGGCCTCGAGTTATCTGAAAGTATCCTCCATCGACCCTCACCTTCAGCGATTTGAGTGTCTTGAATGCCTGCAGAAACCTGCCGAGTCCTAAGGTTGAGAAGCACGGTCCGATAAGCTTTAGCGACTCAATCGATGAACTTCGGTCCGGGAATGGCATCAGTTGAACCTCCGAGGTCGGGGTGTTGTTACTCCCCGGACAATATTCACACTCAGTGCGAACGGCCGAGCACTTAAGGCTCTTGAGTCGAGGTAGGTGGAGGAAGGGCACGAGGAATTTGACATTGTCACCCAGTTCAAGTTCTTGTTCGAGGCGTCCTCGACTGTAACCAATACGAAATTCGAGATGGCGCAGCTTCTCCATGGGTAAATGCTGGTTTTCCCATCCGTCGATGAACTGTTGAGCGACGTGTTTGGCGAAATGCGAGACTAGAATATCGTCGTCCATGTGGAAATGGAAGGACCCGAAGGTGAGAGACAGACTTTCCAGGTTCGTAGCCCATGATATCACGAGGATAGCCAGGGCTTCGTCGCGAAAATGAATGATCTGTTCGCAGAGATTGGTCGAACTGGCAAGTTGCGGGAGTTCCCCTTCTGCTGATTCGGCTAGCAGAGCACTGTCCTCTCGAGATGTCTGGCACATAACTCGTCCACGAGTTCCATCCTGTTCAAGTGCCTTCTCGAATCCAGTGAAATCCCAAGACATAAGACGAACGAATCTCAAGCTTCGGACTTGTGAGCGAAGCTCAGGATAGCGGAGCAGCTCTACCGCAAATCGATCGATCCCGACCATATGAACATCCCGTGGGCGCCTGGGGGTGTGGTTGGAGAATCGGTCGTCGGACCAATTTCGGACTCTCAGAGGGGCTGCGATCTCGTTGAAAAGCTTGCAGACGAGACGAACGGCGGCGATATCGGATTGGAAGTTATCGGCCACATGGGCAAGGATATGACCCAGAAGCTCGATTGGGATGGCTATAAGGCTAGCCATGACGATGCGGCATGCGGATGTGGGTTTTCGCGGCAAAGCGACTGACACGAACGTCGAGACGATGGCGGGGGAGCTCAGTCGGAATATCCTAACTTGTTGCCGCTTGCTATGGGTGCGTCGATTGTGATGACTGCGTTGGCAGAAGGTCAGCTGGGTGTGAAAGCACAAGAGACGAAATAGTTTGATCACCTTAGACTAAGGGTTAGGCTGGACCTAGCCTACTTTATTTCGGTAGCCTAAGGCTTAGAGAACTGTTCGGACGATGGTTAAGGCTGCGTTGATTCCCCTCGATTTGGTGCGTTGTTGAAGATGGTGAAGGAGGGAAGATGAGCGGATGAGCAGAATCGGTTGAGGGGGAAGAATTATGCACTAGAAACATTGGAACCTTTGGCATTACGAATGAACGCGCCTGCCTACTTCAACCAACTCATCGCGCGGCGGGCAAGTGCAGCATATTTCTTTTCATTGTGGCGGGGCCTGAAATTTGCCGCAGGTGCCAACCAGTGACAATCATCAGCCACGATTGCACAAAAACAACAATCACTTTTCATTTGCAGTGGGAGGATTACAAGGATGCTCTGAGGCGAGACGCTCGAATCGAAGGTTATTAGCTACAAAAGTAGAGATATGTCCTAAACGCAAAGTAGTTAGTTGTAATGTTTCTTACAGAGATAGCTGGGTTCGTTGCGGTTTGAGGTGTTGGTGGAGGTCGTGAAGGAGGGAATAGCAGTGCATGAGAACAATCGGCCGGGCAAGTGCAGCATGGTTTTGGGGGGTTGAAACTTGCGGCAGGTGTCAACAACGATCTTTGTCATACACAGTGAGAGTTCAAGTCTGTGTAGTCCGCAAGACTCATTCCTCGGAAAGATTCAAACTAGTTAAGTCTGACTATTCTTTGTCGAAGGGGAGGATATGGCTTCGGCACCTGTGGAACAGAATAGTCCCTAGGATTCCTCTGGAATAGAAGCTGTACCCCTTTACTCGCAGCCAACACTTCCAAGTCCTCAGCTTGCTCGAATAAGGGGCATCCTCGTGATCTCTCATAGCGAAACGGTAGAGTAAGGCTTTGCAGTTTACTGAATTTACTTCCTGGTCCACACTGCTCCAGGAGTTTATTAAACCGATACAATTCCCCATGCATAAGGGTTGCATGCACGTGGTCATATCTCTCTAGGACTAAATGCTCAAGAGTAGGAGGGAGACGGTTGGTCTCTAACACGACACTGTAATCCCACAGGTCGCGTGTGACCCTTCGATACAGAAACTCGAGGTGGATTTTCAGTCGTTTTAGTCGCTGCATGTCCTTCAAGCAATCAAACAACGTTAACGGGGCGGTTGTTCGGTGGTAGTGATGGAAGTCACGCCAGTAAGGGTCCTGCTCGAGGCGAAGAGTCACTTCCTCCAGAGACGAAGAGTGATAGGCAATCGCCTTACTCAGGTCTTCCAGGCGCGCCGCCACTCGATTGTTTTCTTCCAGGCTTCTTCGATTGTTGAATTTCGTGAAATAGTCGTTGTATATGGCCAGCTTTTTGAGTCGTTTACAAGCTCGAACGAGAACGAGGAAACCACATGAACTGAACCAGGCGCGGTCCACGATCAGGGTCTCGATGGGAGATGTTCCGACTGGAAATTTCGACATGTAGAGAGCTGGATCCGCAGTTACATATCCACCAGTAAAGCTTCTGAACCAGACAGGTCTATCATCGTGTACATCTCGTAGATCGCTGTCAGTCCCCAAGCCTGATGTCGCAAGGAATTTGAGCTTGGGGAGGTAAAAGAATGGCGCCGCAAAAGCAATCCTCTGCAGTTGACTCGATGTCCTTAAAACAACATGCTCAAGCCGGGCTAATGGATGCAACGACGGACCTGTTCCGTCTCTCATTTCCTTGACTGCTATATTGATCAGTTGCAGTGTCATGTGCTCAATCTTGCCTGGCGAAAAGGTATACAGTTTACAGTCCAACTTGACGATCCTCGTGCACCAAGCTAGGAGAAGCGCGACAGATGCGTCAGCACTGCCGTTACGCAAATGCAAACACCATTGCGGATACTTAGCAAGTTCTGGACATGTCTCTTTTGCACGTTCCACGATTCTTTCAAAGTTTTCGCTGTGTGTAGGACTTTCGGGATAATTTCTCCACCCATGACGTCGCCAATATTTCCCCTCGTCGGAATCGCTAACCAAGGTTCTGATATTCTTCGCTTGCTCAGGATGTCGGGATAAGTGCATCAGTATATGCATCGGTGTGGCAGGGAATTCTGGGTTCATACAGTGGATTGGCAAATGTCGAGCCACGTGAGGAGAGGCTATTCGGCGGAGTCTTTTGTTGACGTAGACAACAGCAGAGTAAAGCGCTCTTCGGTCTTGATCAGCTACGTCCAACACGATTTGTTCGAGTATCTCCTCGGGGAGATCCATAAGAGAAAGCTTTTTATCTTTTGGAGGTGTTAGTAATTGAGGTAGAAACATGATGAAAACCAATGGGGGGATGAGGTGTGACTGGTATTGAAGTTGAGGATCGGGAACGAATATATATTGGTGATACTGTGGGATGGTTATATGTCGTGTTGATGTTGGTCGAAGCAAGACACAATGACTGTAGCGAAGAGCAAGACCATTATATATAGTGGCCTGAACTTTATTCCAGGGTGAGTCACAAAAAGAAAAGAAAAATAACAAGGTAGAAAAGGGTTCTGCCTAAGCGGTGAAGTTGTGATGCTTCGAAAGTGTAAATCTCTCAGAGAAACCTTGACGATAATCATCCCAGGCAGCAGTGAGACTAAGCATGACTTATGGATTCAAACAGCGCAACGCTGCTTGCTCAAGATAGCTATCCTTCCAAAGGTGGTGACTGTAGCACCGTCGTGATAGGGGCCTTGAAGAAATGGCGGATTGGATGGCTGCATTGTTGTGGTTGTTAAGAATTGTGATTGTTGATGGTGGAAGGAAGAGAAAAGGAAACCAGGACAAGAAAGATCAACCTGCCTAAGCCTTATGTTAAGATAAAAGAAAAAGGTTCTGTGTAGGCAGAAGAGCCATAATGCCTTGTGCAAAGTGTGAATATCTTCGAGCTTTATCTGATAGCTATTTGCCTAGAGGTGAACGTAAAGTGGTGCAAATCAACGACACTAAGAAGGAATAGAGCTGAGTCCGTCCTAATATAGTGATTGACCGTGACAAGAATTCAAGTGGTGCAGTAAATTCTAAGTATGGCACACAGAGCATTTAGTGAGATCTTGATTGATTTATGTCTACCAGTAATATAAACAGAAGAAAGCCGCAATATGTAACATGAAAAGAAAATATACATCTAAACCAAACCTCCCCGCTTACTTGCTAACCTTTACATCGAAACGATCAAGGTTCATCACCTTAGTCCAAGCAGCAACAAAGTCCTTGACAAACTTCTCCTTGGCATCAGAACTTCCGTAAACCTCAGAGATAGCACGCAGCTCAGCATGCGATCCGAAAACTAGATCAGCGCGTGTGGCTGTCCACTTGGCAGACTTGGTAGCGCGGTCAGAACCAGTCCAGAGCTCGCCGCGGGAATCCTTCTTGTCCCACTTGAACGCGGGGGAGAGGAGGTTGACGAAGAAATCGTTGGTCAGTTGGCCGGCCTTCTCGGTCAGGACACCCTTGGATGAGCCGTCGAAGTTGGCGTTCATGGCGCGCAGACCGCCGACGAGAACGGTCATTTCGGGAGGGGTGAGGGTCAGTTGGGCGGCCTTGTCGACGAGGATTTCTTCGGTGCGTGCGCGGGCGGTGCCATGTCCGTAGTTGCGGAAGCCATCGGCGAGAGGCTCGAGGTAGCTGAATTGCTTAATGTCGGTTTGTTCCTGAGTAGCGTCGACACGACCGGGAGTGAAAGGAACCTCGACGTCCTTGAATCCAGCATCCTTGGCAGCCTTCTCAACACCAGCGACACCACCGAGGACAATCAGATCAGCGAGAGAAACTTGCTTGTCGGACTTGCCGTTGAAATCCTTCTGGATGGCCTTGAGAGCGGAGAGAACTGACTTGAGTTGCTTGGGGTTGTTGCTGGCCCAGTTAACCTGAGGCTCAAGAGCAATACGACCACCGTTGGCACCACCGCGCTTGTCAGAGCCACGGAAAGTAGAAGCGGAAGCCCAAGCGGTAGAAACAAGCTTGGAAACATCGAGACCGTCAGCCTTGAGGATAGCAGCCTTGAGAGAAGAAACATCCTCATCAGAGATGACATCGCCCTTGCGCTCAGGAAGAGGATCCTGCCAGATGAACTTCTCCTTAGGAACCTCAGGTCCAAGGTATCGAGAAACAGGACCAAGATCACGATGAAGCAACTTGAACCAAGCCTTGCGGAACGCATCGCCCATCTCCTCAGGGTTCTTGAGCCAGCGCTTGCAGATCTTGAGATAAGCCTCATCGTGAATGAGAGCGAGATCGGAGGTGAGCATGGTAGGACGGCGGAACTTGGTCTTGTCGAAAGGATCGGGGTAGTCCTTTGTTCCGTTGAGGGCCTCCCATTGGTGTGCGCCGGCGGGGGACTCGACGAGGGTCCATTTGTTGCCGAGGAGGGATTCGAGGAAGTTGTTGGACCACTTCGTGGGGGTCTTGGACCAGATTACTTCGAGGCCGGAGGTTTGTTGGTTGGGGCCGTTGCCTTCGCCGACTTTGTTGTGCCAGCCGAGACCCATCTCTCCGAGGTCAGCAGCCGCGGGCTCAGGGCCGATGTTCTCTGCGAATAGTCAGTAGCTGTTCTCTCACTGAAATGTGTCTGTGTGTGGTGACTTACTGCCAGGGACGGCACCGTGGGTCTTTCCAAAGGTGTGACCACCAATGATAAGAGCAGCAGTCTCCTCATCATCCATGCCCATACGATCAAACGCCACACGGATATCAAGAGCAGAAGCCTTGGGATCAGAGCTTCCATCAGGACCCTCAGGGTTGACGTAGATCAGACCGTGGTGAGTAGCACCAAGAGGCTTCTCAAGCTTATCGGCGCGGTCGTAAATGTCAGTGCTGCCATTGTAGCGCACATCGTTACCCTTGGGAACGAAAGTAGTCTCAGCTCCCCAGTAGATGGACTCATCGGCCTGCCAGGTGTCGGGACGACCGCCGCCGAAACCGAGAGGTTCAAAGTCCATACCCTCGAGGGCGACGTTGCCGGCGAGGAGGTAGAGATCGGCCCAAGAGATCTTGTTGCCGTACTTTTGCTTGATGGGCCCTGTAATCCATTAGAATATAGATCGTCAGTGATAATGATGACACGTACATAGCAGACGTCGGGCCTTGTCGAGGTTCTGGTTGTCGGGCCAGCTGTTGAGAGGCGCAAAGCGCTGCTGACCCATTCCACCACCACCACGACCGTCCATGGCACGGTAAGTACCAGCGCTGTGCCAAGCCATACGGACGAAGAGACCACCATAGTGACCAAAGTCAGCAGGCCACCAATCCTGCGAGTCAGTGAGAAGCTCATGAAGATCCTTCTTCAACGCCTCATCTACACATTATTAGCACACTCTCCTCCACAGAAATAGTGGGGGGTACTGACAATCCAAAGACTTGAACGCCTCAGCGTAGTCAAACTCCTGACCGAGGGGGTTATACTGTGGCGAAAACTGTCGTAGAACATCGAGACGAAGCGCACAAGGCCAAAAGTCCTTGCTTCGAGAGCCGCCGCCGGCTTGGTTGCTCGCGACGGCGCATCGGCCGAAGTCCTCAGCGATTTCGCGCTGGGGGATGAGAGGTTGCTCTGCGGTGTCACGCTTGGCGGCGAAGGGGCAGTCGGCTGCTACGAGAGGCACGAGGCCTGTGGCCAGCAGTAGTGATTGTACGTGCATGGCGAGTGTGTGAATGCGTAGTTGGTTGAGGTGAGGTGAATGGAAGTGGAGGTGGATTTGTGTTTGGTTTTGTACTCGGTGGATGAAACTTTATTGTGTTGATCAACAGGGGCTAGTTGGTAGTACATGGAGACTTGCAACAAGTCAGATGCTGGGATTAACAATTACGAGGCTTGACAGGTGAAATGCAGTGCAGTGCCACTGCAAGCTCCCATGTGCGCAGCTATTTGTGATGGGGCAAAGCAGGCGAAAAAGCAAAGATCCATTGCTGATACAGTGAACAGGGTCAAGGGAGTGTAGCTTATGTGGATTTGCCAAGTATGCAGCCTCTCTCTCCTAAGCACCAACCATGAATACTAACGTCATGCTGTTCCCCTGCTTGTATCTCTTAGATGGTGATAGGCGGTGTCGCATACCTTGTCTAGTTGTCTCTTCCGAACAAGCGGGTGTGGAGACGGAGGAATTCAAGTGCTGATACATTGGAGTTGGATGGGACCCTGATAAGCGGTACTAAGCCCAAGCCTCAGTCTTGTCTGTCTTGTTGCCCCAACTGCCGACAGGGATGTACATCGAATCAATCACGAGTCGAGTATTACCATTCGTTTACGTGAGATGTCTAGAGTAGAAGGTGGCATCTTCTAATAGAATTCGGGCATGAAACCGTTGTAATAGAACTTTATTCCGGCAGTTCATTAATTAGAGTTCTCTAGAGGCGCGTTCATTGTCTTTTTAGAGACGGGACTGGACTCTTTAGGGCATTTGGAGTGAGGCTTAATAATCTGATTACAGTGGGTTATCCCACTAATGTTCCGAAACTTGTACCGCACACTCGCTTCCATAAGAGGGTCCCACCGCTTGTACCCGTAGGTGATCCAATCGGATTTTAGTGAAACGAATTAATCTGCCATACGCCATCAAGTTGCAGTTGTAATGCCGGAGGAAATGACCCTAACAAAGACCAACAAATGCCGTGTCACCTTTCCGAGTTGGTCTCTCTTTGTCAGACAAACCGTCATTGTCTCAGCTTACAATGGACTTGTGAACTGCTGTGTTACCCCGTATTAGACTCATCACGTAGCCTGTACTACTACTGTACAATCCGTGCGTTTTTAGGCCCGCCATTCTCATGTCTGACCGCAGTGAGAATTCTGCACTGCCTTTAATCTTGGCTTGAAGGTGGACGAACGAATGATATCGACTTAATTAATTGCTGACATTGACAGCAAACCGTACTCGTGACAAGGATAAGCTTGAAGATTAGTGCCCGCCTCGTAGCTGAGCTTATTGTAAGACTGTATTTTACTGCGGTCAGATGGATGCGGGCATGCATGGCCCATTACGCGACCTTGTCCGATCCACGCAAGTCGTCCCATCCCAAGCGATGAATGGGATGGGATGGGGGATTCTCTCAACAAACAAAACAAACATGTGATAAAAATTAAACTTATCATCAACAAAGCAAAGTGCATCCTTCTCTAATAATAGCTATTGTTTCTGCATGTAAAGTCTTGGCTCTGTGATGCCACTGTCTCTTGGCTGTGATAACAACCTCAATCACATAAAATGGTCCGATTTTACTCCCGTTGGCTAGCCAAGCATCAAAGCGGGATCACTCTCACTGGTAAAAAACCATCCCATCACACTCGCCTATCCTGCAGCGGCAACTTTATCGAGAATGTCACCGCATGAGACAGAACACCAGCCGCCCGCTGTGGCAATCACCCTCCCCGTTCCCCTCTCTCGACCCCTGTCCGTGAGGATCTTATCACTGAACGGTATTGATGCACTAAAACAGAAGCTGCTCGCTGCAACCTTCTGGCGCAGCACAGCTGTCAGAACCCATCCCAGCCACACACATATAATCACAATCCTGTGATTCGTGCGCGTTCATTTAATAGCTATAATTAGAGTTTGTTCTTGGTTGTGTAATGTACCTGCATTCATTAGCAAGCCACGATATAGGCAAGTGCTACTGTAAACTGCGAGCATGCGGCATAGCAACAAACTTTGACAATGAGGAGGCCTTTCTCGAAATAAGGCTTGCCCTGCCTGATCCAGAATGTTCGTGATTTGGAATCAATCAATGCTTCGACGATCGGTGCGGGGAATATCATGCGTGGGCAAAATTTATTGCAGGGATCATCTTTCTCGCTTGGAGTCGTCGCCACTTTCCTTACCTTGGAAGCTAACTTCCCTTCTTGGTCTTGGCGCTAGCACTGTTTTGCAGGAACTTTGTTTTGTTCTAGGTAAATGAAGATGGGATATGTGGGATAAGGTAGTGTTTTAGGGTACGATATAGTTTTCGTTAAGGTCTAACGGATATGAACGAGACAAACGTGGCAGGAGACTGCCAAGAACTTGTCGGATCGACATGAACGTCTTGATCAGATGATTTTGAAGTGGACAGGGGTGTTGGGGATACCCTACAGTGAAAATCATAAATGGTAATAGCATAACGGCTGTGATACCGGATGTCATCTCAAATCGTCAAATCCGGGTCTAAATCCGTGCCAAGTGAGACTCCCGAGTATCGCGGTTCATAGAATCTTGGTTATGATCTTGGTGACAGCTTGGTATGCAGGTTTTAATCTTAACACATGATTGTCGTGAAGATAGAATGGTCAGTCAATCACCGGCAGAGCTGATATCCGGGAGAGATAGTATCGGTCGCAATACTGCTTAGGGTAGGCCAAGGTGTATTGAACATTACATTTTAATAGTAGGCATTAAGCTCTAGGGTACATCACATTCATCTCATGAGCCGTCCCTCACTAAGATATCCTATGCTTGCAACCGATGCGATCGAAAAAGCCGTTATCCGTTGAGATCCCGAGTCCACCTGCCGCAAACGATGAAGTCCTTCCCTTGGCAGGTTGCAGCGGTAATTTCAGATCCCTAGCATCAACAGTCTGGAAGAGCTCTTCTTCCACTTTCACTTCCACTTCCTCTTCATCATCGCTGCGCGTATCCTCCGCGTTTCCACCACGTAGGATTCGCACGACTAGTTTGAGAATCATGACAAGCCAGAAAATCATCAATCCTTCCAGAAACAAAAGCCCACCGACAAACATCCAGTTGATTGTGAGGTCGTAGCAGATCCTTCCCGAGTCATAGATCAACGGCTCGAGTATGTAGAAATATCCATGTCGAGGCACCGGTTCAGGACCAGTGATGGTGTCGCCAGACCCGATATAGCAGTTCTTCCCATGGACAGGCAAGCTATGCGCATAACCTGACCAACAAACCATGACAAAAGCAACATGTCGACACCAAACCCAACTCATGACAAAGAAACCAAACATGATATCGCAAGCCGTCTGAAGACCCAGGTACTTGAGACACTTGGCCGCCGAAAATACCAAATCGTTAAAATCCATCAGTATAAGCGTCACATGACTGACACGCGTAAGTCCATAGCGATAAGAGCTGTAGCACAAAGCGATAGTAACAAGATGATGAGAAACCATCTGCCAAAAATCCTTGCGGCGCTTCTCGATGTTGATAGTAACCATCTGCTGCAGCCAAAACGCTGTTTGAGCAAGCATGTACCATTTCATCGTCGCTGAGACTTCGCGGTTCGGCCATTTCGTCCACATGGATTCCAAATCAAGCCAGTATACGGATGTAACATAAATATACTAGACGCCGTTAATAAAGTTCAACCATCGCTAGGGCCGGAACGTACCATGCCGATGGACCAACCGGTCGCGTAGTAGATGAACAACCAAGCCTGTTCATTGAATCTGGCTTTTTTGCTCTTGCTCAGACCCCATGATGTTGCGATTGGATTGGTAATGCAGCGCATGGTAACATCGCGAAGAGCGGTAAGTAGAACAACGAGGAAGAGCACCAGGTAATTGTCATCAAAGCCAACGCCGTATTCGCCTGTTTCGGGGTTGTAATAAGACAGCGAAGTGAATTTCTCCGTACGCGTCATTCCGGTGCATTTGGCGAGGGCTAATGGGGCCAGCAAAGCAAGGCATATCCCTAATTCAAAGTCAGTATTGTGGGAACGTTGAGTCTCATGATGCTTCATACCAATTTGGTTATCGATAAGCCATTGCTTCAGAGTCGCCTCTTCGCGGCCGCGATTTTCTTTTGAATCCAATTTTACACCCATGATGAATGCGCATCAATGTTGAAAGAGTGCAAAGTACGAGAATAAAATGGATTTAAGGGTCTTTTTAAAAAGAATATTCTGTCTGATGTTGATAGGCCGACCATCAGCTCAGGCATGGGATGATGTCGGTCTTCCGCGGGCGCGCGCGGGGTTGAGCTCATTTGCGTGATGCGAAAAAGAAAAAAAGACCGAAAATTGAACGTTTTCGTGTTCGTGAGTTTGGGTTTATGTTAGTGGGTCGATATTAGTGGTTGGATGATGTGAGTTTATTTGATGGTAAATTTGTTGATAGGTGAGATATCCGTGGCTGTCCAACATCGGATCATGCTGAACAAAACCTCTAAATCATGATATCATTGTATTCTTATTGTATTCTAATTGCATCAACTAGAATACAATGACGTTCTTCCCACTCTGTTTACCAGTCAAATACTCCTGCCTCATCTTCTCCGCATCCTCAGGCTTCCACTCCTTAACCTTGACGCGAATATCGTGCTTCACCACCAACGCCAACAGCTCCACCAACTGATCACGATCAGCCAGCAAAGAGCCCACAAGCTTTATATCTCTGAAAATAATGTTTTGATAGGATAGTGTGATGCCTTTCTCGGGCTGACCTAGAAGAACCATCGTGCCGTGCTTGCGCGTGAGTTGGGCCGCCAAATCGAATGCTGCGGGGACGTCGGTTGCTATTACCGTGGCGTCGAGACCTGGGTAATCACTTTGCACGACGTCTGTGATTTTCTTCATGGAGGTTGAGGGGGAGTCGGTGGCGAGTATCGTCATGTCGGGTTTTAGGGCGTATGATGAGACGAGATCTAGGGTATCTTGCTTTGCATCGATGGCTGCGACTTTGTAGCCCTGTTATGATATCAGTAATAATTCTTCCATGTGGGAATCAAACATACCATTGCTTTGGCCAATTGAGTTCCGATATGACCCAATCCACCAATCCCGACAATGCCGATTGAGCCTCCGGGTGGGACTTGGGCTCTCTTGATTCCTCCGTAGATGGTAATGCCGGCGCACATCATGCAGGCTGCCTGTGGGAAGTCGAGTTCATTTGGCAGCTTGGCTGTGAAGCGAGCGTCGCTGGGCATCGTCAGCTGTCTGCACTGTCAGAATAAGATGAATGTACTTACGCGACCATGTAATCTGCCCATGCTCCATCCGCGGTGATGCCCTTCATCTTCGGAGCATCGCAGTAGATTGGCTTTCCAGCCTTACAGTCCGGGCACTTTCCTATGATCCGTATCAGCACCAAAATCATCCCTAAAAGTCCGGGACTCACCACAGCAGCTGTCAAAGTTCAGACATCCAACCCGGTCACCGACCTCAAAGCCCTCAGCTTCTGACCCAACTTCAACGACAATACCAGCTGGCTCATGAGATCCGATGAACGGCAATTCGGTGTTGAATTCTCCGTTGAGAGCCATGCAGTCCGTATGACAGAACCCGCCCGCTTTGATCTGCACGAGAAGCTGATGAGGTTCGGGTTTGGGCTTATCTACTTCTGAGACCGCGTAGGGAGCGTTGAACTCTTTGATCTGGATGGCTCTCATTATGACGTTTGTTGAGCTGTGCGATCAAAATTGTTGTTTTGTCGGTAAGCTTCTGCGGATATTTGCCAGTCTGTTATTGTCAAAATCAAGACAGTAGGTTCTTTTAAGGATTTTAATAGCGCGAAGGTGAGTGAGTCTTGCTTAGAAATATGAGATGTAGTTGATGAAGTTCTACGTCATAGAGAGGCTGCCAATGAGGGGCGCTCCACTAGCCTAGTTGGGAAACTCCTAACGTTGACGTTCTGAAAGCTGGCAACGGCGACATCTTATATCCGAAGAGAGTGGACGAGTGACTAGGTACATACAGATGAAGCGTGACTGATACAGAGATACGAGTATAAACATCGGCTGGCGGTGGAGACAGCCAATTACAGATTACAGATACGTGTACAGAGCACTATCTGATCCCAAAGTGCGGCATGACAGAGCTTCCTGATGATTGAATTTGAGCTCTTGAAGGTCAGTTTGCAAGTCGTATAGTTCACATTTGTTGATGGTTGTTATCTAGAGCCTATAAGTACTTCGTCGAGTCTTCGTCTAGGTGGCTCTTGTACCAGAGTGAGATAGTTTGGTCATATGTGGATTACCTGGAAAAGGTGGGTGACCATAAATCACTTACGGGAATTTGCAAAGCAACGAAAGATTGTTGTCCATTTGGGGCTGGGCTAAGCGTTTATATACGCGTCACTGTTAGTCTTGTCTTGCCCAGGATATAACAATTCTTCTTCCAGAGCAAGGCTGAGCTTACAAATGCCGTCGAGGAGTCTGTATCTAGACGTGTAAGGCCTGGTATTAGCCAGCTTCAAAAGAAACAAGCGCTTGCAGAGATGCCCGAGCAGAGGCTTGAAGATGCCTGGAATAAAGGTGGAGAATTCAGGGGCATGCTTTCTTTTAAGGTCGTAGGCTATTTACATCGAGTCCAATATGTCCGTAACACAATATCCCTCAATATGATATATAGCAATTTTCCATTCCAAAGTACATTCTCCTTTACACAATATCCAAAAACCACTTCCACCAACATCCAGCAAACTGCGCCTTTCACCCCTCTTATTGTTGGTTCTGCCAACAATCCTGACACGGATAATCGATAATCCAGTTCCTCTGCACTCTTGATTGGCTGAAACTGACAGTGAGAAATCACGCCCCTCGATCCGTATAAGACGCAGCCTTGCTTTTCACCCCGACGCACAAATCTCTCCTTCCTGAATATTTCTCCCCTTAAAAACTGCTTCCCCCTATCTCCAGTACCCCTTTTTACCTTGTGATCATCATGTCTTTCTCCAACAACACCGTCTACGTCGTCACCGGCGGCAACAGAGGCATTGGCCTTGGCTTCGTCAAAGCCCTCCTTGCCCGTCCCAATACCACCGTCGTTGCGACTGTTCGTAATGACAAGTCCCAGTCGTCCCTCGAGTCTGACCTTGCAGACGCTGTTAAGGGTGATGGTAGCACTGTCTCCATCGTACAGTTGGACTTTTCCACTGCCCTCTCTCCCGATACCATCCGCGCTGCCTTTGACGTTGACCACATCGACGTCTTGATCAACAATGCTGCTGTCAGCTTCCCAAGTCTCCCAGCTCTCGAAATACTTGTCGCCGACCTCCGATCAGCCTTCGAGGTTAACACTATCGGTCCCCTGACTGTCGTCCAGGGCCTATGGCCACTACTTCAAAAGGCCACTGCACCAAAGGTGGTCAACGTATCATCCTCTGTTGGGTGTATCACCTACCACGAGGTTGTCTCTGGCGCTTATGGACCTAGCAAGGCGGCGTTGAACTGGCTCACCAAAGCCTTACATGAACAGAATAAAGGATTGGTCGCTTTTGCGCTTCATCCTGGGTTTGTAAAGACCGATATGGGTGATACGGCGGCGGGAGAGTGGGGGTTTCCTTTGGAGATGCTTGAGAGTGTTGAGAGTTCTGTTGACGGGATGTTGGAGGTGATTGACGGGGCTACGAGGGAGGCGACGGGTGGCAAGTTCGTCAGGAGCAAGAACCGGGAGCTTCCTTGGTAATTACTCATTGGCGGACCTGTGTAAGTGAAAGACACGTGTACATACATGTACAGAGATATGATGGTGTATTTGTCAGTTGGAAGTCTGTTGTTGTATTCAGGTAGCCAGTCAAACCATATGAGCAATTATGAGAACGTATTGAAGAAGTTACAAGCCGCAAGTCTTTGAGCATCTCCACATGACTGGACCATGGTATATTGAAGCTCTATCATGACTCAAGTGCCCCCTCCCAATTCTTCGTCCATTTGTACGCGCTGCGTCACATGAGCTGGCCCTATGTGGCATCAAAGAGCACGTAGTGACCTACCAGCCGTCTCCTATTGAGTTCCAATTTGCGCGCTGCGTGATTCTTCTAATGGCTCCGCCCGTTACCCTCAACCAATCCCAACGTCAATGACAGCGGAGACACCCTATAAGAAAAGTGATAAGTCAGTGGAACCAATAAAAAGAAGTTCCGGCTGGTGGTAGGGCTCAATATTTAAATTGTAAAACGGCGTGGCGTTAGTATCAAGCGTAGGGGATGAACTGGCCAGTCGATGCTTCTGTACCCCGCTTGAGATATGTACGATATTGGGTATCAGCTTTCACATGACCTTAGACACAGTTTGATCCTGGTGGACAGCAGGAATGCCGTGGAATGTTAAAGTGAGTGTGTCTGCGACTTATGGCGAACAGAACTCATCTTCGGGGAACATATCACGAACACCTACACCAAACACACGTTCCTTCAAGACTATCAACCACAAACCCAGACACCACCATCAAATATATCAGCAAGATCACCGTCAAATCCACCATATCTCCAGGTCTACAACCACTCAAACCACTTCATCTTCAAAAGCCCATCTCACCCACCACCAACAATCACAATGGTTCTTCACGACACAAAATCCTACCTCTTCCTCCTCGGTTTCTTGATCCTCATCTGCCTTCCAATGGCCGCTCTCTGCGGGAAGCGCGACAAAGTCATCGCGGACAAAGAGCTAGAAGTCGAACGAAATGGTCAACACTTGCCATTGGAAGAGTGGTACAAACCACGGTATAGTCCCTATACCGGGAGCGCAAGGCCTTTCCGTCACATTGAAGCCTATGCGCGCACTGGAGAGACGAATATCTGTGACGCGCCCGAAGACCGGCGCGAACTCCGGGATCGGATGTCTATGGAGGGCTAGAGTACCTAACACGTGAACGGTCATGGGAGGTCGACAGCTTTGGGATTATGCAGGGCTCGACATCGGAGGGGGAGGTATGGGGTCATGTGGAATGAGAGGGGTGTGTTGTCAAGTGCGTGTTGGAGGATCTATCATTTCTCGAACCTTGAATAGTGGCTATGGCTGGAAAGGGGGAGGACTGATGGAAGTCGGAAGAATGTACTTTAGCCTTTAGCCACAAGTGGCATCTTCGCCTTAACTACCATCCCATGTTAAAGTCCATCTACATGCTATCTCATTCTTAAATCTTTCCATTTTCCAACTCTCACATCCACACATCACCACAGTATCTTCACCCAACCCATCAAAATGCATTGGAAACAACAGGCCATCTACGCGGGCATTATCGTGTTAGGCCTTATCTTCACCGGCATCGTCGTTGCATCCGGCCATCGCAAAACACCCGACCAAGACAAAGATCTCGAAATCGATGAACACTTCAGAACCCAACACTTGCGTCTCCCCAAGATTCCTAAAGAGCAACGCAGGAGAAGAGAAGGCGAAGGATGGTAAGTACGATGATCATTCTTGAAGAACATTGCTAATAAGATACAGGTGGATTGAAGCTGACAATTATGCTGGTCGAGATGCATTTACGAGTGAGGATGCTGAGTGTCGGAGTCAATACTGTACTAAGCACAGGCATAGGGAGGATGTGTGAGTTCGGTTAGCGAAAGCTTATTAAACAAGAGGGATGCAAGGCTCAGATGCAAAGTAACTATGAGAATCTTCCATAAATTACAATTCTATGTGCAAAGTCAACTTCTAGAAAACCAATGAGAAATCTTGCAATCAACGCAGAGGTCAGATCACCTTCTCACATAAACTCAACAACCCCATCACGACCCAATCCATTAAGCCACATTCCCACATCCTCCGACACACCCTCTGCCAACTCATCCTCCACAACCCCAACCTGCCAACTACACGACACATTAAGACCGCCACCCTTGACAGAGATAACACTGAACGTCAAAGCTGGACCAGTCACAGACGCACTTTGCGTAAACGTGGCATCTTCAACCATCCACTCCTTTGACGATTGGCCGTCCATAACACCAAGATTGCTGACTTCCCATGAATGCTCACGTTTTGTAGAATGGTCCATTAGATATGCGTTCCAGTCCGTGATGAACTTTGCGAGGCCGATGGAGTCGTTTTTTGTGCCGAGTTTTAGTTTTGTGGTGAGACCTTCTCTTATGGACTTTGCTATCGACCATAGTGTTTCTTCGAGGGGTTTGTTCATTTCGCGGTCTTCTTTGGCGTCGTTGATTTGTTTTCGAAGGGTTGTGACGATGTCGGACTTGAAGACGTAGGGCCAGTATACTACGCCGTTTATAGCTGTTTTGTTCAAGTCAAATTTGGATGTACCCGGTTTTTGAAACTGTCTCAGACAAATTGGTGTGCCAGTTGAGAATGCAGGTGCCCTTTCTTTAGAGAGTCGCGTTGCCATTGATACTGAGATGAGGGCGTGGAGCAATCCAGTCAAGGTGGTGTCATGTTGACGACAAGCATCCAGCACAGGCTTGAGCGCGTCCTTCCCGACGGTGGTCGATTTGAGACGCGATTCGTATGGTTCCAGCTTTATCGGTGCCCATTTTGCTGTATGAGCCGGGGCCTTTTTGTCCGTCATTAACTCTTTTCCCAATATGGAGACGGCGTAGTTGAGTGAGATTGGGAACTTGATCATCTGGTGTAGTGGAGGCGTGAAATCAGTAACTGGAACCTTGAAAGATCCGTGCTCCAAGGTGACAGAGTCAGAATCCGAGTTGAGGCAAGCGAGGAGACTGTCATGAAAAATCCTGCCACTTTTTCCATCGGCAACCGTATGATCCCAAGCAAATATAACATCAACAAAGTCATTCGTGGCGGGCACTACCGCAGTAACCCTCCATTGAGGCTGTGTCTCGAGCTTGGTATATCGTTCGTTGACCTCCCATAGAAAGGCATCATTCAGAGCCGTCGCATAGTCCTCGCCTTCGGAAACATTCTTCCATCTCACATGGTTATTCAGGTCGATTGTATCCAGTCGAACCCAGTATTGCTTCTTTTTACCCTCGTTGCTGCGACCAGCTGTGAAAAGAGGGTGTTGAGTGATGGAACCAGCAATTGCTTGTTCAATCTTTTCTTCAAGGGCCAGATCGGCTCCTGAGGTTTGGAATGAGTTGGGGATGCGGTAGCGACACGACACAGCACATCCAACATAAATGTTCAGCGAATGACCCGCCGACTGGAAAGTCTCACTATCACAGTCAGTTCTTCTCTCCCCAAACAACCACAGTTAATACAAACATTGGACTAAGTCTCCTCAGGACACGATCGTCCTTGGCTTTACGAAAACGGTTCATGGTGGATAGATGATGTTGACCAAGAGATGCAGCCAGACTGCTAATAACATTACATTTATTCTACGAGAAAGGAGTCGAGTCATACGATTGACCCCTGTTTACATGTCAGATTTGGCCGGAGTAACTGCCCCATCCAGGAAGGATTCGGCGATGGTGGGATAGGACTAATATGGTCTTGTCAGTTTTAGGGCCTTTATGCGAGACTGGGGATGTGATTGGTCGGATGTTGTTTAGCCTGTGATGTTCAATTTCGAAGCTTACGACCATATCTAGCATTTCTATGTACGCGATAGTTGCCTACCCTCAATGACGATGGTTCGAATGGAGTGATTGAAGGCAGTGCTTACGTTTCTGCATTTTCCGGATTTGTGTTTTTATCTAAGTGGACACTTTCTTTTCCCACGTAAGCTGATGTCGCCAAGATTAGCAGCGAATATCGTGTCAACTTTTCCGACAGTCCAATAATTGACCAGCTTATGCGAAATCTTTTGCAAGGGCGTCGACTACAGATCCAAAGAAAATTAGCAGTACTATAAATTGCAGTAGGTCAATAGTTGATACCTTTGTGAATAATATTTAAACAATCGCTGCCCCAATGCCTTGCAACCAACCAACGTTTCTAAGAGCCGACAGCAGTATTGATCATTACAAAGGCATTTATTAGTATCAGTTCTAACTGTCTTGCTGACAACTTGATTCCCTAGGCGAGGATTCTTATTTTGACGTCTGAATGCCTTTGCCAGTCGACTGCAATGTTCATCTTATCCACGACAAGAGTCAAACGCCAATTGGGAATGTCTATCTATTTATCTACCTACTAATTCGAAAATCTTTAAAGTTATTTGTTCAAATTTAGCCGAGACTCCCCGTCTATCTTCCAGATCGTCTAAATGCAGAATGTAAAGTCTAAGGTTGGAAACGAACTCGCAACATGCCTCAACGGAGATTTTCACAGCATGCACGGGAATGGAACCGGTGAGTAAGAAACCGAAAAGGGAAATACCGAACGCCTTGCAGGGACATGGTTCTGTGCCGTACGCCAAATCTCTAAGCAAATTAGTGCTTCTTGGCTGGGAAGACGTACCCTAGAGACATCGTAACCGTTCTCGTCATCCATTGGGACATGAGATGGTGAGGATAGTGGTAAGGTCATGAGACTGAAATCTCTTTCTTCGAAGTCTTCTTCTTTACAAGATATCCATCTAGATCTTTTACAACGTTTACAACAGAGAATGCTTGGTGGAGCGACCACATGTGATGTGGGCCAAGAACTGTATCCTTGGCACTGGTATAATGTACGATGATCTGCAGATGCCACGCTTTCACTGTGAGAGTCTGGCAATAAACGGCATGTGTATTTGCTGTCTTGATAATGCTTGTCAATAATGGCTGTGCATAATATCCATCATAATTTGTCATTACCAGCACCATCACCAACCCGATTATTCCGGCTTTAACCGGTTCCCTTCCGACAAGGCTTAGTCTCAACTGTTTCCACACCAAACACAACATCTACAAGCCGTTCTTTACCCAGTAGTAAACGACCTTCCTCATCTTGAGCTTATCTTGTTTACGGCACCTTTTAACTCATAATCGGAAATAGTCAAATCCGCGCGTTGCAACTGTGCCATCCGCTTACCACCCAATTAGATCAGCCGATCTCTGTAACTATCCCATCTAACCCGAAACATCGTACCAAAAAGCTAAAAATAGTCGATCTCAAGGGTATCCCACCCGGAACTTACCACGAGTCATTGGCGCGGAGGTGCCTCTTTAATACCCCACAGTCGCTGTCAAATTAAACGTTTGCATTCGCTTTTTGTTTCTTTATTACATCACGATTCTACGGATACACGCTTTGAGTCTATTCAATTGAACAGCTGACGCACCGATAAGCACCTTGTATTGTTGGATTTTGAATGAGACTAGGTGAACTATAATACAGCATCGTCACTGGGAATCTGAGTCTTGGACCTGTCGGGTGCCGATCCGGTACGTACGTCAGACGAAAGGATCCAGGCCGAGCGGGCGGCCGCCTTAGGCCTGGGTCTGGGTCTCATGAAGATTGAATATGAGGGTGTGATTGATTGATTGACTGACAAGAGTCTCGTTAGTGAACGGTGACATAAGCGAGCATGCGCTCGCAGCACCACTCTTTCGTCAACATCCCCATCCCTCGCCATATCCCACCAAAGCTCGTCCTCGATTATGTCCAAACCTACGAACCCATCCTCCGCCACAACCCGGGCATGGTATCATGGTCAGAATCAACATTGAATCACGAAACAGTTCTCCACGACACCTTCTTCGACGCATCAAATCAGAGTCTTCGCTGCTACGAAGCTTATGAGATCATCAAGCTTGGACCAGGAGTTGAACGGGATGTTAGATGGCCCATCGTCTTTCAAAAAGTACCGAATGGGATTGTGTCAAGGACTGATGCACCTGCGAAAGTGATTACTTGGACGCAGTGGTATGTGAGAATGAGACAGCAGAATGAGCAGGATGTCAGTACGCCGAGTACGGCGACGCCGAGCAGTAGTGCAGATGATGAGTGGGAGTTGTACGGGATTGTCACGCTAGAGGCGCATCGGATGTTGATACCTTGGTGTACGCGCAAGACGAAATTGTATCAGGAGGCTATTGGGCAGGGAATTGTTGATGATATATGTTCAAAGTATAGCAGCGGATTAAGTATGGAGTCATAATGAAACACGAGAAATGACATTGTATTTATATATGGAACAATTTGGATGGTGCCTGTGAGCCTCTGGGCAGTTTAATAGACATAGCGGAAGTTAAGGTTCTTCCTATCAGTGATATCGGAGATCTCAAGATGATCTCCATCATCCTGGACGACGGCGCTGTTCTGCTGAAGTTTATCACGACGCTTGTTCTCGCGGATGATCGTGAAACGCAGAGCAAGCATGGTCAGTGTAGAAATGCCGAAGCAAATGGTCGTCGCCAAAAAGCCGCTCTGTAGATATGTCAGTGATGCTCGTTTAATATCTACTCGAAATGAGTTGACTTACCGAGTATTCAGGCGCTTCAGATGGAAAGAACAGGAACGGGCCGATGATATTACCAGCAGTATAAGCCATAAACATCATAGCCGAAGCAACACTCTTCTTAGTAAAGCCAGCGACATTGGAAGCGATCATGGACAAAGCGATAGGGAAACCAGCTGCAAAAGCGACAAATACCCAAAGGCCGAAGAGTTGACTTCCCTGGTTGGGACCGTAGCGGACAAGAAGTGACCCAGTCAAACTAAGATGGTTAGACAATGATGATACAAAGGAAGAATGTTGCTTACCTGATCAGACTGAGGCAGGCACCGATGATGGTTCTATACCCATCGAAGCGACTGCACAGATACGTCGATCCAAGTGCGAAGAACGCAAGGATCGCGCCCATGGGCATGTTAAGAAGATAGACTTCAAGTCTATTAAATCCGAACCCAGCCATGACAAGACTGCTGAACTGCAATCTGTTAGCCCTGTCCCCTTAATACCATGTAGATGTACTCACTGTCGTGTGTGCGCCATTGGGAATGCTAAAAGTGATTTGAAATAGCATCAGAAGCAAAACATTAGGATCAGTAACGACTTCTCGAACTTGATCCCACTTCCAGCTATTGCTCTTCATGCCGGTCTGGTTAATTCGGATTCGGTCCACGGCGTCGATACGTTGTTGCTCGGAGAGGAAGCGGGCGCTGTTGGGTGTGTCGGGGAGGAAGATAAGTAGGACGATGGCCCAGATGAGAGTGATGAGACCGAAGATGATGAAGAGCCACTGTAGTATGTCAGCAAGGTGTATAAATGACACGTTGGGGTGAGAGACTTACCCTCCAAGCAGCGAAAGGACCTCCAATTTGCGCAATACCATAAGCCAACAGACCCCCCATCATAGTAGCAATAGCATTTCCCAAAAACCAAATTCCATGTCTAAACGGCTGTTCCTCTCTCGTATACCACATGCCCGTGATAAGCGAAAAACCAGGCGAAATAGAAGCTTCAGCTACACCAAGAAAGAAACGCGCTACAAGAAGACCCGGAAAGTTCTGAACGGCTGCATGACAGCAGAGAACGATCGCCCATGCAAGACTTGAACCAGCGAGGTACTTTCCTAGAGGAAGTCGGACCATTAGAAAGGAGGCGGGATAGCTGAAGGCCAGATAACCGAAGTAAAAGGCGCTGCTGCACCAGCTGTATCGGGAGCCGACGAGGTCTAGGTCGTCGATTATGCCCATGATGGAGGCAAAGTTGAGGGATTGCTTGTCGAGGAACTGCAGGGTGTATGATACAAGGAGGAGTGGCATAAGGCTGGACTTGTTAGTTGGTTTGCTGTTAATTTGGGCGGATAGACTTACCAGAAGTCGATTCGTCGTAGGAGCTTTCGTTTAGCCATTCTATTGTCGACGCCTTCTTCTGCGACTTGCATTGAGCCTTGGAGACTCAATGTCTCGCCCATCTTGGTGTCGGGATCTTGAGTGGGAAGTTCAGGCTTGTGTTCCGTCATAGTTTGCTTTGTCTGATGAATAGAATTTTGATGAAGAGATGCTGTATCAAGAATCTGGGGAAACCAGGCTGTTAAGTAGATAGAAGCAAGGACAAGGGCGCTGATCTAGACCAGATAGACTGATCTTCTCCTCAAGCTTATCTCCACCCCCGCAAACAATATCAATAGTCCGGGGATATCGATATCAATGTTTCATCATCCAACATATCACAAGGAGTAAAAGATGTAAAATTTCAACACCCGTCTAGAAAAGCCGTTTCTTCAGCTCGGATATCTTGACGTCGTGATTGGATAGCTCGGCAAGTGTGTCGCTGGGGATGCCGATTGGTCAAGTCGGCTAATCGAGCTTCCCCAATCTTGATAGGAATTGTGGTAAACTCCGTCTGCCGGACCCGACGGATTGGGAATGCGGTCCGTGATGCGGGGAGGTTAGTTTAGTCTAGGCTTTGGAGCTGGTGGAATGGTAGTTATTGCTCGGGAGATGTGGATTGTTATGACGATGGTTGTGAACTTGTGATAGCGTCATCAGTTACGTCGCGACAGCAGTAGGTGTTGGTTATTGTGTTGTTTTGTCTGTACACCTTGAGCGACCGACTCCTCAGACAAACTCAAAATAGATGCCCATTGAGGTTTGGAAAGGTTACAAATCTGAAGATGTCTGCCAAATTGAAGGATAACAAGCGACGGATAGTTACAAGGTGGACTAAAATTGCAGTGAAGATCCAGGAACCTGGTCGAATGGAGATTACGAGTAAGCAACACGCTTTTATTATCTATTCAAACGACTCAAAGTCTATACCCAATAGGCTCAACATCCCTCTTAAACTCCTCCCTCGCCTTCTCAAGTAACTCAGGCTGCAATAACATTTCACAAGCCGTCGCAGCCAATCCCTTTCCACAATCCAATGCTCTAATAAGCGCTTCCTTTGTACCTGCTGCTTCAGCGAATTTGGGAGTGTGAGGTTGGATCAGAGGGTCTTCGGTTCCGATGGAGAACATGGGATGGATTCCTGGGAGACAGTATGTTACGTTGCCTATACGAATTGTTAGATATGATGGGAGAGGAGGTGGGGAGTGGTAGGAACGTACCCATGTCTGTTGATGCACCCATTGGCGGTTGATTTGCATCATCGATGAAATCTCGACCGAAAGACTTCATGTGTTTTGTAAATTCGGATGTCATGCATGTATTCGGACGAAGTTCCATGTAATCCTGGTCGCTGCACATCGTTAGCCCAGTTACTTCCCAACTTCAATCACTTGACTTACCCTTCGCATGTACACTTGACCTTGCACCCCGTCGCAATAGCACTAGCCTCAAAACAAGCCTCAGCCTTCTTCGACAAACTCTTAACCTCATCAACCCCCGCAGCGCGGATATAGTACTCTAAATCAGTAGAATCCGGAATAATATTCGGCTCCGCGCCACCATTTCGAATGACACCGTGTATTCTCTCGGTAGGTTGGATCTGCTGTCGCAGGAGAGAAATGTTGACGTAGGAAGATACCACAGCATCAAGAGCATTCTTTCCATGCCAGGGTGTGTTTCCTGCATGTGCACTCTCACCTGTGAACGACACTTTCATCTGCCGTCTTGCACTTGTCTTGGCAGCTGATACACCATCAATATTATCTGAACTTGGCGGCGAAAGACGGCCTGTGGGATGGGCCATCAGACAAGCGTCAACACCCTCGTAAGCACCAGCCTTCATAAGATGAACCTTTCCACCACCACCTTCTTCAGCAGGTGTTCCAAGAAGGCGCACCCGTCCTTGTATTTTACTCTCGCGTATTAACTCGGCCGTGGCGATGAATGCAGCGATTGAACTCGTCGCAATGAGGTTATGACCACAAGCGTGGCCTAAACCTGGAAGAGCATCATATTCCGCGTTAAAGACGATGAGTTTTCCGCCTTTGCCGTATTCGACTTCGAAGGAGGTTTGTATGCCGTATGCGCTGCGTTTAACGTTGTAACCGAGTTTTTGCATGAGATCGCAGATGTTGTCGTGGGCTTTGAACTCTTTGTAGTTGTATTCTGGGGTTTCATGAATCTGTCACATGTTAGCTGGCATGTGAAGAGGGATGGTAATGTTGGTACCTTTTTGCAGATCTCAGCTAAGTCACGCTCATGATGCGCAACAGACTGTGAGATTGTCTCATAAAGCTTCTCTGTAGAAAAAGACATGATGATGTAGTTGATGATGAGTACCGGCCGTAGTCAATTCTGGGAATAACAAAGGACTTGGCTTTTCTTATATGAGCTCCGAGCTTCCTTAGCTTCCCTTGTCCTCGGTTCTCCTCTTCCCGAGAATCCGCTTTTTAGCTTCTCTTCTGGGTCCTTTTCTTCTGACTACGTCCTCCATGACACAATTCCCCGACCGAGCACCTCCATTTCATGACAAGCCAATCTCCGCCTAAATGTTCATCCTATGTAGGAAACTCCGGTTCAAAGTCTGCATCTGATTTTCTTCTTTTGGCTAGAATTCTCGCAAGGGAGGGCGAAGAGGGGGTCTGTGCAGAATAGCCGAGCGAACCAATTAGAATTCGGGGGTCTGAGGTTTGCGGCTGAGATATCGCTGAGAATTACTGAGTCGAGAAACAAGTTTCAGAGAGGCTTACAGGCTGTCATTTTCCGAAGGACATAACCAAGTGCAGTAACTGAATCGCTGACATCAACTGCCGGTGGTTAATTATCCTTGAAAAGGAAGTTTTCTTACCCACGCTTTGTTCTCTTTCTTCAGGTACCAGAAAACCTGTCATGGGGAACTAAGCTCTCCCAGTACTAACCCCAAACTTAATGCATCGGGTATCTTTCCGGTAATTGTATCCCCACGTCTGTTCTCTCTTGGAGAAACCAGGGCCACCCGAGAAATCAAGTCAAAGCCCATAATTTCTTTTTCTTTTCCACATTACCACGGGCTAGACTCCCCAAAAACGCCCGTCAGAGAAATTAATAGCTTACCATCATCCCCCTCTTACATTACGACTCAATGATATAATCCTTGAGTCAGGCGCATATCACCCCGTGTTTCTCACGAGTCGGAGCCAGGCATGAGCTCAAGCTCCCCTGTCGCCGATCGGCGAAAAGCGAGGTCCAAGAACGGTACGTTCGGGATATCTATTTCCGAGACATTACTCTGCTAAATTTCGGGGACAGGATGTTTGACGTGTCGCATTCGCAAGGTCAAGTGTGATGAGCGAAGACCGGTTTGTAAACGATGCGAGAATAGTCCTAATAAGTGTGAATGGCTTGAGCCGGGACAGCCGTTGAGTGCGAGGGGACAGAAGGGCATTCCGAGCCCCGTTGGGTATGGAAGTCCACGACTTCTTGCGTCGAGTGAATCGCCGCGTACAGAAACTGGCTCTGCGAGTCCGGTTGACTTTATCTCGCCGGGGAGTAGTCTTGGATCACCACGACCTTCACTATCAACAGCTCATATCGCATTAGCCAACTCACTTCATCTAACTCCAGAGGACAAAGCGGCGTTTGCATACATTCCCCAATCGATAATGGTCTTGAGTTACGGAAAGCTCTGGCCATGGAGTAACTTCTCCTACATCTACACTCACATCGCAAGCCAATATCCCGGCGTAATGAGAAGTTTCATCGCAATCGCCAACATGGAACTTCGCGCAAAAGACTTGCTCATCGCACAAGACGCTATCGATCCTGCCGGAGCGTTGGAAAGAGCGAGTCGACTCGGCTCTGCTGCGACGGTGCATTATTCACAGGCTTTGCAAGACTTGTCATCTTTATTGAGCCATATTTGTTCAACGGCGGAGCAGAGCTGCGATGTTGATGCGCTGTTCACTATGTGGTTTCTCATACTGAGGTATGAAGCTTATGATTCGGAAACTACTGGCGCATCGCTTTTGCATTTGGAGGGAATCAGATCTTTCTTGAGACCTTATTTACAAGGCGAAGGGAAGAAACTACCTTGTGTCGCGCAAGGAATGCTTTTATACACGTTGTAAGTCAACCAAATCTCTGCGTTAACAATACTGATGACGTAGATATCTTGATGCAGATTCGGCAACAGGCAACACAAGCAGCGGTCAATTCTGCCTCGACTTTCTATCCCGCGACGCCCACGACTACATCTCGCACGAACATCTCTTTCTCAGCGTCCGATCAGCCCTTCCTAAAATCTGGGGCGAGCAATACCCCGTATCTGAACTCGTTGATGATCTGGAAAATTACCGCCCGTTACGTCTGTATCATTTATGTCAAGGAGCCAAGCTGGAGCTTCTGAGATTAGCGAGATCGACGACGCGTGAAGAAGGGAGTTTAAAGAAGCTATGGGGGAATGTTGAGAGCTTTGGTGATGTGAGTAGCGCGTGATATGAGGTAGGGGATAGAGCTGACAAGTACAGGAATTCGCGGATATTTTACTCCTTGCAAAGAAAGTTCCCAACTCAAGCGGCAAACGCTTAATGTGGACAGTGTACTCCGCAGCTCTCGACTTCCACGCCTTGCAAATCCTGTGCTCCAGCCTAGACACGCATCACGAAACATCCTTCGATCCTTCGTTGTCATTAACCTACATTTTCACCGTCGCGACAAAAGCTCTGGGCGAAGATCCACGCCAAATATATCGCTTCATGTGGTCTCTTTCCGTAGCGCTGGGAAAGTCGACGGGTCATAGTTGGCTATCTACGCAACTTGCTAGAGCGAGGGTTTTGCTACCGCGGTTTGGTGTGCCGGGGTTAGTTTTGGAACATTGTAGTGGGTTGCAGATTGGCAATGAGGGATGATAAGATATGTGTGGCTAAAAGTATTGTTTGAGGGATTCGTTTAGATAGAGGGATAACAGGCCTTGGTAAAAGTGTATTTATGTACTATAGACTATAGACTTATTCGATCTTGAAGGATTCCTTCAGTGGGAGATCACGGCTGCTTGCGCCGACAAGGATTGTGTAGTTGCCGGATTGGAGAACCCAATCTTGCTTAACCACATCCCAGACGCTGAGATCTCGTCTTGTAATCTCAAAGGGAACCTCGACAGAGTCGCCCTTATCAAGCTTCACCTTCTCGAAACCTCGGAGTTGCTTAGGTGGACTGTTGGGAATAGCAACATAAAGCTGCACAACCTCTTCACCACTTCTCTCACCAACGTTAGACACCGTTGCTTGAGCAGTAGCATAAGTATCCCAAAGGTCAGCCTCGGCTTCAGCAGTCTGCTCCATCTTGACAGAAAGAAAAGAATACTCAAACTGAGTATAACTCAACCCATACCCAAACTCAAACCTCGGCTCAACACCCCTCTCATCAAAAGATCGGTAATCAAGATAAACACCCTCCTCAAAATCACACTGCGGATCCGTCCCACCCTCCTCCACACCACAAGGTTCATACACATTATAATCGCTCTCGTTCTTCGCAATAGTATACGGCAACTTTCCCGAAAAGTCCGCTTCGCCATATAAAAGCTTGACGAGGGCCTCACCGCTATCTTGGCCGGGGAGATGTGCGATGATAGTTGCTGTGATGTTGGGATGTTCGATCCATTGGTCGACCAGGCGAATTCCGGCGGCGTGGATGGCGACGATGGTGTTGCTGCACTGGCGTGCTACGTTGAGGATTAGGGCGTCGCTGAAGTCGTCGTGGAGACCGTCGCGGTCCCAGCCTTCTGTTGCCATAGCGTTGATGAAGACTAGACAGACGTCGCTTGCGCCGTTGATGGAGGGGTTCGGGGAGGTGAGATCCCAGTTTACCCAGCTGCCGTCTTTGGCAGCTCTTTGCTGAATAGCACTTAAAGGCTGGATAATATCAGAACATAATCCAACAACCGGGTAGAGATACTCACATCGCTGATGTAGGGAGGTGAGTTAGCAGCAGCCCTTCCACCAGAAACAATAGTTCCTCCCCTAGCAGCTTGATCAAAATGATGTTCATCACCAAGAACCGCCTGACCCATCTCTTGCGAAGAAGTATATCCCAGCTCGAATAGCTTATCAGTGTTCTTGGTCGGTGCAACAGTTGCGTCATAGCCAAAGACGGAGATCATCTTGGGGTTTTTCTTGAAAGGGAGGGTTTTGTTTTCGTTTTTGACGAGAACGTGGCCTGCAATGGCGCCTTCGAGGAGGATGGGTCGTGATTCAGGAATGCGAGCTTCGATTTGTTCGTGGGGAAGGGAGAGGTTCTTCATGCCAATTCCTGGAGTTGGGAAGTCGTTGTCTTGACCAACGAGATACCAAGCAGCAAGGATTCTAAAGGTCGTCAGTTTGCTGGACAGAATGAGTGGGTGAGAGAGTCAAACCTAGTGGCCATATCAGTAACCCTCTCCTCCTTAACACTCCCATTCCCAACAGCCATCGTCAAATTCTCACCCCAGTTTCCCCCCATGGGCATAACCATATCAAGACCCGCACTAGCACTGTCCAGATTATGCACCGCATTCCAATCCAGCAGCACAAACCCGTCAAATTCAAGCTCAGACTTTAGAATGCCGTTCATCAAGTGACTGTTCTCGCAAGCATATGTTCCGTTGACGCGGTTGTATGCGCACATGACTGATGCAACGCCTGCTTTGACGGAGTCTACGAAGGGCCAGAGATAGTACTCGTGGAGGGTCTTGTCGTCGATGTTGGATGATACTGCTTCGATACCGTGGTAGGGACGACGGTATGTTTCTTGTTCATTTGCGATGAAGTGCTGGAAAGTCAGTAGGATTCTTTTGAGAAGGGGAGTTACCTACTTTGACGTTCGCGATGACTCCAGCTTCTTGGTGTCCAACAATCGACTCAGCACTCAACTTTCCAGTCAAATAAGGATCAACCGAAAAGCCCTCCCAATTCCGTCCTCCCAGCGGCGTTCGTCCCAAAGGTCCAACATTCGGCCCGAGCAGCACATTAACACCTTTGGCCTTAAACTCCTTCCCCATATAATAACCTCTTTGGTAGGTCAAATTCTTATCCCAAGATGCACCAACATGCAGCGCAGAAGGATAAGAGTTGACAAAATCTGTCGCTCTGACTCCATTGCCTGCATCCATAAGACATAAGCCCGGCCATCCTAGACGCGGTATCGTGCCTGTGTTTCCGGCGCAGGTGTTGTCTGCTGTGAAACCGCGTGTCACATTGGCCTTCTCTTCAAGGGTCAATTGGGCGACGAAAGCTTCGGCTTTGGTGTAGGCGGATTTCCAGATTCCTCTGCCTTGGCCTTGGGCTGTTTTGGGTGATTAGCTTCAGGGGTCCTGTGTTCTGGTGGAGATGGGCTTACGCGATGGGTGTTCATCTTGGTGAGACTCAGCTGGGCGCGATAAGACGCCTGTGGCTTGCAGCGCAAGGCACAGAAGTTGAGAAGGCCACATCTTCAATGTGTTTGCTCAAATGAATTGGGTCAAATCTCATGACGCGACAGTGAGTTGTCGATGCTCTGTGCACTTATTTATCACAGCTGTCTCACCACCAGCCGAAGATTAACCATGGCGCAACGTCACAGACAGGGATTGCGGAAGCTCCGTCATTTTTAACAGGTCTTTATCCTGGTCGTTGAACTCACCGCCCAGTAAACTGGCGAATCGGGGGACGTTCCGAAGATACAGGGTACCATCTCACGAGGTGATCTTCGTGGAGGAATGAGCTTCCCCGCAACATCTCACGATTGAAGACAACGTTTTGCAGAGGATCAGGTTGTTGGAGATCGTATTGGGAAGGTTTTGAGGCATTGCGGCTTTTTCTAGAGGCGTAATGGAACTGCTGTCGGGAAGTCGGCATTTGCTTCCGAAAACACCAAGGTCACTATGGTCAACGCGACGGATGCCTTCATCTTCCGCTCCTGGTTTATCAAATACCATGAATTTCCTATGTCGCAAATGAAGCACAATCGTCCATCAAATATTGCTCTATCCAGAAGGCACTCTTGTCTGACGGAATGATGTACCTTTCGGTGCCAACTTAGCGTCATGATGGACATTGTCGCAATCAGCCCAATGCATCCTATGCTGTTACCGAAATAGATTTGTTGATGTTTGTTTGTAATTGACACAGAGCACTTCGCGATAAAAAACCGATGAACTCTCGGTCGCCGCTCGATCATCGATATTGTTCATCCCGAGCCGCGACTTGCTGACATTCAGCGTGTCTTTCACAAATGCGGGGAGCTCGAGTTACACAATATTGAATTCTGCCGCTTGGCTTTGGCTGGAGTGTATGCTCCGTCAATGTGTAAGATGTCTAGACCTCCACGAGAGATACTCGGCTTCGCTCGCCTCGCTTTCATCTGGTCGTTGTGCTGCTTTGAATAGTCACTGTTCATGACATCACAGTTTCTACAACGATTGTACGTGGCAGTCTCGAAGACACAGAAATTACAATTCGGCTCAGACTCGATCACCGAGCTTGTGTTGTAGCGAGCTGCGAGCCGGCCAGAACAGCGTTGCATTCCATCCCATTTCGCACGACGTGGGGGTCAAGGTTACAGAGGCATGTTCAATTCCAGTGAGAAGAGGACCTACGACTGGATGAAAGGTGGTGCCAGCTTTACCCGACGTATCATGTTCAGGACTGCGGCTCTGTCCGCCTTACCATCATGAACACACGTCGCTTTTGTCAATTATTCGTCAGAATCGCAAGGCGGACGATGCGACCGGTGGCTTGCCCGCATCGCGAAGCCTTTCAACCCGTGTCGAAATCTTGTTTGGTCAATGGTGTCTCGTGATAAACATCGGTTATTTTGAGGCCTTCCATGATGCGAACCATTGGACGCCATTCTGTGGGATGAAGCAGGCTCTGCTGACCACCTTTGTCAAAAGGCAGCCTTCAACGTCGTTATGATGAAAATTCGATGGCACAGGCTCTTATGAATATCTTTGCAGAATATTTGAATAAGGTCTGTTATATAAGGAATGCGAGATCACAAATGGAGCTAGCCAGGAGACCACATGTAGGCAGGCCAAAACCGCAATGGCGCAACGCACACAGTCAACTTCCCTCGCCAGCCATGCTTATCGCAGAGGCAGACCTGGGAGGATCTCTCCCCAGAGCCGTCACCCCTCCACTGCCTCATCAGTCTCTTCTCAAGAGTCAGATAGTCCGTCGAGATTCCGCACACCCCTAGGCACTCCAACTACAGCAGCAACTAGATTGCCAACCCCCACTTTTGAATCCGGAGAGGATCGAGACCACAAAGCCTTCCCAGGTTACATACTTTTTCACAATACTGGCAGGAGTGTACCATCTAGTGATGGGGAGCCAGGACCAAGTAAAGAAAGAACAACTCTAAGAGATAAGGGCAAGGAACCTGAAGTCTATGAAGATTATCGATCTCCTGAGAGCATCGCAACACGCCTCAGTCGAATGGAAAACAAACTAGACTTGCTTTTACCGTTGCCCAACGAAATATCAAGCCGCGAGAAACAACCTTCCTGCGACGAAACACTGAGAACGGCTACGGAAGAACAGCTACAGTCGTCTCAAATCTACCGGGATCTCAAGGCCGAAAACAGGAGTCGGAAAGAAGAAACAGAAGCATTTCGGACGCAGTTGGCCGACAGCCAACAGGCTCAAGACCTGGTGCAGAGATCTATACAAGACCTCGAAGCTGCCAAAGAACGCTCAGAGAACGAAGCAAGAGAATGTATGGCTCAAGCCATGAACGAATATGAGACTCTGAGAGATGGGTATCAATGGGCGAAAGAGAATTGGAATAGGACCGCTGATGAGAGCGACGAGGCTTGGGATAAAGCGAAGGAGTATGAGAGAGAAAATGATACGCTGAAGCAGAAGATTTCCGCTCTCGAAGATGCCAACAAAGAGCTAGCCGGGAGGATCAAAGCTTATGATCTTGAATACATCAGAAGGAAGGAGTCGCAGAAAGATGGCGAGTCACAGACTGAGCCAGACACCGAACCAACCAACATGGAGTCTCGGGGAACCGAGACTAGCTTCATTGGCTGGGATCCTAATGCAGATGGAGAAATGGAAATTGACGCAGAAGGCGAATTAGAGCCAACAGAGATTCAGGATGGCGAACAGGTGGAGCAAGACAATCGACGAGACGATCAACAGCATGGATTACAAGACGCGCTACAGCACGACCAACATGAGGTGCCACAAGACATATCAGAGGGCCAAGAGGAACAACGGGAGGCCCAACAAGAAGATCCACAGCAAGAGATGATCGAAGGGAAACTAGAATCTGAACCCCATATCCAACAAACAGGTGAACAAGAAGAGCCACTGAAACAGTTATGCGATTGTCAGGACGAAGCTCAGCAGGATGGAACGACAAGCGATTCACCGGCGGACCGCAAGGAAAGCGAGGAAGACATTTCGCATAAAGAGATGTTAGCACGTGGTGAAAGACAACTGGAAAGGCTCATGAGTACTACACAGGAACCTGTTGTCGGTAGGCATACAGAGGCGGATAACATGGAACAGCAGGAAATGATTGAAACATGTGTCGGAAACGATCAACCCATGTGCGAAGCACCAGCGGAACACGGCCCACCGGAGATCCAAGAGGTTCCTCTAGTTGGTATTACTCGTGAGCCAACCACTGCAGGACCAGTTGATGAGCCAGAACCAGCTCCTGTTTCATCTACAGAATGGCCACAGAACAGAGACCATCACAGCCATGCGAGACAAAGACACAGACGTGGGGAAGCAGGAGATCGCCGCAGACATAGAAATCATCACAGAGACAGAGACGATGAAAGACATCACCGTCGACACAGTCACCATAACGACAGACCAAGAAACAGACATCGTCGGAGTCGAAGAAGTAGGCAAGACACAACGGTTATAGGATGGATAAGGTTGCAAGACATCGCGCAAACCTATTTCGGCATTAAGCTCCCATTCCCAAGGCTAAGTCTCAGTATTCGGTCGTAGGATTGCTTGGTAGGTTTTTCTTTCATGGTTTTCACAGGCGTTCTCAAGTTTCACAAAGCACTAAATTGCCAGGAATCTTTTACTACACCTTCAATTGCGGATTAAAGACAGTCCTTTCCGGTAACAATACCCATGCACTTACAGTCCTTATATCCTTTCCCTCCGCCCTGTTCTTTCCCATAATATCTATCACAGTTTGGAAACTCCTGATAGTAATTCTTAAATTTAATCACATTATCCCATATTCTCAATTTCGTTCATTCATGAGACTTTGTGGGATTATTCTGACGTAGGGATTACAAGTAACCTTCCACGTCACCCTATCAAGTGAAGTTCTCGTTGCTGCTGGCGAAGTCAGCTTACCTCAGACGGTGACAACCCATGTCGCAGATCACCAAAAGAGTAACAAGATTCACTCCAGATGCACGATCTAAGACGTGACCTATTTTGTCAGTAATATTACCAGCAATGTCTTCTCTGTTCCCGTGAACCTGAGAGCTCCGTCACTGTTCGAAGACACATGCCAATTTGATCACAGGTAGCGGCTGTTGTCAAGGAACTCGGAAGTTGATGGTAAAACAAGAAAATTCCGCTGACTGATAGCTGCTCAAGGTAACAATCTTCATATGAAGGTTGAAGCTTCTTTTAACAACAAGTTTCGATTTGATGAGTTGTTACGGCAATACCATGCGCTCTGCTATCATGGCAAGCTGACGGGCGTTCATGTCACCGCTTACTACCCCGCCACTAAGAAGAAAACGGTTTAACTTTAGCGTCAGACCAATGGGATACATAGGGCTTCCGTGTTATTAATGCGAAAGTGCAGTGTGGCTTGCCCATTGTCCTGATATAAAGAACGGCGGCTATCTCATCTCAAGCTTACGCAAACAAACATCTTCCCTTCAACCAGTGATCATGTTATCTCTCCTCGTCAATTCGTATGAGCAAGCATCTCAAACCTTTCCCATAACGCTCATCCTCTCTATCATTACCACTCTCTACCTCCTCCGTCGCGCCCTCCTCCCAAAGCCAATCCCCGGCATCCCTTACAACAAAAATGCCACCAACTCCATTTTCGGCGACCTCCCCGAATTCCGACGCGCCAAAAACCGCCATACATGGTGGGCTCTCCAAGCCGTAAAGCATCAATACCCTCTCGTCCAAATCTTTATGAAACCATTCGGTCTTCCCTGGGTGTTTGTAGCAGATCATTTCGAAGCATCAGATATCTGCATGCGCCGCCTCAAGGAATTTGATCGTGGGGAAATGACACGACAACAATTTGATGCACTTACGCCGGGTCATCAGATTTCGCTCAAGACGAGTGATCCCAAGTTTAAGAAAAATAGGGAGTTGGTTAGGGATTTGATGTCGACGAGTTTTCTGCAACAGACTGCTGCGCCACAGATTCATCATAAGTTTGAGAAGTTGATGGAGCTTTGGCATCGTAAGACGCAACTTTCTGGCGGACGACCGTTTGATATCGCTCATGATATACAAGAGGCGATATTTGATATCATTCTTGGAGCTTCTTTTGGCGTTGACTCTGGAGCAGGTCAGATCGGTAAGGAACTTGACGAACTCAAGGCCAAGACTACGACCGGTGGAAAAAACGACCCGTTCGAGTTCGAGCCTGTGGCACTATACGATGAAGACCTCAGCTGCATGGGTACTCTAATCGAGAGCTTCAACATTTGCATCAGGTTTCCGTGGCCCATCGTGGCGCATTTCATTTATCGCAACCTTTCAATCAAGATGAGAAAGGCGACTGCGATGCGCGTCCAGCTTCAGGAGCGTGAGATTGCTAAGAGTATTGAGAGGAAAGAGAAGGGTCATGCACAGCGCTGTGCTTTGGATAGTATGATGGAGCGCGAGGATGCCATTGCCCAAAAGGAAGGGCGTAAACCTAACTATCGAAGCCAATCTATTATCAGCGAGGTATGTTGGATATGTTCGTGATGATCATGAGCTAATGATTTGTAGCTTCTTGGCTATCTAGTCGCAGGACATGAGACGACCTCAGCGGTTATAAAATGGGGAATGAAGTACCTAACAAAAGATCAACGTGTCCAGTCACGCCTTCGCGAGGCCCTCCGTGAAGCACACCCCGAAGCCATCGCACAAAAGCGTATTCCAACCATGGACGAGATTCTCAAAGCTCACGTTCCCTACCTCGACGCCGTCATCGAAGAAACCCTCCGAAACGCACGCGTCGCCCCCGTAACTCTCCGCGAAGCCGTAACCGACACCCAAATTCTCGGCCATCACATCCCTAAAGGCACGACCATCGCCTTCCTAGGTAACGGCCCAGGCGTAATGATGCCCAGCATCCCTCTCGACCCCTCCAAGCGATCCGAAGCTTCACGTGCACATATGGACAGGATCCATACCTTCGGAGAAGAGAATATTGGACAATATGTTCCTGAACGATGGCTCTCGACAGATGAAGAAGAGAAGACGGTATTTGATGCTAGCCAAGGTCCTCAGCAGGCTTTTGGCCTGGGACCGAGAGCTTGTTTTGGTAAGAAGTTGGTGTTTATGGAGCTGAAAGCGTTTTTTACGTTTGTCTTTTGGAATTTTAGGTTAGAGAGTGTTAAGGATGAGTTGGCTACTGATGAGGAGATGCTTGCATTGACGAGGGCGCCGAAGAATGTTTATGTCAAGTTGACCAAGGTGGAATGCTGTGGATAGTTTGGGATGAGTGGTGGCTATGAATGTTACCCGATCTTCTTTCTCCGCGATGCAATAAAGGGCTATTATCGTCGTATTGCTCCATGTAAATAAGAGATATACTAAAACCCAATCGCTATCCATATCCAATAAAACCTGCAATCTATTCTTGTTCTAGTTGCACTGATTGGCGCCTGAACGAAGTAAGCTCTAAGCCGATCTGGACATACTATGCGATTGCTGGATCAGAGTGGTGATTAATGGACAGGGTTATCCAAGCGGCACAGCAAATTTCATGCAGGTTAACCGTTTTCCTCTCGGCTTCCCCAGAGGCTGATAGCTCTGTCGTAGTCTAGACTCATCCTTTGTGATCTAAATCCGTAAGTCTAATCCGGATCTGTGGTTTCAGCTTTGTTGATGCTCTGTAGGATCTTTGGGTTACATTGTATCATCGTAGATGCGCGAATCAGCTCGTCACTGTAGACGCAGGTTGTCACAGGCCCATATCGAAATGCTGTCAATTCGCTGTGCACGTAAGTATCCTTACTCCAGATTGTTGTCTACACATGAGGCTATTCGCACATCATATTCGTTGTCCAGGCTAACAGCAGACTATCGATTTTCGACGAGGTGCTAACTCCGTAGGGCTGAGGTGTGGCACAGCCTCTAGTTCACTATTGGGCCAGTTGACTATTACAGTCAGCCCTAAATGGTATCTCCATGGGGTCAACGTTACAGTAATGACATGCCCGACGGGGTAGACTTACTGCCCATATCCTATGGAGGTTATATCGAGATGACAGACCGTTTCGACGGATCCGTTCTCTATATAAAGTTGCCTATCTCATCACATTGTGAAAATCTTTACATCTCCATCAGTCTCTCTTTAGACTCGCCAAGATGAAGTTCCAATTGATCCTAGTTGCTCTCTTTGGAGTGGCTTCCGCCCAGAAGGCAGCCGTCACTAATCAGCTCTGCAGCACCTCACTCGGTCTCAAGTCCGTCAGAAACGTCAAGACCTCTACCAAGACAGTCAACATCAACTTGACTGCCTACAAAAAGGTTTGCCCTACGATTGTCAAAACCATCACGCCCAAGCCCAAGACTACTTACTACCCGAACCAATACCGTTACTTCGACAGTCATCTCAACACTTCCCAAGGGGACTGACACTGTCACCGTTACCAGTACTGGTAGGTTCAGTGTTCTGGCTTCATGTTTGCATTTACTAATGCCTTCTAGATACATCCACAAGCACGGTATCGGAGTCAGCGACAATCACAAACACAGCCTTCTCTACCGTCTTCGTCACCGAGACACCTACCTCGACCATCCCTACGTCCGCGGGCTTCGTGCCCGTTGCCTCCGATGTGACATACGTTCCAAAGCGCGATATGACTGGTCGTTTTGCTGTAGAGAAGCGTGGCAAATTTCCGCAGCAAATCACCTGTGGCAAGGGCAAGCCGCCCAGCTACCATCCTGCTGTCTACCCTCAGTCTGTGACTTGTCGCAAAGTCATCAAGACCATTACTACCAAGACTGTCACTCTCAATTACTGTATACGCAAACATATAAGAACCACCTATCTTCCACGCAAGACTTCTACTAGATATGCTACTATTACTACGACTACTACACGTGTTGTGGGCCAGCCTGCTGAGACTATTACGGTTTCTGCGACGGAGACTGCAACTGAGACCACGACCACCACCTCAACGCGGACAGATAGCACTACCCTCACTGGTATGTCATAGTTCTCTCCATGCATAACCAGTGTCTCATGCATTTCTTAGAAACCCAAACCTCGGTCGCTCCCACCGCCACAGTCTATGCTGCCTGCGCAAGCAATAACATCATTGGGGCAGCGAATGGCAACCGCGGTATCAACGCTATCATCGTGAATGATCAGGGTTCAAACAACCAAGTGATCAATGTAGGTGCCAGAAGTGCTTACGATTGCTGCGTGGCTTGCCAAACAACTACAAATTGCATCGGAGCCGTCTCATCCAGTAGCTGCATCCTTATCATCGCGCCAACTTGTAGCCCCGGATCAACGTTTTCGACTGGTTATCAGACTAACCCATCTCGCGATCCTGGTAGTGGCTTCATTGTCAGTAACGGTTTTTGTGGCCGTATTCCCAATGCGGGTGTATGATTTTAGTTGATACTGTATGGCATGGTATCATGAGACGAAACTCAAGCGACACGTGCCTGCCAAAGACTGCCGCTTTGGGGCGTTTTGTCAGCCCCTCAGCCTGTTAAAAGCAAAAAGGATTAGGATCCTAGGGACTGTTGGGGCTTATATTTCAACACAGCCTGCCCTTAGCCCACCCTTAGCTAGCACTGGCTCTACTTACCCCCTGTTCTTATCTCTAGGACTATAAACTAATTCTAGCTAATAGAAACTAACATGACCTAAAGTATATTATTTACTTTAAGCTTTTAAGTCTCTTATGGCCTTTATATTAATATAGCCTCTGTAATATGTCCTGAATAAATAAAGATAACTAATCGTGTAGCTTCTGCGTAATAGAAAATCTAATTGTCCCTAGCTTGAGCAACGCGCATCTTGTCCCCTGAATCAACATAATCTGTTTTAACGTCTGTTCACTTTCACAAAATAGTAAGCACTTCTGTCTGGCCTTCGCCGAACCATATAGCCATATCTTTCAGATACTTTCCACGATAGTCGTTGTAAAACGTTAAAAGCCCAACTCTTCGAAAATGATTCTTGGTTCCGAATATCGGCGTGATGAGAAGTCCGAAGCCATACCAGCCTCCAGTAAACCCAACCGCTAAAGCATACAGTTCAGGAAAGGCGCCTCCTGGGTCCATGCTTTCGGAGGGTCTATTTATGTCAGTCGTGATATGTGAGAGTAATTCTGAAATAGCATCGGGAAAGAATTTGACTGGTGTTTGGAAGATTCCTTGCGATGATAGCTTCCAGGCGTACATAATCTTCGGATCAGGCGTCTGGGTCACGGCAGCTTTGCACAGCTTACCACGAACCTCCAAATAGCCCGCTTTAACGCGACCGTATGGATCAGCGTCGGCTGATGAGTCGACCAAAGTCGTCGAGCATGAAATAAACTCAAGAGTGGATACTCCCCCGAATCTCTTGAACTGAAAATCTTCAAAGTCGACTCCGTAGTTGGCGGAGGCCCAGGACCAGCTAGGTGCCACGTAGCCCTGCCAAGCAACGATAGCCGATGATTTATCGTTGGTCTCATCGACCATATGAGCGACTATCGGACCTTCGGTGTTTTCTGTTCTGTTCGAGACACGCCATAAAAGTGCCTCGGGAAGGTTGTTCTTCCAGATTCCAGCTAGATAAACTTCTCCAGGGGGTGGTTTGCATGCATGGATTATGCCTGAGATAGCTGGGAGGCGATCACTGCTAAAAGTCAAAGCACGCTGGGAATACTCCCGGACGAAAGAAAACCACCATCGTGACTTCTTCCACGTACAAAAGGGTTGAATGGATTTGAAATGAGAGAAGTCTTCCGAGTTGCCATGAGTGCACTCATCCTGGGTGAGAAAACTGCATTCGAAATACATTTGGTAAGACCCAAAGTAAAGAATACGCGAAGGAAGCATTCTCTCTTGGACTACCCATCCGCGATTTATGAGAACCGATTCGGGTTCCTTTCCAAGAACTTGTGATTGATCGTGAAGGAAACCAAGATCCCTAACACGCGCTAAACGCTCATTCAGATCTATGGGGGCCTCCTTGATACGGTGAAACCCGGGATACCAAATTTTAATCGTGTTGGTAGGGTTACCCTGAAAATCGCGGTACTGAAGTGCGCAGGGCTGATAGTCAGGGTTATCGTGCAACGGGCGTTTATGTAAAAACCCCACGGATGAGTCTTTAGCTCCAGGTACAGCAATAGTAAGAGTAGCGCCTTGAAACACAGAGGACATCCGGGGGCATTCGGTTTCCCAGTCCCTGTTATCGTCTTGTACGATACAAAGCGAGTCTATCCATAAGTATTGGTATCCTAGTTGGTTCGTGGCAATAACAGCATCCCGGAAGGTAGCTGGTAGATTTCCGACGGGTATTCCACGCATATGCTCTTTAAGGTTGGATCTTTGTGTTAACGCTGACTTGAAATCACCCCATCTGTGGGAGAGTGTAACATATTTGTATCTTTGTGACGGATGTGTGAGCACAAGTTTGATGCTCGTAGTGTTGTCAATAATTTGTAGGAGACGCGTCGGGTTGCGAGCAGGAACTGCTTTGCAACTCGGATGGTGATTTTGACAGTTTGTGACCCATTTTTTAGCAAGGCTAAAATCGGCTGTAGCATCGCACTGTCTTCGTCGTGGCAGCTCTCGATGAGAATCAAATGGGGGCTGGTCTGTACAATAGGTTAGCACTAAGGCGACACTCAAGAGATGATAGGGGTTTCTTTCCTGCTTTTACTGCAACAGCAAACTCTGCCGTTCGAACCAATGGGTAGGATAGCGGGGTAGCATGTTTCATAATTATGTCAAGACGATAAGGGCCACGAAAACCCCCAGGCTTGAATACAATGTGCAATTGTGGCCGGCTGGGCTCTAGTTGATCGATGAGGGATTCGATTGCTCGCAGTGACTTGCCCTCGTCTTGCTTTTCGCGTAGCGCATAGCAAGTATACACATAGCCATTGTATAGAAGTTTGCATAGTTGGCAGCCATTCTGCATGGAACCTTTGAGAGCTGGCAGTGACCCGTGATGAACATACATTTTAAAGTCATTGTCGTTAGTCTTTAAGAAATTTTCAGGACGGACAAAATTTTGCTCGAAGTCCAGACAGACGCTGCATAAGGTTGATACCGCATTGCGAGGCAATCGACTCAGCACGGGACCGTACACAGGGCCGTTGATTTCGCCTCGATAGATTACCCCAGAGATTCCAGATTCGAATAAGTCCAAAGGGGATTTGATGGATAATGTTGTAGTCATCGTTGCATCTGAAAAGCAATATACGACTTATCCCCTACTTTGACCACGGAGATACTTTTAATAATGTTTTATGTTCGCAATTCTAGGAATTCCAAAAGTTCATACCTAATGATGTGCGGGTTGGCAGTCTTTAAAGCTGTCTTGGTGGCGTAGCAAGGCGGACATCCGTGCCTTGCTGAGTGCCTTGGCGGCAAGGAGGGACATTTGTTTCGTCCAAGCGAGGCACTGGTTTTTACAACGGCCAACAGTAAATTGCACGGAAATTGTGAAACATATGATTCAGTAATTGAATTAACTGTCTATATTAAATACAACAGCCTGCCATATGTCTTAAAGGGTGTTATTAAACTGCAGGCAGGGCATTTTAACTAAAGAGTTAAGCAGTAGTAGCCTTGAATACAGAGGTCTCTCATGATATGGATTCATCCAGACTAGATGCCTCGACATAGGAAAGTCCAACCGGGCCCAAAACAGGGATGCGGTCCTAGATGTGATCCGCCGCGGGGACTCTGACCGGGGCAGTCTATGCGATCCCGAAAATGGGCCTGCTCAGTCACGTCAGCCCAAGCTCAGCCCGTCTCAGCCTGGACTCGGGGTCCCTCAGCCCAACCTCAGCACCAACTCAGCTTAAAGCGGCAGGACCTCAGCTCTAGAAACGGAAACGGATTTTATTATGCTTGAGTTTCGTCTCCGAGTTATGTGGTATTGCAAGTTTGACACATGGATCAATCAGACGCCTAACGGCTTGGAGCTTAATGTTGTCCTTCGGTTAAAACAGCCTTTTAGCTATACAATCAACTCTAAAATAAACAATGTGTCTCACTTGGGGGTGTATCCTTTACTCGACCCAGCGGCAGCGGGTAGTACTCTGTTGCTGCCGATATCCGCTTTAGCGAGGTGGCAGTTGGGATCTGGATCATTCGAGATGTCAATTATGAGACGACACTGGATTTAGACTCCTTCATGTTTAGTGTTTGCAAGGGTATCCCATCATCTTTTAACGTTTGCAAGGTCACGATTGGGGGTCTTCCATATCAGGTGTTCAACTCGTACAAATTACGAAAAATGCAACGGCATGTTGGTCCGAAAAACGACGTTGGGGTTATTTGGATCATGCAGAATTTAGGTTCCCGCTAAAACTGTTGGTAAATTGCATTCATTCTGGGGTCTCGTCAATACGAATCGCATGATCCATGGTGGGGATTTTGAGATGAGGTTAAGTGTCCTCACCTGCCAGAGAAGGGACAAAATTGTTTAGTCATCTGGTACCCGAATTGGAACTAGTTTATTCTGGCGGCCGACTGTGGGCCCCGATGTGGGGTCAGTCCGAATGGAGTCAAAACTGGCAGAGAGAAAAGTCCCGGACGCCACACAATCAACAATGAAAGACAGTCACTGAATCAATTGCAATCGGAGACAAAATTTGAAGTGGTAATCATAAACATTAAATTCTGGATCTCATAGTGCGTCTGCGCACAATGTATCTATCGTGAAAAGCCGTCTATCTCTAGAGATGCTGTATTAAACCTGGTATCATTTTATCTTCCATTTAAGCCATGTCGTTGGCCTTCTTCTCGCGCTGCTCAACAGTGATGTCGTTCTTCTCGTCAGTGATCTCATCGACGTGAGATTCCTCGGTAGCCTTGTCGGCGAGGATCTTCATGCCACCTCGGACCCAAGCCTGGGCGACGTAGCCGAGAACGTAGACGAAGCCAACAACGGGAACAACGTAAGAGATACGAGTTCCAGCGGCATCAGCAATTGCTCCTTGCACAGGGGGGAACACAGCACCACCGGAAACACCCATGACGAGGATACCGGCAGCTCGGCGAGTGTGGCGGCCAAGGTTGGCGGTACCGAGGGCGAAGATGGTGGGGTACATGGGAGCCTCAAAGAAGAAGATGGCAATCAGAGCACCAATGGAAGCCTTGCCAGTACCAGCGCTGCAGTAAGCGGTAAGAGCAATGGCGCAGCAAGAGTAGACAACCATGATGAACTCGGCCTTGAGGAAGACAGCCAGACCGGTAGCGACGAATCGACCAACAGTGAAGGTGATGAGGGCGTAGCTAAGCATGTTGGAAGCATTGGCAGTAGAGACACCACCGTTCTCGTGAGCGTAGTTGATGAAGAAGGTAGCAATGGTAACCTGGGCACCGACGTAGCAGAACTGAGCACCGAAGGCGAACCACATGTTGTACTGCTTCCAGATGGAACCATCAGTGTCGTGACCAGCCTCATCCTCAATGACAGCCTCAGAGATCTCGGGAAGCTTGGCGAAGAAGAAGAGAACACCAACGGCGGCACCAGCACAGGCGACGGCGAGGTAGACGAACTGGACGTTGGTAAGGCTGTTCTGGTTCTCGCCACTGAAGAAGAACTTGGAGGCGATCAAGGGTCCAATGAAAGAGGCGACACCGTTCCAAGACTGGCAGAATTGGAGACGAGCGTTGGCAGAGGCAGGGTTACCAATGACGACAGCGTAAGAGTTGGCAGAAGTCTCAAGAGTAGCAAGACCACAAGCAATGACAAGAGTGCAAGCGCAGAAGCCACCGAAGACAGCGCGGCCGTTAGCGTTGGAGTCGGCAGACTTGGCGACAGGCCAGAACAGGATAGCGCCAAGAGAGTAGAGAGAAAGACCCATCAGGATAGTCTGCTTGTAACCGCGTCGCTTGAGAACTTCGGCGGCAATGGGAGAGAAGAGGAGGTAACCACCGCCAAAGTACATGACCTGAAGACCAGTGGACTCGAGACGGCTGATGCCGAGAACGGTTTGGAAATGCTTGTTGAGGACATCGAGAAGACCGTAGGAGAAACCCCAGAGGAAGAAGAGGGAGATGACGAGGGCGAGGGGGAAGATGAGGGCGCGACCTTTGAGGTAGCCGCCAGCCAATTGAGGAGCAGCAGTAGGAATTCCGCCAGCCATGATGAAAGATGTAAGACAGAAAAGTCTTGAAAGATCTAAAAAGCTGATGAAGATGTAGATGAGATGAGATGAGCTGATGAACAAAAAGATGTTTGGTGGTGATACCAGCAGATCTTTATACAAATCTTCCCCCCAGATAATTGACCTAGAAAAGCCCAGATTTTATCGCGCCGACACTAAATAAGAGTGTGAGTGTCCACTTTCCCCAACACTCCTCATTTTCTTAATCCCCCAGACTTGGGGTTGCTCTGGTTCAGTGTGGAGGATAGGCCGTGGAGTAAACAAGCTTCCCCATGACCCCAACTTACAAGGTCGAGTGCGAAAAAATTCTTGTTGGACCATCGCCTAAGCCGGGTCCATGAATCGAGACCTGTCTGGGGAAGAACCATAAAACAAGCTACGAGTGGGGGAGGCCCGACATCAACCACTTAGAGAGTAGTTAGGTTGACCATGTCCGTGAGCTTAGCTACTTCCAGTATAACTGCGTGGAGAGCCTGTGGAGGTCGGACCGACAATACGGCCGTTGATGGCTTCACCTGTTAAGCTTAGCATGCCAAGAGGTCTCTGCGTAGATCTCCCGGGCAAGACTTCAATTCGCTGCACAACGTACGCGCGGGTTATCTAGGCTTTGGGGCTATTCGGGCCTTTAGACACCGTTCTGGGGACACTATCGACCGGCATCGGCGTTATGAGCCTAGTTGAGGAGGGAGTCGCAAGGCTGATGGTACATTGTGTGAGTGGACAGATCGTACCATTGGATCTTCAGGTTACGCGTTACTGCACCGTGAACATGTGTAGGTTTGATGTCAACGCGGCTATCGTTTGTTGAGCTCTGCGTGGTTTTCAACTCTATCCATGCATGCCACATTCTTACTGACATCCTCGTGGAAAGTGGATGTTGGCAAGGATATCTCCCTGCTTTGAATGTTTGAAGTACATCTTGGCTAAGAAATTGGTCAAACTAGACTGACTCAAAAGCCACAAGATCTGTCACAACCGGCCCTTTTCAGATGCACATCTTCACTGACAATTCCCTAAAACATGCAATCGCGTCAATTAATATCGCGCAATTGCCAACATAATACACCGGTCTCTGTAGTAAAGGGGTAAACAGGAATTCCCAAGGACGAAAGGAAGTACTGCATGCAATCCTACCTTACCTTGGCCCCTGGTTCATTTTGTCGCAGCGACATCAGCTTATGAGGGTCAAGTCGGGCTTGGCGACGAAATTTGGAGAAAATCCTCCGGCATGGCAATTCTCGTGAAATTGCTTCGTCGACGTAATTAATTACAGATCTGGACCAACAGCGACCCCAACTAAGAATGGTGTTTCCAGGGAGCTTCTAGTGGATACGTGAGGTCCGATAATTAACCTCTTTTAACCTTAGTTCCAACAAGCAGTGCAGCAGGCCGGGCGTAACCGACACGTGAGGGTTGCAGAAATCGTTTTATGGCTAGCCGTTTTTATCATCGTCTCCAGCACGGTCAAGCCACTGCCGATCGCAGCAAATTTTACCCAGATCGCCAACTCTGTTTACGAGAGTTGCTGATCGCTACATATGTGGTTACTGCAGGCGGCTTTGTCCGATTTCTGAGATAAAGTGTTGCCATCTTAATGTCGAGAATTTGATAGGTGGATTTGGGTCCGTAAGAATTAAGCTTGTATGTATGGAGACTGGAGTAAAGAGACAAGGTAAGGATCCTGGTAACGTGACCTGACGAGAATCATATCGCCAATGCTTTCAATAGTTCAGTCCTGCCGTACAAGCCGCGTCGGCGCGTCTTGGAACTAATGCAATCACTTTGATTTGCTATTCCCGGCGCTGACCGAGCTTTCGGTCAGGGATAATACCCGAGATCTTGGTGGTCTTTGGCAAGCTGCATGGGTTTGTTGAGCAGAGGTGCTCACGTGGGCTGGTGTGGGATTGAAAAGGAAAATCTGGAGTTGGAAGTGTCTGGGGTAGGATACGAACTGAATTCCTTGTGGGCAGTAATCCGGGGAGCCTTGATCTCCATATTTCTTACGATGCGGATCCGCGAACGAAAGAATTCGCAACAAAACCTGCGGTCTGTTACATTGACATCTGCTCAAGTATTTTCTCCATATCCATGAGCAAACCCCAAGTTAGTAACTTCCAACACAATAAGGGATTTAATCTAGTTGGTGGATATAACAAGCTATCCAAAGTATCTTTGAGCGTTAATTAAACCTAATGATCACACCGTAAAACCTTTACTGAGGCCAAAACAATAAAAATACTCGAGGTATATCCTAGATCCAGGGTAGTTCAAGAGAGATAAGCTGCACCGATAACCTAATCAGATAGCGTGTATCTAATCTCTAATCTAATCAACTAACGCCGCATGAGATAAGCGAGGCACAGCCACAGACCAACCGTTTCGCACGTCCGTTTCCCAAACGGAGCAGTAGCATCAATCTGTACGAAATGGGAATAGTGTACGAGAAACTGAGCTCAGCTCCATCTTTACGACCGAACTCCACAAGGAATTCCCCGAGCCCGAGCAATCCGTCCAGAATATCCCGACATCTGGAAAGGTCTATAAGACAGTACTGCGCTTTTCCTCACTTCGCAACAATGACTCTGTCTACTATCCGAGAATATGTCTGAACAATTACTTCTCAAGAACGGCACTGTTCTTCAACATGATGAGAATGACAATGTGGTTGTTCTTAGAAACACCGATATCTTGATCACGAATGGCCGTATCACCGAGATTGGCAAGAATATCGATGCTTCCAAAGATGTCTCTATCATCGATTGCAAGGATAAGATTATCTCACCAGGATTCATAAACGCGCATCACCACATGTGGCAGACTCAGCTCAAAGGCCTCCTCGGAGATTGCACGATGCTGGATTACATGCTCGAAGGTACCCTCCCCCAAATACCTGCCTCTCAAAACGAATACTCATCCTCCCAGCAAACCTTCAAAGCTTCAACTTTACCCCCGAAGACATCTTCTGGGGCCAGTTAGCCGGCTGTCTCGAAGCTCTCGACTCAGGAACAACATGCGTAGTCGACAACGCTCACATGGCCTCTCAACCGGAACACGGCACAGCAGCTCTAAGCGCGACTATCGCATCGGGTATACGATCTGTCTTTTGCTATGGTGTTATGCCGCTTCGTGCGAAGGAGTGGACGGAGGATTCATTTGAACTTGATCGTGTGCCGCAGCCTGATTGGTTGGTACCGCAGATGGATGGTCTTGCTGAGAAGGCGCCGTTTGGAGATGGACGAGTTCAGCTGGGATTCTTCTTTGACTCGTATTTTCTGCCTGAGGGGGTTATTACTGAGACATTGGGGCATGTCAAGAAGGCTGGTGTGAAGTTGATTACGAGTCATTATAGACATTGGCCCATCTCGAAAGGTATGTCAGCCAGGTTACTTTGAGGACACAACTAACTCATTGTAGGTCAATCGAGAGTTCCGGAGCAATTAAACGCTTGTGGTTTGCTTGGACCAGATATCCTTCTCACACACGGCAATGGGACCACACCGGAACAAGCAGAACTCCTGACTTCGGCTGGAACATACATCGTTTCTACCGCCGATGCAGAGATATTCATGTCCTCAGGCGCCGACCCCGTAGCATTCCGTCAAGACCTCCCCTTGACATGTCTCGGTGCAGATTGTCACTCCTGTGGTCCAGTCAACATGATGCATCAGATGCAAATAGCTCTAGCAGCTGATCGAGCGACACAAAACACAAAGAACTTTGCGGAGGGGAAGTATCCCAGGAAACCTCGCGCTACGATACAGGAGGCGTTCAACTTGGCTACGATCAAAGCAGCTCGTGCGGTGAAGATGGAGAAGGATATTGGATCTATAGCTGTGGGCAAGATGGCTGATTTGGTTATTTTTGATACGAGTTCTCCTTCTATTGGCTGTGCGGCTGACAATGATCCTTTGACGGCTATTGTTCGTCAGGCTGGTGTTAGAGAAGTCGAGACTGTTATTGTTGGTGGGAGGGTGAGGAAGGACAAGGGAGCTTTGAAGGAGGTGCGCTTGGATGAGGCCTGTCGCGAAGGAGGGTTTGAGCTAAAGCATGAAATTGAAGGAGGATTTTCATGGAAAGAGGTCGCTGAAAAGTTGTCGATGAGCAGAAGTGAGATACAGGAGAGGATTGGCAAGACGAACAAAGAGCTGGCTAAGGCTAAACTGCTCGGGATGTTAGGAGGATTAGACGACATCTTGGTAGACTAAATGCTTTGGACGTAGGGAAACACCCAATTTGATACCTGGAATATAGTTTTGCAAGAACCCACTGTAAGAAGATAGCTTCATCTGACAGTCAGCCAAGTTCAGGGTTTGGCGTCGGGAGTTCGGCATAGCGTCATAACCAAGACGTCACAAACCCACTTTGACCCGAACCACCCAGAAACCCAAGTATAAGACAAGACTCCGTTATCTGACATTGAAACACCAATTGTACTTTACACAGCCATCAAAATGTCAAGCTCGCTAGACTCATATCGCATCCCTCAATTAGAAGGCGGCCACCGTCCAGGCTCCGACGCAATCTTCAACTCCCGCAGCAAAAACGACATCCTCTCAGCTCTTCAAGAATGGGCCTCCAAGCGCATTCTTCTCGTCCACAGCAAAGCTCTTGCGAAGAATACTTCTACCATCAATGACCTCAAAGAAGCACTGGGCGATAGACTCATCACCGCTAAAGAAGGCGTCGGTTCACACTCCCCATACGAAGATGTAATCGACATAGCGCACCGGATCACAGAGAACAACATCGACTGTATCATTTGCGTCGGCAGCGGCTCTTACTCCGATGCTTGTAAAGTCTCACGTTTAATGTCCGCCACGCTCCCAAAAGGCTTTCAAGAGAAGGACATGGAAGCTCTGCTCGATCAAGAGAAAGGTGTTGCGCCGCAGGATAAAATGAAGAAAGCAGAAGGCGTAAAACTCGTCTTGGTGCCGACGAGTTTATCAGCTGGAGAATGGAACCATACAGCAAGCTGCACCAACAGCGCGGGCAAAAAACAGCATTTCTCGCTCAAAGATGGCGGTGCACCGGATTTAATCCTCATGGATCCATGGATCGCGAGGACAGCGCCTGAACGATTGTGGTTGAGCTCTGGAATACGCGCTGTGGACCATTGTATCGAAACGCTGTGTAATCCGGAATGCGCCAAGTATCCTGATGTGCAAGAGTGGTGCTCACAAGCACTGCGCGATCTGGCAAAGGGTCTGGTGGAGTACAAAGAAGGTCTGCACACGAACTCAGAAGAGCTTCTCCATGGCGTAAGCAAATGCCAGGCAGGAAGTCGCATGGCACTCATGGGCTTTATAATCTACGGCGTCAACATGGGCGCCAGTCACGCCATCGGTCATCAACTCGGCAGCGTGGGCAAAGTGATGCATGGCATCACAAGCTGTATCATGCTCCCACCAGTACTGCGCTACACGAAAAACAAGAACCCTGATGCGCAAGCGAAGATTGTCAAGATCTTTAATGGGACGTTGGGGTGGGAGGAGAAGGAGGCGGGGGATTGTGTTGCGAAGTTGGTTGGTGTTGTGGGTTTGCCGAGGAGCTTGAAGGAGGTGGGGGTGGAAGAGGATGAGAAGATTGAACAGATTGTTGATAAGACTATGACTGATGTTATGTTTTCTTATGGCAAGGTTTTGACGAGGGAGCAGGTTTCGGAGATTGTGTATTCTGCTAGATAGATCTACGAGAGCATAAAGAAGTTGGGTCATGGTGTCAGTTCGCTACGGGGTGTTGTCGTGATGTTTGGAGACTACAGATACACTGGGCATTGCCCTCTACTACCCGTGACTTGTTCTTTGTCAAGGATCAATTCCCTACGTATTGGAAGAGATCGGAATTACGGCCATGGGCATCCTATTGCCCCAAGTCTACGGCTGAAGAGAAAACGGTCGACACCAACGAGCTACCTGCGTTTACAATCGCCAATGTCCCAGAACAAGCCGCGGGGATAGCGAGAAGGAGTGGCCTTGACCGTGTAGGGCAATAACCGTACGTTTGGAAACTGGTTCGTCGCTCGCACAGGTTCTTGATGGCGTCTCCCACATTTCACGCACGCCGCCAACGCTCGTACTGCATTGTCGCAGCGGGAATCATCACATTGCGCCATGCCAGCGGCGCGAGAAGGGATGTGTTTTATTCAGATCGAGGTAGGTTCGACTCGTTCGAGCGTGCTTCGAGTCGTGTCGTGTCGCAAGCGGCTGGGAGGATCGCGCTTCGGTCCGTGGTTCGCATATTCGTTCGATGGACAGGAGAGTTGTCGCAGCTCGAGGATAGTTGTTATTCTGAACAGTCGGCGTAGTAAAAAGCAGTATAGATGCTCGATAATGGTCTGTAAGGTCAACAGAGTGCCCGCGCCGAGTACAGCTTTCCATCATCTGTTGCGAACCCGTCAGCGCGGTGCAAGCAGAGCTTCGTTCGCGAACAATTCCCGATCCATATCGCTCGTGCTCGGGGCATAACGCGCGAGAATGTCGTAAATGCTCTGTCCGTTTGTTGTATGGATCGCGTGTCGAGGTATTCGTGCTCCAGCGAAGGGTCAAGGGGAGACGTAGGGGTGTCGAGCTGGATGGACAGGAAAACGCAACATAAATGACGTCACATTTCGAGGGTGCCGTAAGCTATCATCCGCCCCTATTCAAGCTCAAAAAGCTGATGAAATCGACACGACTAAAGCAGTAGTATCCAATAGAGGAATAAAACGTCGGTCGCTCGCCATGGTTGGTGATGAATGGGTGTCGTTGTCTTGGTCAATTCGTGGCCTTGATTCTGCGCGTCAGCTCAATTGCGTCTTCGGGTCAGCGTATCTCCGATCTTTGCGGGGTGCTGACAGCTCTGGAACGCAACCTCTACCCCGCTAACAGCACCATCACCGGCCGAGGCTCACATTAATGACAGTAGATTGGACTACGTAATGTGCTGGAATAGTCATAATATTCATTATGGTCTCTCCTCAAGTACTGATTCTTTTACCTCGATAGGTTTTTGTAATTCCCATACCCACGTGAGCTGACATGCATTGTAGGTCCGACGAGATGCAGGTATCCATTGCTCTTGGCGGACAGTTAGCGGCCGATCCCTTGAAACTTCAGTAACTCCTTCAATTACAGCACTCAACGACCCTCCACCAAGACATAATTCAACCATTTAGCCGTGTAAGCTTAAACGCGGCTGTCAGCAATGCATTAACTACCTACCTTACCTCTTCAAAGCAAGGATGTGATCGTCTAAGGATAAATACTAGGTTCTCCTTCCATCATAACCATGGCTGTTGGACTTTAGGCAATACGCAGCAATGGCTTCAGAGACAGTAACCGAACGACCTCTCACCGCAACGGTCCCAATCAATACTGCAACAGTACCAATCAGTACAGATGCGACGAGGCCTATCGAAGCATTGCAGGTTGAAGAACCTCGCAATGAAGAGGAAGACATCGTCTTTCCCACCGGCCCAAAGCTCTGGTCGACCGTGGTATCGATGTGCATCGCTCTTTACCTTAGCGGTCTCGTAAGTCACCACTCCCACTCCCACAACCCATACTCACTATCACAGGACATCACCATCGTCGCAGTAGCAGTACCAAGCATAACCGACGAATTCCAAACTATAGCAGACATAGGATGGTACTCAGCAGCCTACGGTATGTCCCTCAGCGCATTCGTCTTCTTGTAAGTCCCATCACCACCACCATCAATATCTTCACTAACACCCCCAGCTTCGGTCAAATCTACACTTTATTCTCCACGAAAGCAATCTTCCTAATCGGCATCGCAACATTTGAAATCGGCGCTCTAATCTGTACTCTCGCGCCCTCATCAGCAATCTTCATTCTCGGCCGCGCAATAAGCGGTTTAGGCCGTGGCGCCATAAACGGCGGCTTATTCAAACTTCTTAAACAATGCTTCCCTCTTTCTAAACAAGCTATAATGAACAGTCTTCTCAGCGGCATTGGAAGCCTAGGTCTTATTACGGCGCCTACGATCGGTGGTGCGTTAGTTGATGCGTTTTCGTGGAGGGCTTGTTTTGGGATTAATATTCCTCTTGGAGTTTTATGTTTTATTTTGACTTCTTATGGTGTGCATGAGGCGCCGCAGTTGAGAGAAAACGAGCCGCAGTTGACGTTTGGGGAGAAGATTAAGAAGGTGGATTATTTGGGGACGCTTCTTGCTGTGCCGGCTGTTACGTGTCTTCTCATGGCTTTGCAATGGGGAGGCACAAAGTTTGGTTGGGGAAGTTGGCAGATTATCTTGCCTCTGGTGTTTTGCGCGGTCTTATTCGCTGGCTTTGGGTATCTGCAGTACCGTCAAGGTGAAAAGGCCTTGATTCCCCCGAGAATCTTGAAGCAGAGGAGTATCATCGCGGGAATGTGGTTTGGAGCTTGTTGCGAAGGAGTTTTGGCTGTTACGGAGTACTACATGTCGATTTACTTCCAAGGTGTTCGCGGATACTCACCCACAAAAGCTGGATTGCTTGCTTTGCCTATGGTGGGCGGTTTATCTATCGCCTTTGTTGTATCTGGTCTTGGAACGACCTGGCTTGGATACTATTATCGTACGTCTTCCAATCATCCGTGGAACAGAAACTGACAAGTACAGCATTCATGATCGCTACTAGTATCCTGACACCTATAATCTCCGGCCTTCTCACAACAATCGATCTAGACGAACAAATAACAAAAGCAGTCCTCCTCCTCGCCTTCCTAGGCCTAGCAGTCGGTCTCGGCCTGAACAGCCCCATGATAGCTCTCCAAGCCGTTCTCCCCACCGAAGACGTTTCCCTCGGTGGAGCAGTTCTTACTTTCGGGGCAGGAATGGGTTCCGCGCTGTGGATCTGCGCCTCAGCAACGCTATTCCAAGACCGTCTAGCACACGAGATAAAAGCAGCTGCGCCAGACACGAACGTAGACGCGCTTCAAAAAGCGGGCTTGTCAAAAATGAGAGAATCTGTTGGTGCTGAAAAATTGAAGAGTGTGCTTATGGGATATGAGAATGCGGTTGTACAGACTTTGTATATTCCTTTGGCGTTGGCTGTGCTTACTATTGTTGGATCGGTTGCCATGGAGCGCAAGTCCATCAAGAAGAAACAGTCCTAGAGTAAACAATTCTGGGGTGGGGGAAACAACTGCCGAGAAAAAAATTGCTTTTTAGTGCAATTTCCTCCTCAATTATCGCTTTTGGCACAATTTTCTGCATGTCTTTCACTAAAAATATGTCATAAGCTCAAAGCCATTCAGTGGTTATGACGGAATGGCGGCCGGGATTCTGACCAATCATTTCCGGTTGCCACAAAAATTGTCTGAGAAGCGCTAGCATGATATCATACCGTGGAGAGGACAGCTGAACCCCTGTTTTCAACCTCTGTATCAATTTTAAGCTTGTCAATCTCCCTTCTTAACGCATTAGCTTTGTTTACTGTCTGTACGTACAGGCGCTGACGATGGCGTCGTCGTATAGATCGATCAAGCCCGCCCCGGCACGGGATGGTACCTTTCGAAAGGCGCCGCAGGAACGCGCCGGGCCTAAGCGGACGGGCATGATTAAATCAGCTTGTTGGGAGTGTCGCAAACGAAAAGCAAAGGTACAGAGTTCTCGAGGTGCGTATTAAATGTGTTGAGCTGACATGGATAGTGCAATGGATTGAAGCCAGTTTGTGCGAATTGTGTGAAACTGGACACGGAATGCGTATATGACGCGGATATACGCGAATTCAAAGTGAGAAACTTACAAAGCGCGAATGAAAGACTTGAAGCAGAGTTGGAGGCTGCGAAGACACTGCTGAGACAAGTCGCGTCGGGGCCAGAGCATATGAGAAGTTTGGTCTTGGGGTTTCTGGAAAACGATAAAGAGCCGCTTGAGATTTTGCACGTGCTGAGAAACACGGAAGGGGCGGATCTTGTCATACCGAAAATTGACAGAGGTGGGAACGGTAAGTTTCACGCGTTAAAGCTGAGAGGAGATAAGACTAACTGGGCGAGCTGGTGGAAGTGGTCTATCTTCAGTTTCGGTGGTTCCGACGCAAGACGCGTATGGGACAGGCCTGCAACCGGACACACTGTTACCAGATACCGAATACTACAGCATGTCGGATCCAATGACCGCGGATAGTGCCTTCGGACACCCCTCGATGCTCTATGCACCTCTGTATAATTCGTCTTCCATTGGTTTTGGGGAGGTCCCAAAATATACCGCGGTAAGCAGATTGTTAATCACAAGAGAGAACGGATATTGATAGTGTAACCAGTCATCGGTCGAAGGCTTCGACCAAGTCCCTCTCCAAAACTCCCGAGTTCTTGAATCCCCGGTACCGACAGTGGGACCAAGTAGTAGAGACCCGTATACCGCAACTCTACCAATCCACGACCAAAGGGCTATCGTGCGTCAGCCGGAGAATCGAAGTCTGTTCTTTGAACCGCTTTTCAACCATACCGACTTTTACCTTACGACGGCAGTGGGCACACCAGGTCGAAACCCAAACAATACCCATCAGAACACGGGTCCATTCGACTCACAGCCTGCAATACCACACGAAGAATCCTTCGAGTCCGCTTCAAGCTTCGACGGATCGACGAAACCCGTTAACGAATCATCACTGCGCATCCACCCCAACGTCAGAAATCACTTCAACAACCTCTCCCTCTCAAGCAGTATCCGCGTAAACGGGTATCCCCGTAACATCCAGGACGCCCAGATCCGCAACATCTTTGTCCCTAACTGGGCCGCTACATCTCTCAACACGGTACCAGACCCAGGCGGTCTCGACGATGCATTTGCCGATATTTATCAACAAGCTACGAATCTTTTAAAAGATGGAGAGCCGTTGTCTAAGATCTTTGGACATCATCCTAATGTTGCGGCGTTGTACGATCAGCAGGAGTTTGATCGGTCGTGTCTTTTGTCGCAGTGGGCGGCGAGGATGGTGCATAGTGTTAAGCGACAAGGTGAGTTGAAGCTATTTTGGCTAAGGATTGGGGGTTGACTGATAATGCAGGATATGATTTTACTTGTTTTGCGAGTATGAATGTCTTTTGGTATGTTATGAGATGGACGATTCAACCATCACCAGAGACATACGCCGCCATGCCGGAATGGATTCGACCAACGTGAGTCGCCTACCCATTGCTCTCAATGAGTAATTAAATATTGACATTTGACAGCTCAAATCAACTTTTCACACCACACATCAGCATGGCCGACTTTGTCCTCTGGCCCGGCTTCCGCGAACTCGTGGTGCAACTCCCCCAACTCCAAGAACGCATGGCATGGCTAGCCGACATGTCGATGTTCATCAACTGCGAATGGCCTTACCCACTTGAACAAGCACTTCATAGAAATCCTGTTTCTGGGGATGTTGATCTCGTAGATCTAGCAAAGGTAAGTGCACTTGTCTGGTAGAAGATAGTGGGTGAGTGATATTAACTGTGACAGCAACATGTTTGGACTTTGCAGTGTTGGTCCGTTGGACCATCTTTCAGAAGATTTGTCAATAATGCGGATTCGTATCTTTTAATCAGACCTGATGAGGAGTCAGGTAACGCATAAACTTGGGAAAAGGTATACAGGATCGGAGCGCATAATCACGGTAGAACAGGATAATAATTTTGGGAAAAGCATCGCGGTAGGGTGTATAGATAATAATAGCGCATCGACCAGCATCGAACTTCACTACACCAGATCCAATCTGGAAATCTTCCGTAGTATAGTGGTCAGTATGCAAGCTTGTCACGCTTGAGACCCGGGTTCAATTCCCGGCGGGAGAGTCGCCACCTGGAACATCCAGGATTTCTTTTTTTTTTCTTTTTCTCATTATTCCATAATGATTGTCTATGTCTTCTTTTTAGTGACAGAAGAATCCTGTCATGTCGTGTGACCCGGCGAAATGGTCACAAACTCTATTGCCAGTGGCGTGAACCTCTGCCGCTAAACGGGCAATTAACCGGATGGGTCGTTGGTTAAAGTGATTGCATGAATCATGTACTTCTTAAGACGAACAAAGAAAATCGATTTTCGTCCGGAACTTTCTTCCTTTTCTTACAGACTGGAAGGATGTCTGACGCCATGGACTTCCACGACACCAGAACTCGGATAGCGCAGTACGCGATTCTTACTCACTGAAGCCTGTGATGGTCTTGCTAACTCGATAGAGCTCGTGAAATGGGCGAGTTTACGGATTTCACATTCATCTGTGAAGCTGGAAACATAGAGGTCCATAGAATCATTATATGCAGCCAGTCTCCAGTTTTTCGGGCAGCATGTTCTGGGCCGTTCAAGGCAAGAAGGCCGACCTTTGTTCATATCTGTGGCTAACGAGAGTGTAGGAAGCGAAGTCTGCAACCTATGATCTGACGTCTGATCAACATGACATGATTCAGCTCATGGTCGACTATCTCTACACAGGTGACTACTCAGTGGACTTGGACGGAAGCATCGAAGACAACCCGAAATGCGACTCTGCAAGTCTCTCTACACACGCTGTTATGCACTCACTGGGCGACAAATACGACATCGAAGGACTCCGAAGTCTAGCAACCCAAAAGTACTGCTTAGAATTACAAGGCAGCCTGAGTGTCACCAACTTCTTCTCATCAATCCCATATGTCTACACCCTGACGCCCGAAAGCTCAAGAGATCTTCGAGATCCGGTTTTGGCATTTGCAAGAAATCTGCTGGGAGGCGAAGGGCCAACGACCTTGGGTTTCGTTCGAGATGCGATCGATGAGCTATATGTTGAGTGTCCGGAATTTGTAAAAGAGCTCTTCTATTCTTTGTTGCAAAATCCCTTATTGGGATATTGTCCTTGTACGGGTCCGAGGGACACGGTGCCTGTTGAGGCGAAGGAGTGCCGGTGTAGAAAGTGTGGAAAGAGCGGTGCTAGTCTTAGAAGACCATAGAGGATGAAGAGTTTTACAGGCGGCATAGAGGTCCAGGTATCGTAGAGTTATTTTATTTTACTGAGTGTCTACTGGGCGCTAGGTAGATTATTTACTAAGATTTAGAACAGTAAAAATTAATAGCCTAAGGATTAGTGTAGATATAGTAAGTGCAATAAACATTAGGGTAGATTTCTATAAAACTTGGACTATTTTATCCTAAGTACATCTAAACTAGATTATAAGGGGCTGTGATTTTGTTGCACGTTGAGATGAGATTGATATGTCTTAGAATTCGCTTGGCTTTAGGGACTATGCTAGACTGAATCGTGTTGACGTTGTTTGTAAAGTTTGTATTGGAAAAGAGTCTAGTATAGCGCTCGGTATCTAAGCTAAGTGGTATTATTGTCGCTGTGTTGTGGCTGGCGTAATTCCAGAAGGTTTGAAGATACTGCTTTAACTCGGTGGTTCTAGATTGCAGTGACCTGCCAGACGTTAAGCTGACCACGATTAGCTGTTAATCTTGTTGCTTATTGAGAAGAGGATGGAACTTAGTTCCAATAATTATAATACGCAGGGGCAGCAAAACTGTTGAAGCAAGTAGTTAGACAACGGACATGTACTCTTGATGAGAAAGAAACTTACGATGAAGGTGAATCCCATCTCTGACGAACAAGACTATGCCCATGTCACCATTTGGGTTTGCATGTAGAGAAAGCCTTGTTCATTGTTGTAAAGCCGGAGTTTGCCGTTCTGCTCCATTCCTTGAGGGACATGGTTTGGAACTCGGGAGGAACTGGAGGTGCGGTATCGTCATACTCATAGTTCTCCTGTAAGACGATCGCCTGGGGGGTTTGAGAGTCAGCTGGAATACAAGGAAATTATCGTAGCAGGAGATCGGTCATCGTGACGCCTGGCAATACTGCGCTTGATGCAAGAGAGGAATGATAGATGCACTATACGATGGTGTTGCAGTGTCTGGTTGGCGCTTGTTGTCCGATAAGACGTGAGAAAAGCAGAGAGGTTAAAGAAAAGAAAGGGAAATAAAGATTAGAGGAAAGATATTCAATTAACTGCGATGTGTGCCTTAAACTGAGAGATCAAGCTTGCGATGGCAGTGAATCATCAGGGTCTGTAAGCTGAGCAGCCAGGCCAACTCTGGTGATACCCCTTCTCCCAAAACATCCACAAAAACACCTAGCAATTGCAAATTACTTTTTACTGCCATCTCTCACTCTTTATCTCTTCCTCTCCAGCTTGTGTTCTGAATGCGCCTTGCTCGACACCCACCATGATTTCGCTCCTTCCCAAACATCGCTCCTTCCCAAACTTGGCGCTGCCTCAGGTCGCGCACAAAAATGAAAACCTTAGCCTTCTTCCATCTTGCGAACCAGCGAAAAAAAGACATTTTTCAGACCAACGCTTCGTTCTCTTCTACTCTGTTTGTTTGATTGAAAACTTTCTGTCTAAGTTCAAAGCCAAGCATGTCTCAACTCCCTCCCATCGACGAAAACACTACCGTCACCTGGTATGAGAATCTGCCGCCAGTTCAGTCAGAGAAACCTCCTGTCTTGACGATGTCTCTGAAAACGCTCCCGTCGAACCTCCCAAGCCTGATGGCCAACGTTGTCAGTATGCTCAACTGCTTAATTCATGTCCGGCTGCTAACTTGTTAGGGACCGAGATCATGGCAGAACAAGCTGCAAGGCTTGACGTTGTCCGAAGGATGTCTGTGAGACGCCGGGTTGAGCACTTCTACAGTCACCTGCCAAACTCTACCATCGACTGGGAGCTTGATGCTTCGTATACAGCCTGTCTTGTCGTTGGCATGCCATGCCATGGCCGGGATTGCAAAAGGAGTCACTCCTTGGAGGCTCTAGGTGGATGAGAGGAATATTGTCTAAAGTTTAGGCTGCTAAAGTAAAGTAGCCTAAATGATAGCCTAAGCTAGCCTAAGATGGTCAAATTCTTTCGTCTCTTATGCTTTTGGCAGACAACTCTTCTGATACCCTGACGCTTGTATAGCCTCTAATCTATCAGCAGTAAAATGGAGCATTTATAGCTTGTGCTCGATCATCTTTACGTGATACTTGTGTTCCGAGGCGAGCGACAGATGACGACCAGATCTCACCATTCCCTCCCAAGAACCCTCGACTTGAGCACACTATAGAAGGTCATAGTGCCTCTGACCTTTGTCTGCCGCTCATCATCGATGGAGAAGACTCAGAGAATAAGGTGCGGGGTGTTTAATTGAGGAGCGATATAGATCGTGGGAACCAATGGAATGGGGATAGATCTTTAGCTAGGGAAAATGAATGAACCGTAAAGGTTACATTAGACACCCATCGTCTATGCTTAAAGGATTCACGAATCAGAGCTGAGCGACCTTTACTGATGGGTCTATATCCGTATATTCGAGCGAGAAAGTTATGATACGCTGACGTGAGCGCTTGATAAAGGGATTTGATCCTTCGGTGCGTCTACAGAGGAGAAACTAGCGAGTTAAACGCTGTAGATTCCCCGCGAAGGATGCACTAACGACCCTACGCATGTCTGCTTACAGGGGTTTACAGGTCGCACTCGCATTACTGAGTCCGAGAAATTACAGTGACGCAACCATTCATGCCGATAATGGACATTCTGAAAAATGGTTAAAGGAAATCACTTCCCTCGAGTGTTACTACACTATTAACTCATTTTATTCCCAGGGAACGGTCATCATGGGTATCTACAAGCAGCTGCCACCTGAACTACGGGAAGTCGATGTTATCATCGCTGGAGGTAAGGCCAACTGGCATAATAAAAGATAATCATTACGCAGCTTTCATCATACATTGTTATAGAGCTAACATCTTCGCAGGCGGCACCACGGCGTGTGTCATTGCATCACGTCTATCCGACGCAGATCCTGGACTCTCAATCCTCGTTGTAGAATCCGGTCCTGATAATTACAATGAACCAGGCATCGTCCACCCTGGCTTATTCCTGGGAAATCTTCTACCCACCAGCAAAAACAACACTTTCCACATGGCCAAAGCATCTGACGATATTGCTCAACGGCCGCTGCCGGTGCCTGCTGGAAGAGTCCTTGGCGGCGGTTCAAGCATAAATACCATGGCATATGCTCGTGGCCAAGTCTCGGATTATGACAGCTGGGACAGTCCCGGCTGGTCGACCGACGAGCTTCGTCCCTATTTGAACAAGGTGCCTCATAAGCTTCCCAAACCATATGGAATTGGAGTTAATGCGCCTTTAGTTCGAAACATACCAAGGTGATGGTGTACAGGAGCACCATGGCACATACGGTCCAATCCATGTATCCGAAGGCTCGCACAGATACAATAAAGCATTGAATGACTTTCTGAGCACTACCGAAGAATTGGGATGGAGTCAAAACAAGGATCTTCAAAGTACTCAAGCCGGTGCTATCGATGGTGTACAAAAGTCTTTGCGCTACGTTTCTAAAGATGGAAAGCGCCAGGATGCTGCGCATTGCTATCTGCATCCGAGATTGCGCGATGGAAAGCATCCGAATTTACACGTGGCAGTCGAAACCGAAGTCGTGCGCGTTATCTTTGAAGAAAAGTCTGCCGTCGGTGTCGTTTGCCAGCCAAACCCTGAGTTTTCTTCAGGGCAAGAAACAACTGTCAAGGCTAGAAAACTAGTCATCGTTTCTTGCGGAGCGTTCGGATCTCCGACTTTACTCGAGCGATCAGGTGTTGGTCAAGCCGCCTTGCTCAAGCAGTTTGGTATACCAGTAGTGGAAGGTCTTCCGGGCGTTGGAGAGGGTTACGAAGACCACCAAGCTATGAACTACGCCTACAAAACCAGCCTTGAACCCGAGGAGACTAGCGACGCGGTTGTCTTTGGATACACGGATCCTCAGAAGCTGATAGCGGAGAACGCGCCAGTTCTTGGTCACAATGGTCAAGAGGCAGGCCTCAAGATTCGTCCCACTGATGAAGAGGTATCAAGTCTAGGACCAGAGTTCCAGAAGGCTTGGGATTTTTATTTTAAGGAAAAGCTTGATAAGCCACTTGCTTTGATGGCGTTTATTACCTGGTACGTGAATCAACTAGCGATTTGCAATCAATCACTAACGCATGGCTCCGTCTAGCTTTCCAGGATACGATCCTGAAATGCAGCGAGAACAGTACCTCGGCATGTCTGTCTTTACCTCGTACCCTTTTTCACGCGGGCATGTTCATATTGGGGGCAAGTCCCCTTCTGATCCTGTTGACTTTGATGCTGGATTCTTGGCAGACACAGACGCTATTGACGTCAAGAAGCATATCTGGGGCTACAAGAAACAAAGGGAAGTAATGCGCCGAATGGACTGTTACAGAGGTGAGTTTGCATCTTGGCACCCGCCCTTTCCAGCCACGTCCGAAGCAGCATGTGTCGAAGTGACGGAACCATTGGGAAAGAACGTTCCGCCAATTCGGTACAGCAGCGAAGATGATGCTGTTATTGAACAGTTTGTTCGCGAGAAGGTCGGGTCTTTGTGGCATAGCATGGGGACGTGCAAGATGGCTTCCAGGAACAAGAATGGAGTGGTTGATGAGAGGCTTGGGGTTCATGGGTTGAAAAGGCTGAAGGTTGCTGATATGAGCATTACGCCTGGAAACGTGGGTGCTAATACTGCCAGTACGGCGTATGCGATTGGCGAGAAGGCAGCCGATTTGTTCATTGAGGAGCTTGGACTGCTTTGAGCGTGGTCCATTCGTACCGTCCTGAAAGCCTAAGAGACGAATTAATTTAGTTACCTTATGCTATCTTAGACTAACCCTTCGGTTACTTTGTTTTGGCGCCCTAAGGCTTAGAGCACAATCTTTCTGGTCCTACCCCTGCAACTTTAACTTCTACTTAAGAATAGTCGAGATCTCCTTATCTGGCACCAGGGGCTTGCTGTCGGAGTTCTTAACAGAGTCTGGCTACTCCAGCCAGAAGGCATACTTCTGAAAACGCTGAAGTCTCAGTCACGATCGCGCGCATATCAAGAGATAATTAGGCAAAAGATTCAAGACTGACAAGAGGACTCGGACAATGAGATGTTTGCAGAGTTTGATTAAGTATAATTGGAGTTTGTAGTCAAGTAATTGGGGAGGGGTGTTAATGGAACTCTACTGGAACTCTACTGGAACTCTACCGTACTGAAACTACTGGAAGACTTAGAGTGAAAGAAAGCAAGTGATAGTGTTGGGGAGACAGCGGTTGGACAGACCCAAAATCTGAAAATGAACTTCTGCCTTTTGCGATGTGGAACAGACTTCAGATTCTAGATAGTGGGGCAGGAAACCTGGCTTTTGATCACGAACTTACCTCCTTTACTAAGCTCCCTTTTGGCATGTAGGACGCTCCAAGCTCAATTTAATAATTATTTTTGATTTCTTTGTGTCAATTCCTATTGGTATCAATTTTCTCCTACCGTAAAAGCGTTCTCCCGCTGGAGTTGAGGCGGTCTGAAATTGACTCCTCGTCGCGATAGCCTCATTTGTGGAGGTTGGTGGTACTTTGCTTTCATGGTTCAATAGACAACCCCAAAGAAGTTTCAGAGTTCCAGACTTCTAGATTTTCACCTTTCTAAATTTCCAAATTTCCGGATTTCCAGCTTTCTAGACTTCCAGACTCCCAGTCCCAGAGTCCCAGTTCCAGAGTTTTAAAGTTCTGGAGCTCCAGTCTTAGAGTTTCAAAGTTCTAGAATTATCAGTTCTATTTAACTTGGTCATTTCAACTGTCCACATCTCAGCGCGCTTTTATTGCACCTTAGAGACTACAGAGAAGATGAAAACAAGACAAGCAAGCACTGGCACAAGTTCGTTATGCAAGTTGTTCTCCAACGAGGCAGATGATTCAAGTCTTCTAACCTTTTTAAGAGTCACACCTCTCAACGCGTAGTCTAAAGTTTAAATCAGCAAACGTCATGTCGACGAGGATCATGTCCATCCTCTTTCCCTAAGATGTATTAGAAACCCATTTATGTGATCTGGGAGTAGGTCTTTTGGATCGTACGGATAACGAAGCACATTGTTTACTGTATCCATGTCTTAGTTACTAATTTATTATTTCAACGATAGTTGTTTCCAAAGAGAGACCTACAGAAGTTTGTCTATGCTAACTTTAACTCAATCCAGGACACCAATTGACTTTGTTCTGCTTCTCAATTTCAAGATATTTATCCCCATGTCTTCCCCGTTCCCAGAAATATACTGCCACAATGGAATCCTTCGATCCCAGAAAACTATCTCATGCTGAATCACCAGCGCCTCAACCATAAATGCAGGTGGGTAAAATCCTCCTGCTACCTCTAGTCACGACATCGATGCCATAAGAAACAGTTAGAGTAAGGATTGTAGCACACCAGCGACAACTTCGGACTCAGTTGCCTATTATCGTTTATTAAACATTATAGAACTGAAAGGTCGAAACACCAACTCCTTAGAGCGCGAATAAATTCTCACGTTGTTTCACAACCTTTCCTAACGGTGGTATCTTTTGAACGGAAGTCAAGGGACAGAGTACTCTTCAACATGGATATACTATGCGGACCTCCCACTACTGTACATGGCAGTCAATACTAAGAACGACCGAGTTGCCATAATTTTACAGTCCGATATACGATTGAACCATCACCATATGTAACCAAGTCCAAGCAGTTGTATCAGCGCAATTCATTTGCTCTAGTGTCGATTTGTTTGAAGCCTGACGGACGTAGCAACATTCACATTATGAACCTAATATCTCAACAATAAAGGAAAAGAAGAAAGATATCACTAAGGCCAAGGGATTGGCAATGTAGAATCTCAGCAAAAACTCCATATTAAAACAAATACATAGGAAACCCTAAGTCTAGCAGTGTTTCTTCTTGGCCTTCATCCAGCACAACTACCATAGAAGAGAACAAAGAATTCTGTTGCACCAGATACATTGTTACCCTCCTTCCTTAACATCAACCATACAAAAGCCAGCCCGATCAACCATCATTCGCAATAGTCGCTGAAGGCTCACGTCACATAGGACAGAGTCACATGGGTTCATTTTTCCTTGCCCATGTTATGTTACTAGTCTCTGTCCTACTCAAAGGTAGGAAAGTCTTCGAGGTTGGTGGCAGTAGGAATGGCAGAAGTAGTTGTAGGCTCGGCGGTGGCAGTGGTTTCGGTAACAACTGGTAAAGGAGGAGCTACCGGAGGAGCAGCACCGCCCAAACCACCCAAACCACCGAGAAGTGGACCAAGAAGACCGGTGACGGCTTCAAGCTGTCTTTTGTTCATCTGCCCGGGCTTAAGACCGAGAAGTCCAGTGACGGCTTCAAGTTGTCGCTTGTTCAAGTGTTCAGGCTTCAACATCTCGAGGTCTCGCTTCCCAACCCCACCAAGGATACCGCCAAGTAGGCCAGTGACGGCATCTGCTTGGCGTTTGACCAGGTCCTCAGGTTTCAGACCGGCAAGAAGACCTGTCACGGGCTCGAGCTGCCGTTTGGTAACCTCGACAGAATTGAGGGTCTCAACAAGGGACTTGACGCCTTCAAACTGTCGCTTGTTCAAGTGTTCGGCATACAATTTCTCAAAGTCTCGCTTTCCGACCCCGCCCAGAACACCACCAAGCAGGCCGGTGAGCGCATCTGCCTGCCGCTTTTCAATTCCGGATCCCGAAGGATCGAATTCATCTCCGGTGGGGAAGGCAAGAGCGGTCGTGCTGGCACCCTCTATGAAAGTAGTGGGTTCGGGTGCGGTGACATCAGCGGTCAAGGCCTCAGCTACGGCCTCATTGATGAAATTGTTGACTTGGTTGACTGGTGGGGGAAAAACTTGACGCTTCTCTGCGTAGTGACTCTGCTCGTCCGGAACGCTGCCAGCGTTTAAAGGGACAGCCACAGCGTTGCTCAAAAGCAATGAAATGATAAAGACAGACTGCATCTTGAAGTACTTCTGAAAACTTTGGTGATATAATAAATGAGTGTTACACAAAGCTACTGTGCTTAGTTGTGATGAGAATGGTTGTGTCTTCTTGGTAACCGTCCTCATGTTTTATATGTAGAGAGCCATTGTATCTCGAGTGGATGAAGCTCCCTGTGATCTGCAGAGGAAAAGGGGCTTTGCCAATAAGCAAGACGCGCGTTGGAAGTCTACAAGAATGTAAGATTACTGTGAATCATTCCAAATGCTGATATTCCTCTCTTTGACAAAAGGAGCCATGTAACGAAATAAGGGGGCCTAAATGCAAGTGGCTGCAGCAATAGCTTTTTCACAATAATCTAGCTATCCAAACCAGCATGTAGGAATTTATCGCTAGCGCAATGTAATCAGATTACGATAAACTAAAGATGTAGATCAAGGGAGAAGCACATATGCCTATAGTTATTAACTATAGCTTAAGGGCAAATATCAGCATACGCGGATCTTTCTGAAGATGATGAATTGGCATTGAAAAAGTGAAAAGGTTTTTGGTTTATTGCAATTTGCGAAGAAGGAGCATATACGATTAAATTATCTCAAATCCATCCAGCGCCTAGGAGGAGGCTGCGGTAGACCGGGCAACACGACAAAGTGAATTCAATTAATCAAGGGACTTCTGGAATGCCAATTGCTGAGAATACTTGATGGAATAGCGCATTTAATTAAGTGCCTGGTGGAAATTCATTCTGAAACAATGCTCTAAAGCGACAGTTGGCGGAAAGAGACACGGCAGGTAATCGGTCCGGCCGAGTTTAAGGGGGTGTTAGACATCCAATTGTATTTGAACTACCTACTCCAAGTTCTTGGTTGCGGGTCAGACACGGCAGATAGAACGCCTCCCTTGCTAGAAAGCCGTTTATTCGTTTTAGTAAGTCTAACTACCGTGCGCAAAAATTATCTACACCATAGCCCATGATCCTACCAGTTAACCCTTGCAATTCGTTTGATTTCCCTACCTCTGGTAATGCCGTCATTGGAATTGCGAAATTTAATGGATGCGTGGTTACTCAGCCAACTATTTTGTAATTGTTGGTCATGGATGCTTTGTTACTTGACAATGACAAGTCAGCCCTGTACCGGCTATCAGGTTTGTCAATACAGAGTGCGTCACAGCAGTGAGCTCTTCTAAAAGCCGTTGTAATCTTCGATAATACAAATACTCCCTTCTTCGTCAAGCCTTTTATGTAAGGTTGTAGAACAGGCTTGACATCCATCTTAACCATTACAATCTTGCTTTAAGTGGATCGGCTAGTACAAGTTTCACTGTAAGTAAAGAACAATAAGCTTTCGTGAAGCATGCCCTTTATGCAAAGCGACCGTTCAAATCGATTAATGTATCCCATACATTAATCTGGAAATGGTTGTCCCTTCCCCACATTCATATGCTGTCAAGAGGCCGTCGCTGACTAATTCCTCCAGATCCTTCAGGCGTATGGCATCCAACGCAACAATCTCCCGATGCCAGGGTGTAGGTCGGCAATTGACAGATACCTTTGTCGACAGTTACTTCATGAACTACATCGTCGCCCTCGCTGCCAGAGCCGTCCCCTATATCCAGAAGGGCCCGGATTGTTCCAACTCTAGCAATATATTGATTCCGACCAGGAACCCTCTGCCTGCCTTGGATTTATTCGTTCGCATTCTGGTGCTGGAACTCAGATTGCCCCGAGTTGTTCTGATTGCGTCTGCAGTATATCTTGGTCGTTGGGGGCTACGATATCCTGGGGCGTCTGGAGTCATCTCCAGCGCTTCACATCGTTTGGTACTTACCTCTATGGTGATTGCAGTTAAGCATCTATACGATGACCCTCCGTCGAACATGCGATGGGTGAGGTATCTGCAAAAAATCAATATCCACTACTTTACGATAAAACATATCAATTGTATGGAAAGGGAGATGCTATTTGACCTTAAATGGGAGATCCAGATCTCCCCAGCGGACGTCCGTAAGGTCTCAGAGCCTGTGCTATTTGTACTCGGGAGGGAGCTTCTTGACTTTGCTCAACTGTAGATGTTTTACGGGGTTGTTTATTGAAATGAGAGTGTTAAGGTGGCTGAGAATATGTTTTTATCACAATTAATAACTAATATAGCTTTATGTATAAATATACTTGGAATGCGATAGGTATTTATAGCTTAAAAGATTGCTTGTCAGTTTCTTCGTTTCCCTCCACCCGTCAGCATTGCTCAGGCCAGAGCCGTATAATTTGCCGATCCTGCGATATTAGTCATGCAACTTGAAGGGACTCTGATTACTTCCATAGGTCAAGTTATTCAAGCTAAGCAGAGCAGCATAACCAACCATCAATAGATTACTGTATACTTATTGCCAAGTCAGCAATTATCACGTTTCAATTTCAAGACTCTTTCTATTCCGTCTCGAGATTGTATGTGAGGCTGTGACAGATCCAGCTTCAGTAGTGCTATGACCTAGATTATTCTGGAAGTGTGCAAGTAAAGGGACAGCAATCACATATAAGACACATTAAAATATCGCATAACAATATGATAGTTCTGATTCTAAGGTCTACAGCGTGTTTGCGAATGAAGAACCTGACAAGCTGTATAAGTCTGTCGTGTGATGCATATCGTTAACGATTCATTTTCTCAACCCCGATAACCCCCCTCCATCCAATAAGATGATAACACAATTAATTCCAGCGATGACTGTTGAGAGGCACCCGATAACAAGAAGGTAAAGACTGGAAGGCCGCCAAACAGGCGTGACCGAAACTCAATGCAGAAGCCGCAATTATGCTACAATGCCGCGATATCTGGAAGTATGCATAGCCATTGGAAGCGAGACGCCTAAAGAAGGCTGCTGAGAGCAATGCAAGGAAGGGCGACGTTGACAAGACCTCCCTGGGCCTAGATTAAAATTGTTAGTAAGCATATAAGTCAGATGTGCTGAGAAAACTTACGTTGGAGCCACTGTTTTGGCAGCAGGCCGCGTTAGCTTGACACTCCTTGTTAAGGAGGCCATTGGCAATGGCGAGAACGTCAACCTGGAGCTTGGAGCACTGATCGAACAGGCTCAGGTTGTTGAGGATACCAGCACCGTTGCCAATAGCGTTACCAGCTGGGGTGTTGGTAACCTTGTTGCAGCAAGTGACCGACATGTTGTTACCGCAAGCGTTGTTAGCCTGGGCGACGGTGATCTGGTCGATGGAAGGGTTGTTTCGGACATTGTGCGAAGGGGGGGCAGCGGCCACAGTGGCGGCGAGGAAAGCGATGATGGTCATGTACTGCATCTTGAAGGTATTGAGTTGTCGAAGACGAAAAAGTATTAAAAAATTGAAGGGTTATCAAAGCGAATGATGAGCTGAGTAATGCTAGAATGAAGTAATGCTGAGTGATGATGGAGAGAGACTTTGATTTCGTGGGTTGCACCGCCCTTCTTATACGTGATCTACGATTGTTTCTTGGCAAGGGAGAAATGTACTGATGCAGGAACTGGCTGCGTGCATTCCCCTGCATGATCCAGATATCAAGTTTAGTTGGAATAAGGATAGTGCAGCTAGACTCAGACATCTGTTGTTGAGGTACAACTTGGCTAACATCATCCAAATGAAAGAGTGCGTTGCTTTGGTTGGGTTGAAATTCCTCCCCGAATCTTCCCCTACACATCGTGGCATGAGAGAGGTTGGAGTAAATTACAATTGGGGACCACCCCAGGTCAGAACATGGCCGGGCCCGTTTTACATCAATTGATTAGACTTATGATAATTTATTGGTATTATTCACTTCCTTGAGGACTACTAATTTTCTAGTTATTATTCTTAACCAGTTCGGTAATTATCTACTTGCTGCTACCCTACAAGCTATCCCAGCCTCTAGCAGTCTAGCAAGTGGACCCGATATAATGCTGACTAACCTACGGTGATTAGCCGATGCGTCTGGTATCGCCACATTATTACCATGTACCCGGGTCTGAGCATAACGCAAGGGAGAACCACATGCGGAATCCAGGTTCCCAGCTTCCCTTTCAAAAACGGTATTCGGTCCGATCACTGTCCCAGACACGGCACATTAGTGAATCACGGCACACTAGTGAGACAAGGCACAGTGGTGAGACTTTCAGCCCAGAACTCACATTTTAAGTGGTCGCTGCAATTCTCCGCGGACTGAGTACCGACGATCTTGCCAATTCAGCCTTGACCGGCACTTCAAAATTGAAACATCCGAGATCCCGTGGTAAAGGGATGTCCTTACTCCTGCCTTGGCCTGGCACTCCATAAGACACCATCGTCATAATTGATCATTCCATTGAATTATCAACAGCCCGGAAATCACTCCAAGAAGCCTTCGTGGTCACAGTATGAAGCTGATAGGATTGATGAAATGGTGAGTCTCCTATGTAAGGAATGAATATCCTGCAAACGTCCCTTGCCTTAGATCGTCGAAGTCGAAGGGCGAAGTTCACGGGCAAATTCCGACGATGCGTCTAACTGTCAGGGTCAGTGAGGTTCCCGCAACGCTTCATCAATAATTGACACTCTTTCTCAAGTCTCCAATACGACGCCTCGAAACAAAAGGATTTACAGCTACATCGATAGTTATTATAATCATAGATAACTTTAAATAATAGGGAAAACCGTATCTAATAGAGTCTTTCAGTTAAAACCTATTAGTTAAGAGGAAGCCTTTATGCTTTAAGTTCTATACTACCCTAGAGGAGTATTTATCTCTGTTTGTACACACTGAAGGAACTAGTTGAATGGAAGATCAAGACATATACTTTGATAAGAGTATATGCTTTTAGGAAGTACTTTATTATAGGTATCTTTAATAATTAAAACAAGCCTATGTATCATCAATTGTCAATCCTTCTTTTCCGCCGTTGCACTAGAGGTAGTTTAATCCAGATAACGCATCTTACTTGAACAGAGATAGTAAAGCATCGACATCGGAGAATTACTAAACGATTTGTTTCGTGAAAGAGAGAGCACGCTAATTGACGACAGCTTGTTCATTCCAGCCATTCTCAGAATTGATTATTGTGTCACCAGCCGCCTTCCCAAATTTGGTCCGGCACATGTGACACTCCCGTGGCTAAGACATGGGACAGCCATCATCGTAAGGCTAGTGTATTCTTACCTGTTTTCAACGTCTTAGACATCCATGAGATCGAGGAAACCTCATGAAAGCATAGAGATCGATATCGCTATCTGACTTGGTGGTTAAGGCACTGACCTATGACGATTGAGATGTAATCCAGAGAGCCACATCCTTCCAACACTGCCGCTGGATCCACATTCCAGTATGCCGATTTCTCTTCAACATAAGCCAAGAAAAGTAGATTTGGTGCGGCTCATACCGGCCATCCCGCTGAAAACGGAAATAATGGTGTCTAGACGGGTCGAGATCAGTCGATGAAGAGTTCAGCTCGTAAAGTCAAGGTGAAAGCATCTGGGAAACACCACTATGGTTATAATATTCATCTTCTGACTTACTCTATAAGAATACCAGGTTCCAACACATAAAGCCTTGTTTCAGTGTCTTCACAAACCAGCAATGCACCACATTCGTTCCTAGGACATCCAGAGCCACCTTTGAGACGGTGGACTTACTTTCATTTAGTTCTATTTTGACTCTGGAATTCCCCAAATATCCATTCATTTCTGAAGACCTTTATCAAAACTTAGCCAAGTATTAATCTCGGCATCACTCTCGGTATCATTCTCAGAGCACTACGATACTTGATCCTTCAATATGGCAATGCCAGTTCAGTCACACAAGACATCGCATTCTCTACCCACCACAGATCTACGTGCCTCGCTGCATGGACGTCAAAGGCCTCGTTACCCTCAGAATTCCTCTACCTGTGGAACCTCTGTTGATGATCATCATACACGATCATCATCATCTCTTTCGTGTTATTCCGCGCCAGAGAGGTTTCAAAGACGCAATCTCAAGGATGAAGCTGCCGGCCAGCTTCGGTCCTTTTCTGCCTGCTCAGGTCGCATAATACGGCCTCCACTTCAACTCTCTCAACGACGTTTCCTCTCTGAGGGGCAAATCTCACAAGCCAGACCTGCATTTATCTCGACATCTCATTTCGATCCCCGCAGTCATGGAGACGTTGAGCCCTCCTCTCCTGCTTCTCAGGAAAGGCATTTCATGACTGCTCTGCACCAGAGGCAAAAACCTGGTATCGCATTTGAAAGTGACACCGAACTGGATAAGCGTTACACTTTTGGGCCTTTGGAACCTCTCCCAACGCCTTCTTCACGTTGGTCTGATTCTAGCTATGGCGAGGGAGGAACCGTCACTCCCGAGGAAGAAGAGCTTACGGACAATGAATCGAGTCACATCGAAATTGCTGGTATTGAGGATACCTTGTCACATTTCTCCATCATCCAGGCGCACCGTGTCTCAATTCATACCTGGGTTTTGAAGCCAACGACAATTGATATCAACCCTGATTCCCAATCAAAACTCTGTGGATGGAATCCAGAAAGTATCGTTGGACCTCCCTGTCCAAAGGAAGCTAAACGTTGGGGTATAATATTCTAGTACATTCTCCCATACATTTATCTCGAAATAATAAGAAGCTTTTGCCTGTATATATGTACGAATCTACAGTGATATCCGGATGTGATAGTTTGTGAAGTTGGTGGTATTAATGCTACATGTGTAGCTCATGATCTCCCGAGGTAATGGAAGATTCAAACAGGCATCGGTCCCATTTAGAAGAACTGAATTGTCAGTGAGACTAAACCCCTAACTTTCGAGCCATAAAACACAGCATCCGATGTACGATGATCCATCTCTATCAAGGCATCTGCGGTGGCTGACTGTACGGCTTGATGACTGACCTTCAAAAACCTTAAATTGATCTGCAGTGGCTGGATTCAGAGCATACATATATGACATATGACTACGGTCGGGCAAGAATCGCGTGATCTCCATTGCACCTGATGTATATCTCGAAAGTGCATGGACTCTGGGAATGTAGCTGAGACGGGGGCCACATACTACGTGCGAAACAGCCATCTACAATATTGTTTCGGTGATTTGTTCAGCCAGTAGTTCTCACTTCAGATTGGCCAGGAACGTAGTGAAGAATCAATTTTGTAGTCAAAGAAGGTCTGTGTCAAAACCATAGCCTCTCCGATATCTTAAGAAAGAATTTAGCTAACTGGAACCACGCCTCTGGCCTATATGATCTTGCTATAGAGATGATACACGTTGATACAACTATTCCTTTCTGGCGGTCAAACGATCTGGGTTTCAGCTCGGGTGACCACGTCTTAAAAGTCTTTTGGTTTCCTTCCTTGGGCGGAGAAACTCACAAGCCCGACATAGGGTCTCTTTTCTGTACTCCCACGGCGGTGACGTGTGAACATTATTCCTTTTGCAGATGTAACATCGCCTTGGGCGGATGCCGGACTGTTGGTTGTTAGATATGTACTTGTCTCTGCGAGATAATAACTCACAAGATTTGGTCCTGTAGGTCTTTCCGATACATGCTGTGGTCTCACCAAAGAATCAGACGTATCGATGATACCTTGGACAGTTCCAGGGCCGGATTTAGTATCAGGAGAAGGTAGAGGAGCATGAAACTGCTGTAGTAACTGCTTGACTATTTCCATATTTTGCAGCATATGGCTAACTTCATGCTGCCTTGGTAACCTTGCTGGAGAAGGTCTCCCTTGCGCTTCTGCAAATTCACAGAGTGTCCGTGACAGTGATTTGATCTGTCGAGTATTAATCCCTCTGTACATGATTACACAACATTGCTCTTACTTACTTCATTAAGTGACTCTTCATAGCTCCGATGACTTGTGTATCGGTCATGAATAGCCTTGTGCCTTGCCTTCGTACCTACGCCGTTAGAGACGGTATCAAACGGAGCTTTAGAACTTGTTGATTTCGGCGAAGTATGTCGAGTCCTATGGTCTACCACCTTGTTTGAGGCTGGTCGATTTACCTGAGCCATGGACATGGGATCTGAGATCAAGAAAGTATAAGACGAGTTGGGTAGTAGCTGATGGCTCAAAGATCGCTTCAGCTTCGCATGAGGGACCCCATTTCTAACAGGACTGATCTGGTGGTGAACGGCCCCAATAGAGGTGCATGGGCTGGAGTGGAGTGGAGCTGTCAAAAAGGCATGTTGGCGTTGATTGAACATCAAGTTGTTATGAGCTGGCAGGGGAGAATGGATGTTATCTGTCACATTTGGTGATTGGGTACGAGGTAATGTGACTGACGGGGAGCTAGAGCTGCAGCGAAGGCGGAGCAGATCATGGTGAAGAACCTCTGCTAACGGGGGCAGTGTCGGCAGTATCGATTGATCCGAGCGCTCTGACGGACGCTTTGGCTCCATCGCACAGACACTGTAAAATCTGATGGAGTGGTGGTAAGCAACAGGGACAGGATCAATGGAAAGGTCTGCTAATGCGCGATCGCAGTGTTGCTTGCTTCTTAAATTGACCCTGTAGAGCACATTCAAACTCGTTGGTGGCTTGATTGGACTGATGGTATCCATGCATTAGCCAAAGTTCCGTCAAGAGATCTGATCGACGATCAGAGTCACTTGGCTGCATAAGAGGGACACGGCACAGGATCTGACAGCCAAGGAATTTTTGTAAATTTCCGCTTCAGGCTATTGATGAAGAGGTGGGGAGGGGGGCGGGGGGGGGGGTGTTCCTTGAT